AGGGGAAACTGTCGCCAATACCTCCTACCAGCTTGTCCTTCAATTCTCTTGTCACCTCTCACTGTTTTTTATTTACAGGTACACCAGCCCCATTCCTGTAACACCCAGAATATGTGCTGTTTTTAATGCTGTGGGCCTGTATGATCTAAGGCACAGAAATCCACAGGATCTGTTGGTTCATTATATTCATCTGACTATATTGCGAAACTGGGGAGGCGGAGATTTCACAGCCAAGAGAGGCACTTAGCGATATAGATTCACCAATGACAATTAATGAAGAACTGGATCCTCCACTCTTTTTATAAAAAAGAATGATGTTCAATTGAATAGTTGCAATTTTAACTGGATAGATGTAGATCAATAATGATTAGTAACTGTTGGTTGTAATCTGAAAACATGGCTGCAATTTGAGTCTTACAACTGATTGTGTTGATCATTTGGGAGTTACCTAGACAAGGTAATTGCTTTTTCAAAATTTGTACAGTGTAGGACAGTAATGAAGCATTGCTTAAAAAGATTTGACTTTTGCCTTAAGAAGGGCCACACTGTCAGTTTGCTTCTGATGAAGGTTGTAAGGTTGAAACATATTGTTATTATTCCAATGTACAGAAGTTATGAAGAATATTCTAGAAGAAAACCACTGAAAGTAAAATACATTTGGTGACCAAGTTTTTTTTCAAAATATGATGTGAGGACCTATTGCATTTCCTAGCATTTTTTTCAAAACAGTATTTGCTTATTGAAGCACCTGTAGACTGTTTAAGGAGCGGTGTCATGCTGATTTTGTGCGTATGGGCTTTGGTAAGAAAGATCGGAAAAGGTTTTCCACAAGTGTAGACAGCAGAAGTTTTGGACCTTGAAGACCATAAAAAATGGGAAAAAAAATCCCAACAAAAAACCGGCCTTGTAAATTAATTTGTTCATGTTGTACGATGGTAGCACAGCTGGGCTCATTAACATGCACACAACAAATAATTATAGCTGAATTTTTTTAGCTCACACTTGCCTAATGGGCTTGCTGGGTTAATTATGTCAAAGCATAATTACAGAGGCCCAGGGAGACATAATGGCGTACCCTGCTGAGCAGAGACCAACTAATGATAGTGTATCGCTGACAGGGGGAAGACAGACCACCTCGCACACACCTGCTTACCTCTGCACAAATTTACCGCCACTCTCTGTGACCGCGGACACTGCCGTTGCAGTGTCACCTGCACTCCAACAGAGGGAGCCAGAGATCAGCCCCGGTGCTGGTGGCATTAAAAATGACTTCCTTATTCAGCACCTTAGATATTAAATAAAACCCTTAAGGAGAACATTTATCCATTTACTACAGTGCCTTCCATGTGTTAGGCAACTGTGTGGCAGACCTTTAAAGTCCTGGAGCACATGAGGATAAAGCTAAGGAGAAAAGTAATTCGATTTTTATTTTTTGGCTGCTGCCCTCTTTGTGACACATTGCCTTTGAACCAATGAGAATGATGTGACAGACCAGAGTCTGAAAGCTTTTTGCTCAAATCCAAGCATTTTATCATTTTAATATCTGATGTTGCCCTTTTGTGATTACAAGAAGAGAAGATGTAGCAATAGACAGAGTGCATGTTTAAAGAAATAAAAGTGTTTTTTTTATTTCTTTGATGTGTTTTTTTTAGTCCATGTATTTCCTGGACTCTTTTTTGGAGAACAAAACGAAATTGGCACTGCAGAAAAATTTTTTGAAAGCTTATAGAGGACCAGGGTGCTGGAATTAGCATTTTCTGCACTTTCCCAATTTAATGAATGGTAGTCTTAGTTGTTTCCCTTCAAAACAAAACAAAATAAAACAACCTCTTTTATGTTACCTTGTCTTTGTAATTGGCTTTGATGAAAGAGACAGCAAACGGCATATCCCAAGTGCTTTCATAAAGGAGACGTGTGCTTTGAAACTTTTGGTTCTTTCCTGAAATCTCTGTTCCAGGATCTCCAGATCCAGTGACAGGCAGTCGTACAGATCATGCATTTTCAGAGTCTGCTTTTTTTCTGGTAGTGAGTAACAAAAGTGAAAAGACAGGCAAAATATAGAGGGAATAATGTCCTGTACTTTGAGTCTGTTACAACTTATCATTTACCTTTCCCAGTCTTTTGTTTTACTTTGAGAAGGGAGTGTATGCCTTCTTGTTGAGAAGTGATTTATTAGTTGCTTTTTCTCCTTGTTTTTTTTTTATATTATCTGGTATTACAACTATAAATCTGCTTCCAGTGGAGTATTTTTACAAAGAGCCAACAGCAAGGAACTGCAGTGGTGCAGTGGGTCAAACTCTCCCTCTTTAAGGAAATTTAAGTTTTTGTACTTGGAAAAAAATGTGAATTTCTTTTTTCGGGAAACAAAACCACCTGAGGATTCTGTAGAGAACATCTGAAACAAAGGATAAAACTAGGTCAGGGTTTCTGGTGAACCCAATCAATTAATTGTAACGTAATGAAATTTGTCCCAGCATTTGGAAAGCTGGTCCTTGGTGCTTTTTAAACATTGTCTCTGAGTGAGCTCAGGGGGAGGGAGGTGGAGGATGGCCAAGCTTTTAATTCTTAATTGTGTTCCTGTTTGTTGAAAATGCAATTCTCCTGTGCAGCTTTCCGTGTGAATGATGCAATCGCCTTGCAGCTATTGCAGAAGTGAACTTTATAAAATAAAAAGGAAGACAAGAGGTCCTGTCAGTGGCTATGCAGCATGTTTGTGCTCAATAAATATTTTGCAGGTTTGCATATGTCAAGTATTTTCCCAAAGACACCATAATTAGCTCACTGGGCTTTGTTCAGATTCAACTGCTCTCCTGTGTGCATCATGTCCCTACCTGGTGAGACCAGATTTACAGAACTCCCCTTGAAAATGTGTTTCTCTTCAACCTGTTATAATTTTAAAAAATACTTCTGTATTTGGGTTTAAAGTTGCCCTAGGCAAAATACTACAGTACCTTACCTGAGTGTAATTGCATAATTTAGAGAGGGTATTGTTTTAGAGTTTGAGGTGTGGGGTTGTGTACATGTTGTTTTTATTAGAAATCTGAGGAAACAGGCTTTGGTTAGAACTGGTGCCCCTCTTTGCCAAACACTTCGGTCTTCAGTATCCATAGAAATTCCACCCTTGTGATTGTGGAGTTTTGATTTTGTTTTTTGACTGTCTCTTTGGAAAAACTGTGCTTGTTCATATGTGAATGGGTGCTTCAGCGCAGCTTTGTGCAGCCTTAACACCGAGAGCTCTGTGATCCTTAGGACTGAATAAGATCTACATAGAAAAAAAAAGGATGTTTTGTTTTCAGAATCCACAATGAAGATACCGGATGAAAGTGCTGGGAAAACTTATATGAGACAGATTTTTTTTTCAATGTGGGGGAGCCTGGCGAATGATCTTTTCTAATTTCAATAAAGGAACTTACAACAAAGTGAAAGTGGGCTTGTCCTTCCCCCCTTCGTTCTCAGGGGCTCCCCAGAGTACGACACTCAAGAGTTACTGCAGGAAGTCACCTCCTTTGGTTCACACCAGGCAGGTACAGAACGAAGAGCTCTCCTTTTCTGAAAGCTCGTGGAACTTGAGAAGAGAAAAAGGAAAGAAAGAGGGGGAAAAAAAACCCATCCCTGTGAAGTTCAGTGGGGAGCTGCCTCCTGAGGTTTCACAGCATAATAATTTAAATGATCAAATGATACAGAAGAGACTTGTTAGCAAAGAAACAGCCTCCTAGTTGGCCCCTTGGGTTTCATGCTGAAGCACATGCATTGCAAAACAGCCCCTCTTTGTGTTAAAGAATCTTAGTTTTTGTTCTTTTAAGAAGACTTTTTTCATTCTTTTGTAAAGTGTATATATATATTTCGGGGCAAAGTTTAGCGTTGGAGGATGAGCGATGATGAGAATCCGCTAATCCTTGCTTTCGTCCTAAAAGGCTGGAAAATCATTTAAATTCCATTAGTGACCTGACTATATTCTACTCAACACGGGGTAAGGAAGGAAAAAAATGAGCAGTGCATCTTGATCATTTCTTTATCTTTCCTTCTTGAAACACAGCCTTCTATGTAAAAAAAAACCCCAACAACATATGGCCCTTTTGCACTGTAAGCTTTTCTCTTTTTCTAGCATGTCTGAGGAGTCTCCCTTGTAAATTACAATGTTGTTTTCCAGCTGTAATTCCAGACAATCCAGGTTCATAGCAGAATTGGGGACACAGCAGGACACTTCTGCTGTGTTTGTGTTTTTGGTCATTTCAACAAGCTGCAACTAGAAATAAGAAAAAGTTGCAGTGCTGCTTTAAAGCAGGATTGTGTCTGTATATTACTTAAACATGGTGGGTTTAAGACTATGGCTTCATGTGACCTACAGATCTAAAGTTAAGATGAATGCAAGGTACTGAAATGTGTAGCTGGCGATGAACATTACACGATAAGAAATTGGTGGAGTACCCACCATTGTTGTTTATCTGAGGCAGAAGTCTACAATTTCAAAAGGGCAGAAAGCTGCTCATCCCCAAAGATATCTCCCTTCAGACTCCTCTGGGAGACTACAATTACAATAAATTGTCAGTGACACAAAGTCAGAGATATAATACACCTCTCTTTAGAAAGAGTGCGCTATGAATTCTGGAAAATGGGTTATAAACTACAAAGGTGCTAGGTTTCTGAGCAGATGGGGGGTGACACCTGGGTAAGGTACAGTATGAATTCACGAAACGGGCAGATGTCCCATCATGCTCCCCCCCCAGGCAACGGTGTGAAATACAGTCAAATCAAAAGTGCTGAAATCACAATATTTTAACATACAGAATAGAAAAATACATACGTTTTTAGCGATAGCCCAAAAACTTGCATATCCATACACAAGGTTCTAATGAAAGCCACTCCTTTTTTAACAGTGCTAAATTAGCACACATTCCAAGGGGTTTGTGAACATAACCTTGATATTTTACTTAGCCTGACCTCTCTAACCTCTGTGTGTGTTTGTGTTTCTGCCTCCTGTGTCTCTGTATGTTCATTAGATCCTGCCCCAGTGCTGGAAGCCACACACACCCTGGAGGAGAGACTCCAGCAGCTCCAGAGCAGTGACCCGGATAGCCGCCCCGTCGTCAAGGAGATCAGCAGGCACTGGAGAAGACACCTTGAGCACCTCTCCAGCAAAGGTCAGGACCCCTCCCTAGTGTATCCATGGACCAGGGGCCTAACTGTGGGCTTCCTGCTTGGAGAGAGGCGCGTCGCTTGGGAACGTACCCATTCTGGTGTAAAACTGAAAAATGTCTCCCTTTTCTGTAAAGAAACCAGCTTTTTCTTGTTTCTCTTGAACACATAGTGCAGTGGTACTGTACATGTGAATCCTTATTTTATGATGTCAAACCCTTTTTGTCCTGAAATCTGTAGGTGCCATTTTAGATCCTTCTCAATACAACTATCCTTATCATACAACAGTGTTTCAGATCTGAGGGAGATGAAACCTAAAGTTAGGTTTAAAAAAGCTGTCTTTTCAGGGTACTTATTATTTTTAAAAGATTTCTGTGTCACAGATTTGAATTTGCTGATTCATCTTTGGATTGCAAGAAAGATTATTAAAAGTTGTGGGTATCTTGAAGTGCTAAATGATATTACGAACATACAGTAAGAATTATTAGTACTTTCTGACTGGAAAAATCTTTCAATTAAAATTTATAAAGTGAAATTTGATTTTGGTCTTAGTTATTAGTTACTTAAATTATTAAGCAAGGTTCATTCTCTTAACAGATTAGAGTGCATATTACTTTACAGTACATGAATGTTAAAGATACGTGATGGTAAATAACTATTTTACACCTTGGAAAATACTTGGGCAACTGTTGTCAGAAAGTGTTACTGTCTGTAAATACTTACATTATTAGATGTCAGACATAAATTAAGCATGCAGGTGAGATAATCTGCAATTTTGCAAACAGTTCCTCAAATTTTAGTGTAATCTATTATGCACCATCCCCCTCTTAAGATTTATCCATGAGCCCCAAAAAAGTACTATACGGTCTGTGGGAAACTAAAGAAAGCAGATTGGGTAAAAATATTTGGACTTGGCCTATGAAGGAGGGGGCTTTAGAGAAGGGATACGTTCAAATTTAAAATAAATCATAAGGACTTAATGTTAATTCTGTCGGCTGCCAGCTCTCGCCTGTGAATCTCTCACCTGGCCTGCTGGGAATATTGATAGAGCACAGACTTTGTCCCCAGTATTTACTCAACGGCGTTCCATGCTCTGATCGATTCCTGACAAGCTGGGAACGACTCGGGGGCGATTGATCTGTGTCCTGACAGAATTAGCTTTTGCCCTCTTGGTGATCTCTCACCGCCGTCTCTCTGTGCTCCATATCGCCCCCTGTCTTCCGAAGACACGGCAGGACTGGCGGCCACAGCGTCTGGGGTTCCGGTGGCCTGGGAGCCCTCCGCCACCCCCCCAAGCAGGAAGGCCCACAAGGCGGCGGGGTCTCCTCTGCGGAGTGATGAAACCGAGACAGAAAAGTACGTGAGTAAGAGCAGACTAAGGCACCGAATGCAAGAAAATAAGAAAGGTTACAAACGATGGGAGCCCATTCAGCCTATCTGGGGCATTTAGTAGTGCCTCCTCCAGCCATTTTCTGAAATAAACTGGGGTATCAGCTTCAACCATATGGCTGGAAAGCGTGTTCCATTCTCCCACAACCCTCTGAGTAAAGAAGTGCCTCCTGTTCCTTCTTTTAAATGCACAGTGTGCTGTTGACCACAACACAAATTTGCTGGGTGTTCCTGTGTCCTGCCGGGACATGTCAACAACAATGACACAGGTTTCACTGTGCTGTGGCTGGTGTTTCTGCGATTAGAATGAATCTGGGAGACCATAAATAACTAAAAGGGTACTGGATAATTCCTTGGAAGGCGAAAAAGTTGTTTTTAAAGCCATTTTACTCCAGAGCAAAACTTGTTTGCCATTGTTACTTGCATAAGCCTAACAAGGGACAACACCAATGTGGAAAAGAGAATTGAAAATAGGACATTTTGTTTTAAAACATACTGTAGTTTTGAAACTTTAGTTGGGTGTTGTTCAGAGATCGAAAAAGTAGAACAAATATTGCCCTTGAGCAAAAAATCTTTCAAAAGTCATCCTGTAAAACACAATGTGCTCAAGTATCACATAAGCTGGGGAACTGGATTTCCTGACTGTCATGGACATTTTATATGAGATGACAGCTCCCAAACCCACTCTTGTTTCTAAAGTCAAGCGTTAAATTATCAAAAAAACGTTCTGAATGGTTTTGTGAGTGGCAACATCATTTGTTTCTCTGTTTGATTCAAAGTATTTTGTATTGCAAAACTAATTTAAAACTCTTGAGTAGAACAAAACGGTTCCTCGTGGAAATACAAGCACAGTATGTCTGTTATGGACTTCTGGAAATCAACTTTCTAGATTAAATCAACTTTCTTCAACCATCAACAGAGGAATAAATCACCCTGTGCTTCTCAGATCAATTCTGGTTCCATTCTGGTTTGCACTACTTCCATGTTACCTCAATTTTAAATTATCCACAATCTAAAAGGCTTTTTTAGTGAACACAGAAGGAGGAGAAACACTCACCTTGCATCCAGCGAAGACTGTTAAAGGGTTATATGGCACCCCATTGTTTGAGACCCAGGGAATGGAAAATATAATATTACATAGTCACAGTTACCCTGGACGTGATATTTCAGGAATACTCTCAGCACCGTGTGAAGCTATGCTTGCTGGTGTGTTTATCACCATGGGGGTCCCTGTCACCCTTTGGCCTTTAAGAAGGAAGCATTTGTTTGCCTTCCCTGTATGTGTCTAGATCTTTAGAATATGTTTTACTTTTCTAGCTGGTTTAAAAAATGTTTCATTTTGCAGCATGAGAATGTTAGGGAAGGTTTAAAACGAGGTGCTTGCAGCCCCTCCTGCTCATTAGCTTGCTAATAGCTTGATGAACCTCAGGGTTTTTGCAGATGTCTCTGGGGAACTGGATTGAACAATACGGCTAAGGAGTTTATCTCACAGCCCCTCAACTCAGGGTGTAAACAAGTATCTCCTTTTATCTGGACCAACGGATGTTAAAGTCACATTTGCTCACATTTTGTTGTGTGAAACGCCTTTTATTTTTAATGGAAATCACATGTACTGTATGATGATGTATATCATATACAGCATAATGATGTAAATCATGTACTGTATATGACAACCAGAAAAGGCTACACAGCTGAAATGTTGTCTCTTTTCTTTTCTGTTCTGTTCAGCATGTATTAAATCTTTACCTGTTCCTTGGCAGTCTATGTATAATGACTCAGCTACCTTCTCCATCATATATATATAATATACATATTGATATAAATGTCAATAATACACTATAAACAATAATAAGATTGTTTGTCATGGTCTTCTAAGCCTAATATATCAGGATTCTGTAGATACATGCACAGAAAATGCCCTTTCATTGTGTCTGTGTGTCTCTTACAGAGGGACACAGGAAACAGAGATCACCTTGGCAACCAGACTGGGGGAAGCAGAAGAAAAAATCAAGGTCCTTCACTCAGGTGAGGCTGCTCCCCAAAAATCTTTTTCAGCCATGAAAAGTGCTCTGAGATTGAAATGGTGAGTTCAGTGGCAGGGTTACAACAACCCTTGAGCAGGTTATTTTGTTGGATCTCATTTAATTTCTGGAAGAACAGCTCCATTGTTTTGACACATGCAGTGTACACGTCAAGATGTAGATTGATTTCCCATGATGTAGAAGTTTTTATTTACTCCCCTATTGTTTGTGTTACATATCTTAAAGACACTGGTCAAAACATAAGAAATATCCATCGAATGATGTCTTATTTTTATTATTTTTCTAAAAGAACTTCAAAATATCCATGATTGTACATGGGTTCTTCAAAATCAATTTAGTCGATTCCCGAAAATCATCAGTTCTCTTTCAACAGTATTTGTATCTTATTTCTATGAGAAACAAGAATATATTCCAAAAGCTGGTAACCATTTGCCATTCCATTAGCGTTAATGAGTAAACTAGCCAATGTAGTACGCAGATCATAGACAAGAAAACAGGCGTGTGGTTTTCTCCTGTGCTGACAAACCTGCACTGGATACAGGTCTCTTAAAGGACAGACGTTAAAATTCTCTTGTTGACCTGCAGTGTCTGGTGTGGCCTGTGTACCTTCAGGAGTTACTCTCCCCACACGTCCCCATTCACTCACATTGTCTGGCTGGTTTTAGGCTCCTGAGCGATCCAAGGACTTCATGTTGTACACGAGGGACTGAGCCTGTTCGGCGGCAGCCGCTCAACATTGGGATGCTCTTCCTTACCATATTAAAAATACAGATCCTGCTGATGTTTTCAAGTCTTAGATTAAAACTGAATTGTTTTCAGAGGCAGTTAATTCGTCATCTGTTTGTTTTATTTTCACATGCACACATGGTTTTACAATATTTTCTGTTTGCTGTATTTTTACACGTATAATTTATGCGGTGTATTTTGAGAAAGCTCAGGTTTGAAAGGGTCTGTGTAAGAATAAGATTGATTTATTGAAGTCAACTTTGAAAATACACAACGCTTGTTGTTCTGCTGCAGCTCTTGCAACAACCCAGACCGAGCTCTTGGACCTGCGGTGTAAATATGACGAGGAGGCGGCTTCCAAGTAAGAGCTTCTAATTCAGTTCCTCTCTACACAGCCCCTGGCACTGACACCTGCACATCTCCTCCATCTTCCTCACCTCCTCCATCTTCCCCATCTCCCCCATTTCCTCCATCTTCATCCCCCCCATCTCCACATCTCCCTCCCAGGTACGTTATGAGTTGTGTGAAGAGACACTCTCACTGTACTGCATATCTCAGGGGTTTCAGAGTGTCTACTACAGAGTGTATTGCTACAGAGAATAACTATTGGTCAAATTAAGTACTATTTTCTCCTCCTATGTTTTTGCACTGCATGCGCCAAGGCATTCGGCTGCATTTACTTGTAGTCTGTCTGCCTTTGCTTTTGAGGGAAGTTGGAAAACCTTCCCAGGGTATAAGGGACTTTTTTTTTCCTCTTGGCTATGGTGCTTGTTAATTTCCTTCTGAAGATGATTTGGTCACCTTCTGCAATTTAAATCTTTATGTATTTACTTACAAACTAATCCACCTGGAGGGACAGCTTTAATCCATCAGATATCAGTTATCTTAAAACTATAATGAATCTAATTAGCCCAGAAATAGCTAAGTCATAATACTGTAGCTTGCCAAACATTTAAACAGTGCTACATTATCTTTGGATTTTATTGAGTCAAAGACTGATCATTTGCTGTAGCCTAGGTAATATTATTTCTGGTGTTTTAGCTGGAGTCGCTGTAATTCCCTTCTGTCTGGATCTTTCTGTTAATGAGGATCTTCCTTTAGTTTTGTCCTTTGGATTGGTCAAATGTTTGCGATTTAAGCTTACCTGTAAACTCCCATCTCCGATAAAGACATGCCGTTCAGAGCACCTGTGGCTGAAACAGAGTTGTCAGCAATGGGCTGTGAGTGATTAATGTGGCTTGCTGGGCCCTCTTGTCATCACCCAGCGTGAGTAACATCCCACAGATTTCATCTGGAGACACGGAAAGGGCATTATTTCCCAGCTCCAGAAGTTCAATTCAAAGAAGAGCAGCGCCTTTCCATTTTCTCTGTCTTGATTTTCAGGTCTTGATAATAAGAGCCATTTGTCTGCTTTGACTTGAGTATCAGAGCAGTTAATCAATACAATACATTTTCCATACTGCATGAGTTCATTAAATCTGAATGTGACACTTGTTATTTTTTCCATTGGCCTGGTGCCATCTATCCTGGTGTATTAATACGTTCTTTGTCACCCTTGGCACCTTGCCTGTCCCACAGCTGTCCAGCGTTGGTTAGCTCTCCAGCCGAGCGCTGCTGTAATCTCTGTCCGATAGAGTGGGAGAGATCCGAACAAAATTGAATCCTATACTATGTGGGCAGATTTTCCTGGTTGATTATGGTGTCCATTTCTGTTGAGTGTGCTTCACATACTCAAACTGTTTAACCCTCTGCTACTAAATCTGTTACTGAAAGTACTCATCCACAATAGCAGAGGGTATGTCCAGATTTGTATTTAATGATTATGCATCCTTAATGTGTTTGTAAAGAATGGAAGATAATCAGTGTTTTCAAATGCTAAAAATTCAAGCAATCTAATGAATTACCCCTTCAAGGCACCATTTTTTAATTTGATTTTACATATTGATAATATAACTCTGCTAACTGAGATCTATAGGGACAAGATATTTTTTAATGCAGCTGCTGCAAATATTATATATCCATTAAACGAAATGTATCATAGAGATTAACTAGACACCTTGTGTTTATCCACATGAATCATTTTTATTACAGGTGTAATGTCTCAGATTTATTTTAATTGTAATTGTGATGTGATTATTATTAATTTAATGGTGATTGTATTAATGGAACTGGTGAAATTAGGGTATATATTTGGCAACAGAAGTGACACACACTGTAGGTCAGTAAACTAAGTTTAGCCTTGTCTTATTCAAACTGGAGAAATTAAACAGTTGTTAATAAAGCATACAGTACTTAGGGAATTATCTTAAACAGATCCATTAATGGGCAGCATGGAGCACAGTTGTTAGCATTGCTGCCTGGCAGCGCTGGGGCTCTGGGTTCAATTCCAGACCTGAGCTGCTGTCTGTGTGGAGTTTGCATGGTCTCCCCACGTTCACATGGCTTTCCTCTGGGTGTTCTGGCTTCCTCCCACAGTCCAAATCATACTGGTAGTTCCTGCCTCTTGGACGTGCTTCTGGGTAAATTGGCCCTGATGTAAGCGTGTGTGTCTGTCCTGTGAGGACCCTGCCTTGTACCTCTTGCTTGCCAGGATAGGCTTTGGCTCCCCATGACCCTGAATTGGAAGAAGCGATTAGAAAATGGATGGATGATTCGATAACTAGATTTAATTGATCCTAAAGGCTGACAACACCTGATCTTATCAGTTCAGCAGGTTATAATTGATGCCTTCTTGACAATATTTGCAGTAATCTAATCCGTATCAAAAGAAAAGACCTGATGAATGCCGTTTTTAACTTTCTCACACTTGAGGAATTAAGTACCTGGAACCTTGTATTGTCTTTCCTGCAACATCTGGAGCAGAGTGAACCATGCAGCACTTGACACAGATGGCAGTGTCATCAGAGCTGATAATTGGAACAGCTGTTCAAGATCAGTTATTCCCACAAAACAGCTCTTAGAACATTAGGACACATTTTCCCTACTTAATGCAGTGGTGTGCTACAGTGTACGTGTTAAGGAATAACCAAATTACATAAACGAAAGCTCCAGAAGGTTAAAATGGACATAGATTAGCGTGTCGAGGCTGAAGACAAATTAATAGGCGTTTGTTTGACCTTTAATTAAAAACGTTCTTCTCAATCAAGGTCATCAAACTGTTTTTAATTCTCATTAGAGAGTTACCGTTACCAGTATGCATTGATTGCAGCAGTTTATAAAGTGTCTCAGGTCAGGGGAAATAAATGTAGTAGAATTGGCTAAGCACCTCTGCACAACATGGTGGAAGAGGTATGGTATTCACATTTCCAATTCCTAAAAAGCAAAGATGGTAGCTAAACTGTAAATGGTATACCTACAGTACATTGCCTTAAGGCCAATGTTGTCTGAAAAGGCCGGGTTTGTGATTTTGAGGACTGCATGTTTCCGAAGGAAAACGCTTTAAAATCAAAAAACAAACTAAGGCCATGGAGTAAAAGATACATTGTCCAAAGCCTATGGCATTCAGTGCAGACTATTCTAAATAAGCAGGTCATATAGAAATCTTGACATGATTGAATACTAATTAAAAGCTCTTGTTTTTAAGGTAGAGTTTTCTACACTGTGTCCAAATATTTTTTGTTTCAGTTTTATCTGCTTTAATCCTTTGTGATATTTTAAAACATTAAATATTAAAACATATATTAAACTGCATGTCAAGACATATTTCTACAGTACATTTTATTAAATTGTATCAAGATTTAGCTTTTTTGCTTAAAATCTCTACTTATGTGTGTATCTGTAAATGTGTGTATGACTTAAGGAGAGTTACTGAAAATCTGAAAGAAACTTTTGGACTATATGGGGGACAGAAATAACCCAACCTGTGTGCCTGGTGTGTTTCAGGGCTGCGGAAGTGGGACTGATCATGACAAATCTGGAGAAAGCAAACCAGGTGAGAAAGCCAGAGAACAAGGCTGATTGCTTGTGATTTACATAACAATTCCTGTAATCAAGACACTGTTTTAATTAGATGTGTTTTTCTGTCTGAGGCTGTACTCAGGTTTAAAAGAAGTGTCTCTGTAAACCAGATTAATGGCGATGCTTAGCAGCAACAAGGTAGTTACCTTAAAGCACTGATTGCTTCCTTTCTGTATTTTTTGTTAGCAGCCCTCAGATAAATGTTCTCAAAATGAATCATTAATTAACAGCTTTGAGTGTGACAAGGCAGGTAAAGAGTTTCCTGAGTAACAGCAATAGAGTAAATAGCAGTTTCAGCATAAGATATATACGGACTGTATGTATATTTTGCTTAGCTTTTGTGGGGTAATGCTTAAATATTTCACACAGTGGCAATTAACTTTGTTGCTAAATATTCAGTGGAAATTAATATGTAATTAGTTTTATAAATCGACGTGATTTATTTGAAGTATTTGTTCAGGCACATTTCAAATGAATGAACATTTCAAAATTCAAAATCCGTGATTTTTCCTTCTCTGATTGAGAGCTGGTGGCTTTGAGTTTCATTTATATACACTGTAACACTCACATTTTTTAAAATGTAAAGTTGATCAATGCAAACGAATGGCATCTTAGGATATATTTTAGATTTTTGAACAAAAGTAAATTATATACAGTATCATATAATCAAAAGTAAATGATATATTATGATTTGAAGCTGTAGATCTACTGTGTTGCAAATGTTAAAAGGGTACAAAGTAGTCAGAAAAAATCTGAGTTAGTGAAAGTGCAGTAAATTTTCAATTTTGAGTAGAAGTTCTAGCTTTTCAACTCTCTGTGCACTAAATGTTATTAGGACTTACACGTATTATAATTATAGTTATTATATGCAATTATACACATATTATGGTGCTGTATTTCACAGTCTTTGACTGCTACAACTTGGATAAGGTTTATTCAGGCATTGGTTGTAGTCCATATCTCGCCTAATTTTGATAGTAGGTTCTACCCCTTTATTGCAAAAGGCTTCCCTGTACATGCAATGAAGCTCCTTGTTGCTTGAGATACAGAACTGAAGTACCTTACTACAAATGTGAAGATTAAGACCAACACTCACACATAGGAATTTGGAACATGCCTGCCCAGCCATGTTGTTGAAGCCATTCCTTTAAAAAAAGCCTCAATGAGATGGGCCAAATGGCCTGTTCTCATTTCTAACATTCCTGACTGTTGAGAAAACGCAGCTTAAGTGCCATGTTTTTAACCCATTTTGAAACCTTGAAACGTCCGTTTCATGACACCCCGTGTGGCGCTTCATGTCTGTGGGTGGATGTGTATGGTGTACTAATAGAACAGGCATCGCTGAGAGGACTCCACGCATGTGAAGATACAAGCATGTGCGTTTGTTGCCCCGGAGTGACATGGGGCCTTCCTGTTTCAGAGGGCAGAGGTGGCCCAGAGTGAGGTGGAGAGACTGAGAGAACAGCTGGCCACTGCCAACAGTGCCATCCACTTGGGCTGCCATGGACCAGAGGGCTCCAGTGCGGTAAGGAGCACTCGCTTCCCCTCACACTCAGGGCATCTCCACTGCAGGGTTTGACGATCTCCTGCACAATTCACAAGCCACCTAAACAGGTTTAGGACCTGGGTACAAAATGGCCTATTGGACAGAGGAGTAAGAAGCTCAGTTGAAATAAAAATATACAGGACCTCAGGGGCTGTCTGATACTGGTTTGCTGTCTCTGCAGCTTCTTGCTTGAGACAGAGACTATCTACGGGGTTATGTCCAGTGATCAATATTCAAAGAGATGGGAGGATTCTCAAAAAATGACCCTTTTCAGAAGATGGCATCTGGTGTACGCCTTTTCCACCAATGAAAGGGCTTCATTTTGCAGGCAACAGAAATCTGTACATTATATTACCCATCCATCCATTTTCTCACCACTTCTTCGAATTCAGAGCCGCGGGGGAGCCGGAGTCTATCTCGGCAAGCAGTGGGCACAAAGCGGGGTACGCCCTGGACAGCACCCCAGTCCATCGCAGGGCAGACACATAGATACAGGTTCAAACATGGTCACACCCACACCAGAGCCAGTTTGCGCAGGAGCCAATTATCCTCCCAGTATGGACTGTGGGAGGAAACTGGAGCACCCAGAGGAAACCCACACACAAACAGGGAGAACATGCAAACTCCACACAGACAGGTCCAGAATTGAACCCAGGGCCCCAGCGCGGTCAGAAAGCAATGCTAAACACTGTGCCGCCATGCCCCCCCTCTATTATACATGTATATAAAACAAAAGCGCGTTTACTACAGTTTATGTGAATTGCCAACAGCGGAGATGAAAAGTGTTCACATCCATGAGTTCTTCTGACTTTGTGCTCCCCGGATTCCTCTCAGGATAAGGAAGAGACAGGGTGCTCAGGGTCCCAGCTGGAGGTGGCACTGGCTGCCAAGGACCGAGAGATCATCCAGCTCTTGGAGGAGGTCCAGCGACTCCAGTTCACGCTGCAGGAACTCCAGGAGAGCTCGGCCAATCAGATCGCAGAAATGGAACGCCAGCTTGCCTACAAGATGGAGGCCATAGAAGTAAGAATGAGCATCTGGACTGAGGCAGCTCCCAGCGCCATGAGCAGCAAATACCGTCACATATTGTATCTGTACATGAACAGCATCAGAACATTAACACTTCAAAATAAAGCTCATATAGGTATTTATTCATTTAAAGTTGACAGTTTGAAAACAGTCAGAAGCAAAGACCGTTCCATTTAGGTGAATTATATTAGAATTTGAGGAAAAAAAACTAACATTGCTGTTGTTAAGAACTTGCACAAATGCATCGTAGTATTAGTGCTCTGAAAATGTATTATCACAGTGTATTCCTGTTCAGAAATGGCACGTGGACTTGATTAATTCAGAGATTTTGGGACCATTATCCTTGTGGATCATAAACTCTGTTCAACAATATCCCAACCCTATCAGAGGGAGAGAAATGAAGTTTTCTCAAGAACGTCTCTCTCTTAAGTATGTGTAATGAATTCATGAATAAATTCCCTGATCTCTAATAACTTACCTAACTCCGCTGCTTTTTTTTAACCTTTTTTCCATTAAATCCCATGTATTCTTTGTTTTTTATAGAGATTGGAAGCCAAACTCCGGTCACAGGTGGATTATGAAGAAATAAAAACCGAGCTCAGGTAAGCAATTCAATAATACACATCAGAAATGAAATCTGCAAGAAATGCTAGCCAAATAATATAAATTGAGAAATATAATGTGATTTCATTTTGATATATTCTATACTATATGCACAGTGTAACTTTGATTGCCTTTGTTTTTTAATAACAGCATACTGAAAGCAATGAAATTAGCTTCTGCGAATGGCAGCTCATCACAAGTGAGTATTTCATTGTGAATTTTAGCATCTTCATTGAAGCTGCTGAGTACCTGTGATGTACAGTGTTAATAAAGTCATCTGTGCTTTCTGATATACTGTATATAGTGTAGCTCTTAATCTGGTAGAGTGGTATTTCCCCTTACTGATAGGAAGGATATTCCCAGGTGTTTTGCAACTTGAGTATATAACAACATTGAAATGCCTATTCTGGAATTGTATTTTTCGGCATCATCTCCCTTAAGCTCAGTGCACTTAGCCAACTTTTTTTCAAACAGACAATCTGTTATGAGATCATCTGGTCTAAAGGCACTGAACAGATCTTGGCACAACATTGAATGAAGCTAAATTGCATTGCCCTTTACTTTTTCATATTTTTCCTGTCATTATGAAAACAGAAATTGAATTGAACATATATTCCTGGTATTGTATTATGGTATAGTGAGCTTTCTTCCCTGTGTATAAAAATTGAAGCGACAAGTTTCTCAGTTTAAGGCCATTTAGTTTCATTTTCCATATTAAACTTATAAAATAGAAGATATTTTAGGTTGAAAGCTATGACCAAAGATCTTACACCCCTAGCTCAGAACCTACTTGTAAGTGAAAGGCTTGTGGATGACCATCCTTACAATAGGGTGTAGTAAAGGCTACATTAATTCATCTTTACAGCTGGTAATGCTGAACTCTCTCTGCTTCTGACTCTCTTAGGACACTTCAAAGACTGCAGAATCTCTGTTGCTGGACAAAGAGGCCTTTCTTCCTTCTCAGAAATACCTGGTGGATAAATCCAGTCTTTTGCATAGCAATGGTAATGTAATACGTGCCTGTTCATGCTGCATCCTTCTGCTCCTTCTTCTGCCACTTTGTAAGGTGAAAAGGAATATTGGGAAAGTATTATAAACTGTGTTTTCATCATGCCCATACATATCATTGTGTCATCTGACAGATGTTTGGCAGATGTGGAGATTTAGGGTCTTGGAGAACCCAACTGTCCATCCTGTCTGCCTTTTTTTTTTATCGAGGAGCCGAGATGACAAATGGCATGTTTATGGTTTATCAGCATCACCGGATTGAACCATGAGGTTGAAAAATGTGTGTAAAGCTTTGAAATGAGACATGCTCGTGTGCTCATTTTGAGAGCCTGGCAGTTGAATGCCCTTTAACCTGTTGTCTAGTCAGGGTTTTAGAGGCGACAGACTACACCCAAGGTACGAGTCGGTCTGTACTTGACAATGCCGTTACGAGGGAAGGGAATGTAATACCAGCTTCTCTTTCCTGAAGAGGAGGACCAGTCTGAGGAGGAGGCTGCGAAGGAGCCCGAGAGACCAGGTGTGTCTTACTCTTCTCCTCAGAGGGCCTTGCAGCCCCTGGCGGACGGCCGAGCCTCGCCGAGCCCTGGGCAGCCCGGCGCCGGCCCGGCTCTGGCCCATGACCTCCCCCGGCCCTTCTCCGGCTCCCCTTTCCCCGGAGACAAGCTGCCTGGGGACCCCCTCCTGCAGAAGCAGCTGCTCTCGCCGCTCTACAAGAAGGAAAATGGCGGCCAGATGGCCTTCCCCACTGCCCTCTATGCGGCCAAGGCTGCCCTGATATCCACCGCTGGTCAGGGCCCGGCGGCCGCGGCCACGGGCGGGGAGACGGGCCCCCCCAGCGACCAGTCGGAGAGCGGGAGCTCCGGCGTGGGGGACGACGAGCAGCTGGACACGGCGGAGATCGCCTTCCAGGTGAAGGAGCAGCTGCTGAAGCACAACATCGGCCAGCGTGTCTTCGGCCACTACGTGCTGGGCCTGTCCCAGGGCTCCGTCAGCGAGATCCTGGCCCGACCCAAGCCCTGGAGGAAGCTGACGGTCAAGGGGAAGGAGCCCTTCATCAAGATGAAGCAGTTCCTCTCCGACGAGCAGAACATCCTGGCGCTCAGGACCATCCAGGTCCGGCAGAGAGGTGAGCACCCTTCCGTCCAGAACCGTTCTTCAGCACGATTCCCAGACATGTTATACCCTGGTTTTACCACCAACCCGACAGAACCGGCTCCTCCTGAAATCTGTTTGTGTTCCATATTTGATCAAATACGATGTTTTTTTGTTGTCTCTCTTAATGAAGTGTGTAACTCAGTCTGTCTTTGATGTTTCTTAAATAAATGAATCATTGCGTCAAAGATTTCAGGGATATTTACCTGACTTTTGCAGGTTCAGTTGTAAAAGAGAGCAGTCAGGTTTGCTGTGATGTTTCCACTGAGGGAAGACCTTGGCAAAAATACTAATAATTGCTTTATGAAATTAATTTTAGTACACATATGCATCTTCCAAAAAATCTTTAAAAATCCATTAGAATTAAATGAAGACATGAAGTCATTAAAGCACTACAGAGCCTTACAGAAGTTACACATTACACTTGACTAACAGCCCAATGGTTTGATCCATTTCAAGGTTTACGAGCTGAAACTGAGCTGTAATGTCTTACACACATTGGACTTGAAAAGCGTCTACCAGTGAGAACATCTCAAACTGTGCTTCCAGGCATGAAATACCCACCTTAGAATATTGACCTTTATAACAAAATCAAATCCAGCTCATCATCATAATGAAACTGAAAGAGCTCAAACACCTTTATATGGGAATCTTATTGTTATTAATGCTATCCTGTAATATATTTAAGGAGTCAAAGCAAATCTAGAGCCCAGGATGGGGTTATTGTAAACCTACTGTATACTGTATGCTTGCTTTGGACATGTGGAGCAGCTTGATCTTATCCAGAGACAGGTAGGCAGGCCGTGGTGAGAGCAGCAATTTATTTATTCTCTCACATACTACAGATCATTTTCGTCCCGTCTTGCTCTCTGATTGCCGGAAGCTGAGAAGTATCAAGCTTTGGGGTAACTTCACATACACCCCCAACTCCCCCAGATTTCCTCATCAAAATAAAAATCCGTCATCCTCACTCTCGGTCTCCCTTCACCTCTGATCAGCCAGCCCCCCTCACCTCTTCCTTTTTCCTCCCCGTCAGGAAGCATAACTCCCAGGATCCGAACTCCAGAAACTGGGTCAGACGATGCCATTAAGAATATCCTGGAGCAAGCCAAGAAAGAAATCCAGTCCCAGAGAGGGAGTGAGTATCCCACAGTTACTGTCCAGGACTGTGAACCCTCTCTTCAGCTGTAAATTCTGAGAGCTTGGTCTTATTAGATTTTTAAAAAAATATTGCTTAGTCAACCTTTATGCTTTTACAGTAAGTGTATAAAAAAGCTCATTTCTGAGGTACGTGTTATTTTAGCCACTGAATCATGCAGTCATAAAGAAGATAGAAAGTAGAAAAAGATCAATTAGACAGGTTCCTGCGGCGGGGAGGCATGAGTAATAATGATGACAGGCTTAATAAGCTAAAACATTATAGCATCGGTAGATGATGACTCAGGGGAAAATTTGACTGTGTTCTTCAAAATTTGGAGTGCAATAAACGAGGTTGATTCTAGCAGATATTTCAAACTCAATTAATCTTGCAAAGCACAGAGGCATCAGTGCAACCGAAGTCAAAGCAGGCTCAGGGACGTTCTGGGGTGAGCTACCCCCCACCTCCCTTTTTTCATTCATCTTTACAAGAAGCAGAACCATTGATTTATCCCCCCTCCCCCCCCCCCCTGGACTCCAAAGAGTCAGATCCAGGGGCTTTTTGGGGGAATAAAAAGAAAACATTTCACCCCAAATATACGTAGCGTCCACCAAACACACACAGGGCTGTGGTCCGCGTCCCATGAACCAACACAAACCTGCAGGGCTTTGCTTGCCTCGCAGTTCTCTTTATCTTTAATGTTCATCCTTTGTTCCGTGCGTTAGGGGATTGTTTTCTAAGTAAGGCTGGGATTGTCTCCTAATACTGCTCATGCATTGCAATTTGCTCCTGTGTTCCAATGGGGGATCCCGTGTGACGGGTAGACAGGTCAGGAGGAGCTAACGGGTGCCGTCCTTGTGGCGGGGCAGGTGAAGGGAAGTCCTCGACGGGGGGAGTGGCGGTCAGTGCCAGCAACGGCGGGGGCAGCGGCGGCGGCGGCGGCAACTCGGACGACACCATCAAGAGCATCCTGGAGCAGGCGCGCCGGGAGATGCAGGCCCAGCAGCAGGCCCTGCTGGAGATGGAAGCCTGCGGGCGGGGTGGGGCGGCCGGGGCCCCGCCAGCAGAGCGCCCCGCCGCCCCCGACTCGGGCAAGGGGTTGCCGCTGCCGGCCTACATCAAGCAGGAGGAAGGGGGCGGCGGGGCCACCTGCTCCCAGAGCAGCAGCTGCTCCCAGACCCCGCTCAGCGTGCTGTCCCCCGCCGCCTTCGTCCAGAACATCATCCGCAAGGTCAAGTCGGAGATCGGGGACGCCGGCACGTACTTCGACCAGCACTGGGCGGTCGAGCGGGGGGTCCTCGGCGCCTCCCGGCCTTTCACCTCTGTGTCCCCCTCGCTCTCCTCTTCCTCGTCCTCGGGCTACTCCGCCCTGCCGCGGCCGTGGCCCCGCGCGGAGAACGGCGAGAGCCTGCCCAACAGCGAGGAGGCCTCCGCGGCGGAAGACGAGCCCGGGCGGCCCGTGGAGGTGAAGCTGGAGGCCGAGGCCTCGGGCAGCGGGGAACCCCAGGGCCCCGGCCGCCTCTCCTACTACCCCGCCTACGTGCCCCGCACCCTCAAGCCCACGGTGCCCCCTCTCACGCCAGAGCAGTACGAGATGTACATGTACCGCGAAGTGGACACCATCGAGCTGACGAGGCAGGTGAAAGAGAAACTGGCCAAGAACGGCATCTGCCAGAGGATCTTCGGAGAAAAGGTGAAGCTCTTCGGGGTCCCGCCTGAAAATAAATACTTCTGTTTCAACGAGATGCACCTTGTCTGCATATGAGTTGAATGTCCTTCCAAAAACTCCTGTTGTTTTGGGGGGGGTTATTACATTTCTATTGGCAATCTGCTTGGCTGTTTTCAGCCCCCAGAGCTTGTTGCTTCTCTCCTTTTTTTGAAAGTGATTTGTGGTCTGGAGGGCCAGGGCACAAGGTTTAACATTAAGCCTTGTTAGCCCCTAGTGCAATTCTGTTCTTCGAGTTAAAATGTAATCATGTCAGTCCATCAAATCAGTCAGTTAAGTACAGTTGTATAGTGAAATTCAAATCTGGTATTCGCACAGTCTGTATTTATCCTCATGCATCGGCAGCACACTGCAGGACTGTAAAGTGCAAAGTGATCCAATGCTGCCATCTAGCAGGCTACATTTGGACTAAAACTGAAGAAACGATTTCTGGCCTCAGTCTTGAAACCCTCTGTTTTGCTGTGCCCTTGTGCTGCTTTACAATGTATTAAAATGACATTATGAAGTGTTTAGAGATGGGACTTCAAAACAAATGTAATCAGTCATTTAGTCAGTTCATTGGCTGCTGTGGTGGCAGGAGGAGTGACAGCAGGGTCCTCTGTCCTAGCTCGTGATATGGACTAGTGTTTGCATGCTCGTCTCACCCTTTACGGTTGGCGACCCTTGCCAGGAATGATGGTTAACTGACCGCTCCTCCTCCTCCTCCTCCTCCTCCTCCCAGGTGCTGGGCCTGTCGCAGGGGAGTGTGAGCGACATGCTGTCCCGACCCAAACCCTGGAGCAAGCTGACCCAGAAGGGCCGGGAGCCCTTCATCCGCATGCAGCTCTGGCTGCTGGACCAGCTGGGCCAGGGGATCAGTCAGCCGAGCAACCCCAGCCAGCCGCAGGGTAACTATCGCGCCTAGGGCCGGTCCGAGCTCGGAAACCAGTAGTGGTCTCTCGTGTTCTGGTTCTCTTGACGAGCCTCCCTCCCCTCATAAGCGGTCTTGGTTCTTGTGTTCCTGCCCCGGCGTAGACAAGAGCCCCCTACAGACGCGCTCCTCGCCCTCTCCGCCGCCCAGCCCCGTGGAGGAGCAGCACAGCCCCCTGGGGGAGCCCGTGAGCCTGGAGAGCAGCAAGGAGAACCAGCAGCCCGACGGCCAGCTCACCCCTACTGCCATCCCGGGCGGCAAACCTGCACCGAGCCTCCTCTCCCCTCACCACTCCCACACCTCTCTGGGCATCCAGGAGCTGGTAGCCATGTCCCCAGAGCTGGACACGTATGCCATCACCAAGAGGGTGAAAGAGGTGCTCACCGACAACAACCTGGGTACGTCTGCCAGGCGCACACTGCTCTTCATTCACATAGTGTAGCGCAGCATGAGCCACCCACGGGCTTGTCTGGTTGCCTATTTTTCAGTTATCTGAGGAAGCTGTCCAGCTGTTTCTTAAAGGGTGTCTGTGTACTAAGAAGTCCAGTAGGCTGACTTTGTCAGTACCTTTTTAGGATTTGGGGAATAGTTAACTCAAGTCCCAAGCAGCACTGTGGTGGAGTTGTTAGCATTGCTGCCTTGCAGCTCTGGGGCCCTGGGTGAAATTCCAGACCTGGGATGCTCTCTGTGTGGGTTTTGCATGTTCTCCCTGTGTTTGTGTTAGTTTCCTCCAGCTGCCCGGTTTCTTTCAAAACGTCCAAACCCATGTTGGCTTGTGGGAAAATTAGCCCTGGCGTGAGTGTGTGCGTGTCTGTCTGTGTGTCTACCCTGTGATGGGCTGGCTTCCCATCCACAGTGTATTCTACCTTGTCGCCTTTGCTTGCCAGGATTCTGGCAGTGACTCCGGATTGGATGAAGCATTTAGACAGTGAATGGATGGGTGGATGAATCCAGTCCTCTTGTAGTTTTCTCTATTCAGGATTAAATATTTTCAGAGGATAGGGAAGTGTGCCTCTGTTTAAGGTCCTTTGCATCTTGCCCTACTCTAAGTTTAATAATGCTCATGTAATACTGATCATACAAAGTCACTTTCAGATATACCCCACGTGTATTTATTGACATTTATTTTAGTTCTCCATCGACTTCAAAGTGTAAGCTGTGATGTTGTTGGGAAATTAATGGGCCCTCCGGATGTGCTAAAGAGGAGGTTGTGTGTTTTAAGAGTCCTCTCCGTGTCGGTTGCAGGCCAGCGACTGTTTGGGGAGAGCATTCTGGGCCTGACGCAGGGCTCTGTCTCCGACCTGCTCTCCAGGCCAAAACCCTGGCACAAGCTCAGCCTCAAGGGCCGCGAGCCCTTCGTCCGCATGCAGCTGTGGCTCAACGACCCGTACAACGTGGAGAAGCTGCGCGACATGAAGAAAATGGAGAAGAAAGGTATGGCGCCGCGCCCTGGCCCTGCTCCCACAATGCATCACTACACTCTGGCTGCATCTAGTACATTCCTTCTTTTTTTTATCATGTACCCACCTCATTGGGTTTAGGGATCAGTTTAGGATGTTCATCCACAGAGGCAAATTCGTCCACAAAGCCTAGGTTGGAGAGTTAGCTCCAACTGGAGGGGCAGAGTGTCATTTGCTGACATCACTGCAAGCCTGCAGGTATTTGGCATGCTACAGGTGTGGATGTTCTATGATGAGAAGCTCCACGAATTTGAACACTACTGCATGATTCGGCTAGTCACATGACCCAGCTGGGCATCTGCTTGCACTCCAACTGAGCACCTTTGCAAGTTGAATCTCCTGGGGTCTCCATGGTTAATCAAACTGGGATCCTGACTGCATATGAATTCATTCTAGCTGTATTTATCAGGAAAAAAACATAGGGGGATTTAATCTTCTGTCTACCAGACAGGCTAGTTATAAAGTCCAACAAGACATTTAGTATGTATAGCTTTGTATAATAAATCTTACAGAAGACTGATGACTCTGATTAGACTATTTGCACATTGGTCCAGGATGAGCCACATCTGCATGATAGCTTGAAAACCCCTGCATTACAGATGGAATGTAATGTTGAGTGTGTATGAAGCTGTATTTCTAACACAAAAGGACAGCTAAGTGGTGTAGAGTAGCTTTAATGTGCCTTATTTGTGAGACACAGTAGTTGCAATCGGGCATCAGCAGCAATGATTATTAGATCCTAGCAATCAGGTCAAGATGACACCTTGATTCATTAGCCATGTGGATGTGGAGCTCAGAATGTGAGGAAGGCAGGGTCAGGCTTTGGTACTTGTGGATTAGTAGATGATAATCTTGCCTCTGGACCAAGCCAAAGTTTTGTGACACTGTGCAATAGTTGCCGTCTATCAGAAGAGAATGTTTTTTTAATTATAATGCAATTAGGAAAGTTAATTGAGAACAAATTCTCATTTGCAATGATGGCCTGGAGAGTTACCCATTAATACAGCGGAGTATGTTATTGGAGCAATTTGAGTACATTGCTCAAGGGTACATTAGCAGCATCCCCCCCAGGATTTCAACCCATGACTCTCCAGTTTGGAAATGAGAATGCTTATCAAGGTCCTGACAGTTTGTCGTGATTAAGGAACCACTGGCACATTTAATAGAGATGTTAACATTGGTGCATTGGCTAAATGACTGTTTTCCTGTCTTGTGGTCTTAATATTTACTAATGTATCTACAGTTTATCCTGCCTCACTTATTTTGTGGATTAAGCAAGTCCCATTGTACATGTGAAGTGCTTTTAGGGTCAAGAGTGTCAATTTGCAAAGTCTTATTGAGTATAGTTTTTGTTTTTAAAAACTTTGAAGACTGAATCCCTACATTTTCATGGAACCACTTTGTGCTTTGGCCCGTGAAATACATTTCTGAAGACATTTGTTGGAAGTCTGTCTGGCCTGACGTGTGTCTGCGCGTCTCGCTCTTCCTCCAGCCTACCTGAAGAGGAGGTATGGTCTCTTGAGCACCGGGTCCGACAGCGACTCTCCCAGCACCCGCTCCGACTGTGTGAGCCCAGGCCTGACGCCCGCTGACTTCAGCCCCTTCAGCCAGGTGAAGAAACCCCGAGTCGTGCTGGCTGCTGAGGAGAAGGAGGCCCTGAAGAAGGCCTATCTGCTAGAACCCTACCCTTCCCAGCACACCATTGAATTGCTGGCTTCCCAGCTCAACCTCAAAACCAACACCGTCATCAACTGGTTCCACAACTATAGGTCAGTACAGCCAGAGAATCCCCAGGAACTGAGGGGAAGAATGAAATCATGGAAGTCACGTGATCTCCTTTTGTCTGCTCCATAGGATTTTATAATAATGTCTCCTTAGTGGAGGACTCTTAAGTGCAGGAATTAAAGCAAGCTTCGCTGCAATGCTGCATTTATCGTAAATGTTTAAGTAGAAAGAACTATCTGTGTCTCAAGGCTCAGTTTAATTTGCTGCTGACTGAGGAATAAATAGATTTCCATGGCATATAAAATTTACATTATAGCACTGTCATAACTGGTACAGCCACAGGAAAATGAGGATTTTTTTTAAACGGTAAAGGCCCTAATTAAAAATCCCCCTCAACCTTTGTGAAATCAGTGTCTTGTTTAAAAACCTCTGATGAGATTTGTCTCTGTTGCCCTGCTGAGCTGTACCTTTAGATACTTAAACGCTTTCACTTTAAAATAAATCCACTCTGGGACTATTGAGCAAATGGCTGAATCTGAGAGCTTGTTTATTATCTCCCCATTATAGCACAAAGATGGCAGTTCCAGTCTCTCACTCTCTTGTACCAAATGCCTTTGTTCCATGCTGTACCCTTTCTACAATACAGATGTCTGAAGAGGCCACCAGACCTTTATAAATACTTTGAAATTCCGATAATGTTGGATTTATCCCTTTTTGACACTGGCCCGTACTGTGCTGCTGTCAGTGTCCCACACAAAAACAAAAGCACCTCTGTACCAGATCAGTACCTGCAATCCAGGAGCGTCTGTAAGTGACCTGTGTCTTCCCGGTCTGGACAGGTCCCGGATGCGTCGGGAGGTGCTGGTGGAAGGGATGCAGGACAACGACACGGATGCGGAGCCTGCCTGCTACTCCACGCCCACGCCCTGCAGCCCCGCCTCCGATCCCGAGGACCGGAAACCAGTGTTCCCAAGCCGGAGCGCACACTACAGCCTGAATCCAACGCCGGACAAGCACCTGGTCACTGTAAAGCAGGAGGATGGGGAGCAAGAGGAGGAGGAGGAAGAGGAGGAGGAGGAGGAGGACGAAGAAGAGCAGTATGCGCAGCGCAGCCACAAGGGCCAGAGGAAATGCATCTCCCTGGGTGTCCAGTTCCCATGCCCGTTGAAGAAAGAGCGTGAGGAGGAGGCGGGATATAGGGAGCACTCTCCCAAACAGCACTGCGCCAAGAGCCACGCGCAGGTGGGGGCAGTGCGCGGCCGTGTCCCTGCGGCTCTTCCGGCATCCCTCTCCCCCGACGTCCACCAGAGGCCCGTCCAGCTGGGCTCCAGGCAGGAGGGCGAGGAAACCGACAAGCCGCCGTCCGACCCCGTCAGCTTCAAGGCTGCCTCGGAGCCTACGCGCGGCAGCCTGGAAGTGTCCCTCAACTCGCCCTCCGCCGCGTCCTCGCCCGGCCTCATGATGTCCGTCTCTCCCGTCCCTTCCTCCTCGGCGCCCATCTCCCCTTCGCCGCCCAGCGCCGCGACGGCCACGCCCCTGGCCCAGAATTCAGACTCCGTGCCTCCGCAGAACCCCAAGCTGAGCAAGAGCACGCAGAGACGCAATGAGAAAATGGCAAACCTCAACAACATCATCCACAGGCTGGAGAGAGCGGCCAATCGCGAGGAGACCTTGGAGTGGGAGTTTTGAGAGTGTTCAGTTTTGTTTTTTTTAGATTTTGTAAACAACACAATGCAGAACTCACAGGAGGACTCTTAAAGAGTACGCGTTCATTGTGGAGGGAAGCTGATAAATTTGCTTTTCCTCGTGTCTCAGCCTGAAGGAGAGTATGGGGTCAACCAAAAGCCCCACGTCTGCCTCTTAGTGGGGTTCGCTTTGAAGGATCTTTAAAAAAACCATTTTAACGCAAACTCCTCAAGATTACTTTTAAAAAAAGAAAAAAAATATTTATAAATGTGTTTTAGGTATTTTAATAAAGGATACTACTTTGAAATATATTTAACAGCCCTAGCTGTTTTGTTTTAAAAAGGAAAAACGTTAAAAAGTGTCAAGAACACTGACATTGAGACTTTGCAGCTATCGTGTCATTAAATGCACACTGAAGTCCTGTAGTTTGCCACTGTATGAGATTAAAAAAAAAGACTTTCGTCTTAAGCCATCAAAAAGCACTATGATTATTTAAAAAAAAGACTGACCAAATTTGCTAATTTTTGAATAGCAGTTTTTCAATTTTTTTTGTCTTTAAGACATCTCAGTTAAAAGTTGGGTAACAAATTGAAAAACAATGGAAAAAAAAAAAGACTGTGGGATAGTCCTTAAAGACTCTAAATAGTTAACATCACGTATGTATTTAGTTTCTTGGTGACATGTTTTGGAACATTTGTAACACAAAGAGTGTCATGTGTGGTTGTATATGTTGTAGAATTGTCTGCAATAGCCTTTTCTGAACAAGATGTAGCATGGTACATGAAATTACCGTTATCCCCTTATAGTTAGTGACCTGTGATATACTTGAGCTAAAAAAAAAAATCTTTAAAAAAAAAAGAAAAAAAGGAACTGCAGAATCTAAAGAGTAGAACCTTGTTAGTGAAACTGCATTTGTTTTTCCTGTGCGAAGATACTGAGGTTTACAGTGCTGGCCAGGAACTGCCTGTGAGACGGCAAACGAGCCTGGCGCTGGAGTCAGAGGGGCTGATACACTTGGCGTGGTCAGAGCTTCAGTCACATTTCGTTCTCACTTGTCTCACGCTCGGTAATGCCATTACTCAGACGTTACCCACCTGCCCCCCCTCCCTACCAACCCCCGCCCGCAGTTTCACGTGCAGCTGAAGCGAGTACCCCTATCTCATGCCTGAAAAAAGCACTTTTGCTGTGGGGCATTAAGCGTGAAGCTGGTAGACCAACAGAGACATTCCAAAATGCATGGTTCCAGATACCTACCAGGTAAAGATCAATATGTTATGGAACTTTACATAATATCCCATATAAATACTGTTACATGTTGGCACCTTGAAATGAATTTGTATTATTACTCTGCTGTTGTAGAAAATCTAGCTGGTCTGCATTGTTTCATTCCTCCTGTATGTCTGTACTAATGGCCTAAAGCAATAATATTACAGGTCAAATGGGAATGCTTTTGAGGGAAACAGCATTGGCCGCTGTACCACGACACTGCAAGGCAAACTGCAGACCTCCACTGACAACATTCTGACTTCAGCTTTCCTATGTAACACAAAAACAGCTCTGTGTCGACGTCTGGGCCGAAGTGGAGCAGTGATCAATGATGTGGATGTAACCACTGAAGAGCTCATTCATTTCAGTTTGCCAATTCCCACGGCTAGTGATTGCGACTGAAATAAATTGCTGTTCGGTGTGTTTGATTGTAATTACAATTTATTATAATAGAGCAAGATTGTTGTTGGGTAGAAATAGCCTGAAAGATTGTGCTTTTGGTCATTGGAATGTTACTAATACTACAAAGAAAATGCTAAGCGAGCAGTGGTTTCCTTGACTCTACTGTTACATGTGGTTTGGTCACAAGATGGGTTGCCAGGCAACTCCACCAGGCACTTTGAGACAGGATAGGTCTTAAATGAATGCCTCACAATTGATACACTGAGCTGAGTTGCATGAATTGTTCCTTGCTTTTGTCAACCAAAGCTTCCACTGCTGAAATGGTCTGACCAATCAGTTTCTTGCAAAGAGTCTGTGTAAATGAGGAAAGTGTGTGAATACGGGGAGAGCCCATGCCTACTCCACTGTGGAGTTTAAAAACAATAGCTCAGGAGGTCAGAACCTAATCTCGCCCATTTCTGCCTACTGCAGTATAAATATCAGCCTTCTTGTTCGTGTCTTCCCCTCTCCACCCCTTCTTTGCTCTGTTAAAGTAGGAGGTTCTGACAGCCCCATCCTTACAGATGTGTTGTCTTTTTCCTCAGCCAGGCAAGAGACCCCTACAAAACTAGCTACTCGAATTGTGCCTCTTCACCCTCTTAATTAGGGTTTGACCAGACCACTGAAATGGTTTGTGCCAAAAAAAAGCAATAAAGTAAAAACTCAAAATAGAGAAGAACAAAACTGTAGATTTGCTTTAATCTTCCATTTAGCAAACCATTAGTGTCCAGTTTACATTTTGATAATTTTTTTAATTAAGAGGCAAGGAAATTCCTGTCCTGTCTTAAAGTGTGAACTGATCTGAGGCTATATGGTAGCTCTAACCTACAGTCCCTGTACATACTGTAGTAACTATTGAATTAAGATTCTCTGCTGTGGAAACAGTTACAGGAAACATTTTTAATTTATAAAATACTAAGATGTACATGAGTTTTAAAACCTCAGTGTTCCTCTAGTCTTCATCTCTGTCTTTGGTCATTAGTTAACATGCAGACATGTTAGGAAAGAGTAACATTCAATGTAACAAGCACCTAAAAGTAAGTGCTGTGACTTAATACTTTCTTAAAAATGAATTGATCATAAAAATATGTACAGATTTCATATAAAATGACAGCTCTAATTTTTCTTAAAGTATTCTTAGGGCCACATTGCCTGGTATTGAAATAAAACAGATCAGTGCACTATAGTGTGTCATAGCAAGGTGGATGTTGGCAAAAATGCTCAGTTGAGAACTGAGGATGAACTTCCTCCCTTAAACATTCCTTAGACACACTGTCATACAGACTTCTCAAACTGGAGGAACAACCCCCACAAGCATACCCTAAATATTGAACTTGTATTGAATATTGTGTCTGTTTATAGAGCATATAGTCAGACTACATGACTAATGGCTCTAATTTATTTAATGGAAGCTGGAGCATTTTGTTATGTCTTTGGGGAAATCTGCTCTTTCCACTGAAAATGCCAAAGCAATGACTGAATGACACATGGAGTGTTAATAGTGCCACATGGAGTTTTCCTTTCCTTGTAGGACAACAGAGAATTGAAGAAGGAACTTGCACAATTCAGAAGTTAGTTGCGTTCTAAGCTCATGTAAACAACACATGCTCCCCCAGTTTTCTGCATCTAGCCTATGACATCCCATTTGTTTCACATTAATCTTCCGTCTATGAGCCGGTAATGCTTAGAAACTTAATTTAAATTTTGAGTTGATGCATGAAAGATTGACCAACAGCCACTAACCTTTAAGCATGTACTCTTTTAATTACGTACATGAAAAAAGACAGGATTTGCATCCAGCAGGACTTAGCTGAGCATTCAAACCTTGTTTGCGCTTGACAAACACAAAGCTTTTCAAAATGCTTGCCTGAGCATTGTTTCCTTTCAGTGTGCTCATTTCTGATCAGGGTTTTTTTTAGATGAATAGAAAAACAGCCTTGTCCTGGAGAGCCACAATCCAGTTACTTTTACAGGCCACCTCCCTTAAAAGATTTGTTAACAACTGTAAGCTATGATCAAATTGGGCAAGCAATCTGTTCAGTTAAGAACAGAATTCTGATCCTTGAGGACTTTAAAGAGTACTTAATTTTATTCCTAAATTAGTTCTGAATTACTTACAGTACATTTCAATGGAACAGGCAGCTCCACTTCTTAAAGGCCAAAGATCTGCAGGAGTTAGTCACTTGTCGATACATGGTCATTATAGACATGTACTCCAAGGAGAAGAATTGCCAATTCCTGAAAAGCATAACAACTACCACACGACCACAACAGCTCATTTAACATTAAATTGTGGACAGCTCTGTTCAGATTAAGGAAGAGGTCTGCAGCCCTTAGTGCTTTAAATATCGTACCATTCTGAAATGGTGGTAAATTGACTGAAATAGCATCTTCTGTAGGACTGACCAGCATTGTAAGTGGAACAGGACAGATGTTTCAGCAACTGCTTCCCTCTCTTGTCCTCAAAGTTTCTTACATGTAACTGTGTGGAAAATGTGGGAAAGGTAATAAATCTGTTCAGTTTAAGAAATTAGGTACTCACAAGCATAGATAACCTGGACATTAGCAATAGTTGAAGTCATCCATTAAAGGCATGTGATCCAATGCTGCTGATAAGACACTCTTTAAAACCCTGAGATTGGATTGAAGTGGATCAATCTGTTGATTGATTAAGAACTTCATTATTGATCAGAGCTGGTTGAAAAATGCTCGAAAGGTTGACTTTAAAATGATCGTAGTTAAATGAAGGTTATGCAGCTCCGATAGACCGATACCGATAAGAGGAACACAAGTGTTTATTATGCCTTATGTTTTTTTTTGTTACATGTAAAAGAGTTGTCATTCTCTTACAAGAAAAGCCTGTCAAAACACATCAGTATGTTGTACTAAATTCCCCAAACTGCACACATCTCACGATTACCTTAGTGTCTTATGAGAAGTTGAAATGTTGTATTTCAAAGAGAGGAAAAAAAAATGTAAAGTGTCTTGAAACCACATCTGTATCAGGCCAAGGCTGAAAACATCATTGTACATGATTCCCGCTTGTGTTATGGTTTTTGTTAAAACTGTTACATAAATTGGCCTTTGAAGGCTCAGCAGTGCAGTCTGGTCCTTTTTGGTGCTGACAAGATGCTCAGAGATTCTCACCAGCAATCCACTATAAACAGAGCAATGCATTCGGCTGGCTGAGAAAAGAAACAGGTCGATACGCCCTCAATTCCACATGATTAAGACACGAGCATCCATCAGAATGGGTAATATTTAGTAAGACACAATGGGAAATGTACATATTCATCCAGTGAATGAGAGTGCAATCATGCTGACTGAAAATCAATGAGTTCTTAATGTGAACTAAAGCCATTTAAAAAGCTTTCATTTTAATGGCAGCATTATTCCTTTTACAGCTTTCCCCTTATAACACAGACAATGATCTTAATATCACATTAAAGTGAAAATGGCATCGGTAAAGGCTTAAAACCATTTGGACTCTTAAATAATAAAGCTTAGTATCTTTCCTCTGTATATGCACACTGCAAATACCTCATTTCTTTAAGACAGATTTCAAAACCTGTATATTAAAAATCGTATTTCAATTTACATTTTTGCCAAGTAGTCAGTAGTAGTAGTTAGTAGTTCTGCTAAGATGGTAGTTCTGTTACCACATAATCCACAAATTATCTAGTGCGAAAATCAACCCTAAAAAAAAAAAAGATATGCGTTCAGCTCCTAACACATGGAGTTCGCCAGAGTCAAAGAAAGCACAATATGATGCACTTGCACTGGCAAACAGCAGCAGTACCACCCTGTGGCTTTTTCTTTTCAGATCCCAGAAGCTAACCAAGGCTTGGCTAGGTCAATGGTGGGATGGGAGACCCCAAGGAAAAGCACATACAGCAGTAACCTTTGGCTTTGGTGGCTCTCAATTTCTCTCTGGACCACAATTTCCCATTGTGCCATAAATAATACTGGCTTCAGATGAGATATTAATCCAAGGTCCTAATCCCTTATCCATTGATCAAAGTACCACCTTAAGTTATTGGGTCATTTCTCACGTCTCTACCAGATCTGCTGTATAATGAGCCTGATGGCACAAAAGGGCTATTGCACACCATCCATGTCAATGAAACTGGAGTGCTGGATGACACAGTTCCCCACCAATATCTAAAGCGCGTTGGAAACCTACTGCATGAAAAGAGAGATGGCCGTGTTAAGGAGTTATTATTGAGTTAATTAGTAACTTTCATTTTTAAACTCAAGCTGTTTTGCTAGTGTTTGTCCCCCTTACCAGTAAGGCGCTTTGAGTGCAGTGTCCAGAAAAGTACTCGTAGTACCAGTCAGTGTCACATCCAAGAGCATGTCTAACAGCAGGGTAACTGCAGAGCGCAAAAACAGTGCCCTGAAAGAGGCACAGGTCACATTTCTGCTATTGCAACTATGCATCATAAAAAAAATAAAGCATGTTCCTTGTTTTCTTTGGCAGTTTGGGTCTGCTAAATTCCCTACTTTATTTTTTAGACAGTAGAAATATAAGTGTACAATGATTTGTATCCCTTTTTTCCTAGATGTGCTGGGGAGGTCACTGTCTGGTCCTGTCATTAATAAAGTCACAAACTAAACTTCTAGAAACAGGCCCTGCTTTGTATCACAGTAATGACATGGTCGTTTAAGTCATATGTCTAGCTAGCAAATGGGTGCCGAGATCAAACCCTGGCTGTGCTGAACTCAATCAAGCGCACCCGGTGTGTCTTTGGACTGGTGCAGGGAAACAGAGCAGCTGAAGAAACACAGGACATGCAAACTCCACTCCACAGAATATTTACCATGCTGGAACCAAACTCAGGGCCCAAGAGCTGCAAGGCTGCCATGACACCATGCCCTCTGCCTTTCTTCTGAAAATACTTCTAAAATCGGGAGATTAAGATTCTGTGCTTCAATTTCCAGTAACTCTTCCAAATCAAAACAACTTACAGGCAACTAAGATTATGTTTCTGTTTTGCAGTCATACCGAGCCTAATCTTACATGATGAGAGGAATCCATCCTAAAGACACATGTAAAACTGCTTTCAGCAACATTGATACTTGAACAGCCCATACTGGATCCATGTGATCCAAGAAATCAATATCAATGCAACAGCACTTTTTTCAGTCACTCCAGCTTCAGGAGACATCATATATAAACTCATTTTTATGAGCAGATGTAAACGAGATCAGTTTTTTCACAGACATCTCGTTATTTGGATCTGTCTTTTCAGGGGGTAAAGATCACACCATGAAAATGTTCCCATTAATAAAGGAATTTAACCAACAAAATACATCCAATGTCTAGACTCGCTGTACACAGTATATACACACTGGAAGCCATGTGGTTAGGTGATCATGGACCTGACAAGGCAGATGCAATTTTGCAGCTTTTCAAATCTTTCAGAATTTTTAAAAACGTTCCATTATTGGTTTCATCTTTAAAATCCCTCCTTATTGGACTATGATCAGTTTAAGGCCTCAGATGCTTAAAGTTTTAAACTATAATTTGGTTAAACTACATGAAAAGTAAAACTGAAAGCAGTCTTAAAATGCACTGCTCTATAGGCCTGACCATGGTTTAATAAATAATACTACTAATAATGAAACTGATGAGAAGTGAATTAATCTCCATTCTCACTGATATACGTGAGGTTCTTACTGTACATACACTGGAAAGAACCACTGTTAAAGATTATAGCCAGGACAGTGGCTTTAATTATCAAAATTAAATCCATTACATGGTACAAAAAACAGAACACAAAAACATGAGGAGACAATACAGAGTTAGCAAATGCAACATACAGATGCTAAACTTTATTCCAACTGTTTTGATCTCTACAACATTTTTTTTAAAATAAATTCAACAAAACAAAATATTTATACTGAGCAAGGAGCACTTCCTTGTGTTACAGGAAAACAGCTATGTACAGCTACAAGTTCCTCTTATACAAAGAAAGAGACGTGAGAACTTAAGTGTGTTGAAAACAAGAAAAGGGGGAAAAAAAGCACAATTATGATCCCAGTCCAGTAACCCGTATCTTAACAGCCTGGCTACAGTCTCTCTTCAAAGACCCTTCCAGGTCACAGTCGTGATTTGATTTTTTGGAAACGCACCAGGACTGCCGCTTGGGAAAACTGGAGCATCGCTACATGTCAATCATCCAATAAAACACAGGAAGAGATGGAGCCAGACTCGAGAGCCACATGCTGCACAAAAAAAGAAAACTCCCAAGGCTCTCTCCCAGCATGTAACTGCCCCCTGCTCACACATCTTGTGCAACTCCCACCGAAAAGCAGCTTTCCTCGTGACAAACAGCACCTCCTCAGGCAATCAGCTTTTGAAGTCGCTCCTTTTCTAACAGGTAACTACTTCTTGCTAACATTTATTTTGCACCAATATTTGTTTCCTTCCCATTTCTCAGAATGACCTGGGTGTTTGCGCTGAATTGATAATGCCCATCCACCCAAGAACACAGCTGCTTCCATGTTTCTGCTCCTCTGTTCCTGTTGTTCAGTTTTGACCAACTTGAAGTGCTTTCTTAAAAGGTAAGGGGCACAGTCTACTTTTTAGCAGACATCTGCTTCTTGATCACTATGCATAGGTATGTTGCACACTAACAGGTGTATCCAACCTCCTTCCCACCACCTATAACAGCACCATGAAACTCATTCAACTGATGAAACTTCAGACATCTCCAGCCCTGGTCCTAATAATCTTCAGACACTGACTGAATGCCCTGTGATCTACAGGATAGAGAAGAGGATATTGTATTGGAGCACATACAGTGCAATCCAGAATTATTCATAACCATGTTGAAAGGAATAAAAAGCATCTATAACAAAGATTTACTGATTAATGCCCTGCTGAATAGTCATTCGGTAGTCTTAAAAGCATTGCACAGAACAGAGAGATAGTTGTCGTACATAATTTTAGTATCCAGAACGCTCACATTCGTTCACACTCTTGTAGTAAGCATTTCATAAATCCTGCTCTGGCAGGGAATGCACAGATAAGACACTACCTGTAGTGTGGTAGGAGATTCTGGTAATGCTGAAGGTAGGTTTTGATCATTCCTCTAGGGAGAGCTGTAGCTCCAGCCACTTTGGTCTCCTTTCGTGAACTGCCTTCTGGAATTTAATTGTACAGCCAATACAAAACAACTTCAAAACATAACAGACCCCTGTCCTATTTCACAATGGGCACACATGGTTTCTTAACATGAGCTTCAGTTTATTTTTACACCAAACAGGGATGAGCATTTCCAAAAAGCCAAGCTTTTCTTTCATCTGACCATGAGGCATGGTTCCAATTGGTGGTGTAGTTTGTGAAGCTTCTCCCTTTTGGGTTTTGCACTCAGAAGGGGGTTCTCTCCTTCTAATCAGTTCAGTCCATGAACGTTCATGCAAGCAACACAAAGCAAAGTTTGACTCTTTGTAGCCTCACAATGATACTTTGAATTAAAGACCTCCACCTCTAGTCTTTGGATTTATAGTTGTTGGGGGGGCATGTGTCTAATCGTACCTTCTTCCTGCAAAGGTTACTACACTATGAGCCTGTGCAGAATGTGCAGAACAGTGGCTAAGTGGTCAAACCAGAGTTTTGTGTATTTTCTAGCCATTTCCCAGCAGTCTTCAGGAACCTCTCTGGTTTTAACCATTGAGATGCATAGGTAATACTGAGAGCCTTTCATGTGCAACCTTCTGTTAGACCACAGGAAAACCTCACTAAGCTTTCATTGCATTTTCAAAGAAAAGAATGTTATTATAATTTTTTTCTGATGGATTTTACTTAAAGGAATACCTAGAAGTGTGAATAAAAACTAACATTATCATTTTTAAGCAAAACATTCACCCAGTCTATAACTCATTCCATGTTCTTGCTCAGGGCAGAAATGCATGTGTGGTGCTTCCAGATGTTTGATTATGGTCAACGTCTCACTTGTGGAATTTTATTTCTGAGCAGGTATTACGGACAATTTTTGTTTAGCAGTGCAACAATTTTAAACCACATGCGTCTTCACAGGGGTATATAGCACTGAGTAAAACCGCATACTTATGTAAGGAGAAAGGCTAGCACTGATATTATTCATCTCTTTTGTTTGGCAAGTGTGGATGAAATACAGCATCAATAAAAAGCAGCTAGTAAAAAAAAAAGGTTAGAGATCATCCATAGTCCATTAGCTGGATATAAACCTGCTACACTAAAACAAGACTGCAAAGGTTATTGGTCCACTCATCAAATTTTCATCCTTGCTTGGACTTGATGGAGTAGATTTCCAATTAGTGCAAAGTGCAAAAGACTTCCTTCAGGCACCAGCAGATTCTACAATAATGATCAGCACTAGCGGCAAATTCAAATACTGCCATTATGTCAACTCTGCTTGTGTGAAACAGAAGAAATAAAAAGGCCCATACAGTATTTCACAGGTTTTACATCCTCACACTCCTCCCAAACCCATTTAAAAACCTACATGAAACATGACTACACTTCTAGGCCTTAACAGCCCCTGCTGGGCAGTGATGTGAAAAATCAGAATGATTGTGCTTGCACAGTTCTGAGAAGGCTGGCGGGGTGGAGAGCCTCACCTCCACAGCGCAGAAACAGAAAAGAAAACAAATGTTAATTACCCCTTTTGGAAACATAAGGTCGATTCAATCAGTGGAGGTCAGGTCCCAAGCGCTCTTTTTTTTCGGGGTAGAAAATGACAAAATACACAATACCCTTTAAAAGCTTAATGCAAAGGCATGCTGTATTCTCGATATATTCCACAATTCATCTTTAACAGTATCTCTCACTCATCCCTTTTCTCAGTGCTCTGAAAAAAGTCAGACTGGGCAGGCGTTCTTCCAAAACGCAAAGGATTTTAGTTTATTGGGCGCCTGGCCAGTAGTCACTAGGTCAATCACTACTGCTATGCACATGTAACAGGTTTTGTAGAAGGCAGTATTCAGACAGTCGATCTGCAGAGAGGTCCAATAAAAGGAGCAGTTGAAAAGGATCTCTATCAATCGGGCACCACAGAAGATGAAATAGTGATAAGTGCCTAAATGGAATAAGTTCTTTTACAATTCACTTAAAAAACCTAAGCAACTTACCAACCTGTCTGAAAACACTAACCCATGTAACTGTAAGGTACAGATAAGGTTTTTCACATGCTTTCAGTGTCCAGCTACCTATACCTATTTAATCAGCATTTAGCAATCGCCGGCCTACATTCATAAAGACTTTACAGCTGCGCTAAATGAACTTCCCAATTTCTAGGTTGTCACTAGAAAAAAGAAAACAGAAGCGATAGCTTTTAAGGTGTTGTATTTAGGAGATGCTAAAATGTGTGAATGGTTTTAAACTTTTGTTTTGTGACACCAAGTCTATTTTTTATTTAAAAAATGGGCTGTAAAAGCAAAATACATTGTAAATGAATACATCCAACTGAATTTTCTCTGGATCCCAATATACTTAAATATTCTGTCCTCTGGGTTTTGGATGATTAATATTAACTAATGACTTAAAAAAATATGCTCATTACACTTTCCTGATGCCAAAAAGAATATTTGGTTCTTTTATTTACTACCACAGAAAAATAAACAACTACAAAAAGGCCATTCTTTGCCAAACAGGTATGCCATAGGACCAAAATGTGTATTCAGCAGGATTCTGGGATTAGTGAGCAGTGCCACCTGTAGTTTCCGATGGTAAATAGCTGTGATGTAAACTGAAAAGCGGGTCACCTAGTTTCATAAAACGGAAAAAGTCAGAATTTTAACTAAGAAACTGAATTGGCTTGTAAGTTTAAAAGCATGTCACGTGAATATTCACAACCAAAAACCTTGGTACACAATACCACGATAAAAGGAAGTTACAGCCAAGCATTCCACCCACTGCAGATGTCCTCTGATCATTTGAAAAAAATCCAAGCTGTTTAACTCAAGTGCCAATGTAGAAAGCAGGTCTAAACCCCTTCAGGTGAAATGGAATTAAGCCCTTAAAAATAAAAACCCACATCAATTTTTGCAAGTAATTCAAATTCCTGCCTGCAGTCCCCAAGTGCACTCACAACACTGAATACTGATTGCATGCCCTGATAATTACTATATCATCCAGGTGATTGCCAAGATGTTTTCACGAGGTGGAGAGACCTATACTTTAATAGCATTTCATCCAAAGCAAACAAATCTGTTGCTTTACGTTTTGAGGAATAAGCCACTCAGTAGTTCAAAGGCTTATGGCTATAAAAATGGTCTTGGAATACGACCTTGAATATTACAGGAAAATCTATTTAAGCTGTCCAAATCCTGCATTATGCTATCCATTGTCCTTAGAATTTGAGATCATGTGCATTGATTCTCTAGATCACAATGAAACTTTAAACAAAATGTTTTGTGGATTACAGAAATTTATCTTAGCATTCAGAACTCAAAGGAAATAACACTACATTATAGATAAATGAACTGTGAGCATTTTATGATATTCCTCTTAGGTCATTGATATTCAGCGCACAGAATATTTATTCAATCAGCTTCAAAGATCACTCCTGCATCTCTCCGCAGAAGTTTCTTGACTAGTCTGCCACAATCTTGGAAAATAAAAATAAATACAAGCTTTCAAAAGCATAAAGGAATGAAGACATGTTCATACAGCACTGCCATATTGCTACAGGATACCCTTGTTTTCAAAGCTTTTTGCCTATGACTTGACGAAACTGTGAACGCAGTCCCAGATCAGTAGCCCCTACCCTGCAAAACTTAGTCTCCATTGGCAGAGAAATAAAAAAAAATTGTGACAAATCAAAAATCACTATTGAAAAGTACATTTATTATTCAAATTAAATATATTATCTATTTTGTACAAAACACACAAGTTCTACCAACTCTCCAAAATGGCCCTTAAGCAGGAGAAGGTACTACTAAGATGAACTGAAATAAGGTGCTTGTTTAAGTGATTTGTCTGGGGAAGGGTGGGGATTAATGCAATTACAAATATCCAATACTGCCTACCGCTGCAGGTTCTTCCAGTCTGTGACAACACAGTGACTACCAGGAGAGGTAGGAGCAAGAATGCTGAAAGACCCAACATAACCTTAAAAACCTCAAACATGCAGAATCCAATGTGAATTACATCTCTTCTTTGACACATACGCAATGTTAGCTCACCCTGATTGGCTGACAGCTGTTCCTGAAATACTGTCTAATACTCCCGCCAAGACCTGAATTCAAATTCTGCTGCCTAAATTAATGCAAAAGTGCCACATTGTTTCATCTGTTATTCCTGAAACAGGATATTGAAGTATCCTTCGGGGCACAATAATATGACATTAAATGAAAATATTCAATTTACTATGCAAACTGAAATCTGTGGTGTACCACAGAGGCCACACTGGTGTGAAAATGTGCAAGTACTAATCTTTTAGGAAATGTAGGTTAACATCAGTTTTGTTTGAAAATGGGTAGACTTGATGCATTTATTGGCCCTACCTACTATTATTAATGCAATAAGGCTGTTTTCCCCTGCCAAGAAAATACAGGACTTTCCGTTTGTTAGAGGGTGGTCAAGACCCACACTAAACTCGAGTACAGCAGCAAATGCAAATCTAAGGCATTTACTTGATAAGGAATTGCTCTCAGATTTACCGACCTCTACTCGGATGCCCACAATCGAAACTAGTCAATTCAATCTGATCCACAATCTTCCGTAACAGTCGGATGCCTCTTGCTGTGGAAGGTGGAAAAGTCTGGAACATGCTGGCTTGTGTTGTTTCAGTCTGGAAGAACCCAAGCGGTAAGGTTTCTGTTCTTTTCTGTTGTTACATTCCCTGAGCTAAGAGGACAGCAGATCTAACAGGCCTGGTTCAATATATATACACCTCTGAAGACAAATCTGCTGCAGCATCAATGTAGCATCATTTTCACAAAAACCAATCAAGAAGATTGCATGAGGGGCATAGGCAACTACTTTTTTTTTTATTTCTTAAGCACAACAGGTCCTTTCATACACTATTACCTTGAGTTTACTTCCCCCAATGACTTTCTTTCAATGCCCTCCAAGAGCTCAGCCAATCCAGCAGTTTTAACCCAAGTCAAACCACCCCAGACCAACAAAGCTCTTTCTGAAGCTGAAAGCAAAACATTAATGGGAAAGCACCACGCACTCCAAGACTTTCTAAAAAAAAAAAATGCACTGGGAGATAAAAGGTGCTTAGAAGCTTGCCTGAAAGGATTGTAAAAAAAAAAAGCCTCATTCACTCTGATTGAGCGGTCTATTACGTCATGAAAGGAGCTCCCACCTCACCCACTTCAGCAGTGAAAAGGGTTGCCTTGTCTTGACTGCCATCACTTTAGATCAGCAAAGGAGGAACCAGCCCCTGTAACACTTCCAGCAGTTCTGTGCACGTTCACGCACACAAAATCCAAAGTGCTTAACCCCTTTCCACACATCGTCTTTTTTTACCTCACTTTACAAGAATGCGGCTATATGTATCAAATTTTCATACACAAGCATGAAAATTGTACATATATACACACACTCCACAGATATTAAAAATCCTAGATTATCACCGACTCCATAGTCCCATTGTAAAGCGTGTCTCAACACAGAACATTAGCCACTTCTGTCCATTCTTTCCTCCCAGCTGCGGCCACCACCTTGTGCAGGTCTCTAGTTGGAGCTGGCAGTGATGGGCTTCTCCAGCTCCATGTCCAGGGGAGGGCTGCCGAGCTGCAGGCCACTGTAGCAGGTCTTGCACACGCGACTGGGCTCAAACAACTGCTGACTGGGGACCGGGATCTTCTGATCGCAGCAGGTGGAGCAGAACACATTGCCACAGTTCCTACACAGGCCAAAAAAAAAAAAGAAAAAAAAGCCGCCGTTTAAAGATTTGCGCTGGCTTACTTGACAATATTGTCTAGTTCAGATAATGTAATACAAGACATCCTGCTGGGCAGTCTCCGTTCAATTGAGCTGAATTTGCCACTGTCGGAGAATGAAGCTTGAACATTTACTCATGCACTTCGTTTAGACTTTAAATAGTTCCTCAGTCTATCTTGATTGATTAAAAAGTATGCATGGCTGCAGGAGATAAAATCCCCAATCGTTTGGGGCATGGGCTAAATTAAAACAGTGCACGCACCCATCTACAATGAACAAGAGATTGCTCTCATCTTCAACAGTCTACAAGATGATTCGATGAACAGCACAGTTTTTGTTTATGTTGAACACATGGAGTTCAGGACACTTTCAACACAAACTATATCCCACAGCAAGGATAGCTGGAATTTTAGCCAGCTATATATCATGACAGAAGAGACACAAATTGTTGTGCTACAACTGTTCTAAACCCGAGTGAAGAAGAAAGGCCACAAGACCATCCAATGCATACAATATACATTTATCTACTTGTACTGTATTGTAGGTTAAAACTGACAGTTTGCTGTAGCAATTAATCTACAGATCAAGTGTCCAGAATCCAACAGGGTCTCAAGTAATGTTTTCTGTACCACCTGCTCAGGGGTGATTAAATGTACTTACATCGTTAAAATTAACAATTAACTGCTTTGATTTTAAAGAAATCATTTTAATCCCATGCCTACAAAGGGAAGCAGAAGAACAAAAATCAATTACTATTTAAATGCCAAGTTCTAGAGCCAAATAAGTGCATTGAGGTGATCCTTTTAAAAATTTTCCACAAATAATTTCTGCATGTTTCTTGCATAAAAGCTGTGCAGGATATGAACACAAATACAACAGGTGATAAAAAATTGAGGATAGAATATTATCAAAATCATTTGTTGTCACAGCTTATCAACCATTACAGAACTATTTGCTGTGCAAACATGGAGAGCACAGGTGGATGGGCCCAATCCAGCCCACTCTTAACAAGAGGAGTGTACTTTCTCAACGTTAAGAGCATCATGAGCCTGCTGTATCCAGTACTTCCCAAAAGGGGTAACCTTGTTACAGCACTGCTACCGTATGGGATAGTTTTCCTAAAGCATGCAGAACAGCAAAACATTCAAGACAAAATGGAAAGTCATGCACATGCATAAAAAGGCAAACCTTTGCTTTCACTGGTAGAGAAATCCAACCTGTAACTACTTAGAATTAACTTAATGTGATCAAAATCAACCATAAACCGGAACAATTTGTGGTCAATTCAATTCCAAAAACCCTGCAATAAGCAATATACATATTTCTTCTTGCCCAGTGCTTCATGTAAAAGAGGATCAGTTGATTATGTATGGTAACCCCCAGATCCCCCAGCACAAGGGCTAGTTAAAGGATATTATTCATTGAATACAGCCACAACCCAGTTATCATTTGCATGAAAACACTATCTGAATGTTAAATCATTCATATGAAAAGAAAAAATAAGCCAACTTATTGTCTGCAGTTTTTAGTCCAGAAACACAAAATGGGATTTCCCCCATGTAATAATTCACTGCTAGATTTAAATCAATTGGTCTAAGTTTGGTTCTGTAGCTTGAGGTGTGCAATACAAGTCTGCAGTTAAGACAACATGAAGCACTGGTACGTAAAAGGTACGCAGCCCAGGAGCAGAACTCTCACCATTGTTCAGTAATGGAAAAATGAGCGAGAATGACGAGGATAACAGTTCTGTCTAACAGAATGCAGTTAAAAGGTCGAATGCCTTCATCAACTTGAAATACCGCAAAATAGAAAATAGGCCCAATAAAGAGGGCATTTGTGTTATCCTGTTTGACTGGGTGCCGGTGGTTTATTGATCTGAGGATCTCATTCAGCTATTTCTGGGTAGCTCGTTCTGGATACTTATGTGCATTATTTCCTGGGTTACATTTACAAAAGGTGTTCCAGGTCACAATTCTGGAGGATGTCAACATACAAGATGCATCTGTCTCAATAACTAAAACCAAATCCCTCATAATAAATTTGCCAGCACACTATGAAAATGTCAGTTCTTTTCTCACCTGCATTGGTCCAGAGTAGGGAGAGTTTCATTTGGATGCTCCCTGACTGACAGCACAGGCGAAAATGGATATTTATGAAAATATTTTTTTTTCCCCCCAAAGAGTCATCTGACCTCTACTCCTTTTCATTGTCAGATTTTTCTAGAAGCCATCAACACGTCAGATGTAACTCGTTCTACAGTAATGGTCTGAATAGCAGTGGTTTAGGACATTTAAACACCCCATAAACCGACGTGCAGTCAAGGCAACTAATTTAAACCGGCATATTTTTTTCTAAGTTTTGAACATAGAAACAATGCCCATATCAGTGCAGATTTCTTACGACTCTTCCTATAGATCCTTCCTTTAAAAAAAGCTTGGGATAGACTTGTGTGAGTGATAAACAATTGACATGTTTCAACATAACAGGTTAATTGAACACAGGGAGACCAAAAAAGTTAGAAAGAAAATAAAATAAAAGAAATGCATGAACATAAATGATATGAAAAGAGACAGAGAGGACTGTTGAACAGTTTCTCACCAGGCTTCATCAACAGGCTCCCTGTCCCTGCAAAGTAGAAGGGAGACAGTGGAGAAAGGAACACAAGTCAGAGAGAAGGGCCTGGGCTGGGAAAACACTGGCCTTACAAGAGTGCCCACTGCAGGGCTAGCGGGCAGCCTGCAGTACGTTTCTTCCACCCTATCCCTATCTGGCACAGACAAGCTAAGATCCCATGTCTCCAGCCTTTACGGCTCAATTAAGACCAGCAATAACTCCAATGACAAACTGAGAAATGTGGAAAAAAAATGGCTTTTATAAAGGTGTGCCAGATTATTTTACTGGGATTAATTTATCTTTCACTGCTACACTGTTCAATTTCAGATGAACATTCTCTGTTCAGTCTCAAGCCCATTCCCATCAAGCATGAGACAAGCACATGCCTCAGAGTTGGATAAACACCAGACAGACATCTCCGTAGTGTATTGCTACAAGTTAATCTTAATTATCTGCAGCAAATGTCTATATTTTCATTATAAAACAGAAAAACGCAGATTTCACCATTTACATTATACTATCTCTGATCATTAAAATGTAGGCATAAGATAATTAACGAGAAGGCATTCTGCTTCAATGCTTAAACCACCTTGCTTAGCTTACCTCTTTCCCTATGAGCAACCAAACAACTTCTTGCAAGGGACACATTCATTCAGCATTTTACCCAACCCAGGCCCAGCAAAACCAAACAACCAGGCAGCAAGAGAAACAAAGGATGTGGTAAACCAGAACAGAAAACAAGTGACCATACAAAAACCTCTTGGTGGATATTGTTTTACTTTTAAAAGGATGGAAAACAAATTCAACAACTTGTGGTGAACATAAAAAAAGTTAATGAACATAATGAAAGTTAATGTTTATTACAATATGAAAGAGCACAGAAGAACCTTATGTATCCTCTTCAACGTAACCATTAATTAGCACTGTACATTTTTTTAATTTAGAACTGAAGGACAAAATCTCTTTATTGTATAAATAAAATGACAGGTTTTGGAAGATTACAACTCTAACCTTTATTTCCCCACCCATACTAGCGTGCCCCTTTCACAGCTTTATTTAATCAAAATTCAAGTGCACAGATCTGGCACCTCCTGCTAACAGGAAGATCAAAAGAGTTCTTTAGAAAGTAGTATAGACATGCATGGTAATTGTGGTTAAAAAAAAAGTTTCCCCTTGGAAATATCTTAACTTCACCAACATTTTCATTTCTACTATGGACACCCTGCTGAACTATTTCCTTTTATTTTGGAAGATAACACAAGAGTTCACTTCCGAAAACACCAATTTTAAACTGAAGGTTTTTAATTTACTACAGAAAACAGTCCAATAGGCTCCCCCTATTCACCACCAAAAAATGTAAAGCACATCAGGAGATCTCGTATAGAACAGGAAGGGCAGATCAGCATGATCTTGCAATTCTCAGATTCAGCTATAGTCTGACTTCACCAGATCCAATGAAGACTATTCTGACTTCCTCCCAGCACTTACTAAGACCCATAGTCCCATAGATATTCCACTTCCCTTAAGTACTTCAATTTATTAACTTAGGAAAGGAACAGCCAATTAATTAAACATATCTTGTTTAAAACTGATCAGCAACAAGACAGGGTTTTCATCACATTGTATTCTCAGTAACCAAACAGGTTGCGGACGCTTTTCCCCAAGTTCTTAATTACCCAGAAAACCTGCTGGACTGCGATAAGAAAAGTTAAACGTGATGAGGTCATTTAGCCCATCGCCGCTCTGAGCGTCTGGTTTCAAAACGCCACAGTCACGAGAAGCTGGAAACCAAGCCTGGGAGTGTAGACGAGAGCGCAAGGCTCCTCACCGGCAGTGATGTTTCCTGGTAGCCAGCCAGAACCTGCTCTCACATCCGTAGCACTGGGCAGCCAGGTGGTCAGGGTACCACCGCGTGACCTGCAAAGGCAAACATCTACTCTAACGACACTTGTCGCCCACTAATCACTATCACTGCTTTCTCAACTTGCATTGAAACCTTTTACTTCTTCAACTTTCAACCTTTTTCCTCCTTCAAAGCGTTTCCTGAAAACACCCCCCCCACAACAAGACTGCTTAATGACTGGGTAAAGTGTAGAAGAACAGTGTAAGACAGACCTTAGATTTCTGACTCATACTGAATTTAAGGAAATGTCTACAGTACAATCCCATTAAAGATTAGAGGCACTTCACAGCGACTTCCTGCTGTTGGCCGCCAAGGTGCTACCTTGAGGCTGATGACGCAAATATCTTAACTTTCTTTGAGCTTTTGATTTCAATTGCGGAAGTTAGAAAGATTTAACACAACTCATCGTGAACTTGTCTCAATATACATTAAAACAGATTGCCGTCTTTTGAAAGATGCTTCCTAGTGACTGTGATCAAAATTTAGGGGATACTTCTGTCTGCATTGGGAGTTACAAATATTGCCATCTAGAGCATTCTAGATTAGATCACGTATTCTGCTTGGAATATTTTAAGCAACTCACTAGGATAAGCCATTAAATGGTTACCATAACTGTTAATGACAAACAAATCTAAAAGGGAAACAAGACGTTTGCAACTACGTATCCATGTTCTGAAGGTTTTGTGGCAAAGATTACTCACCTCTGTGTCCTGTTTGTCCACTTGCTCCCAGCTGGCCTCCGAGAACAGCTCAGTGCTGCAGCGAGACAGGCAGTTCGGATCAAGGTTACACTCCGAGTCCGGGATTGAGGTCTGGAACACAGACAGGGTTTCACAAAAAGAACTGCAAGCTGAAAATCACACATCAAGAACTTAACATGCATAGCGCTACAACTAGATCACATCGATTTCTTTGCACTTTTCCCCCAAGCAAATTAATTTCTAAAAATCCAGGGAAAAGTTCTGACTTAGTCATTCACTTGAATAGGCTTGGATGTTTACCTTAAACTTTCCGACTCACCATCACTGTTTCCACTTCAGCTTAATTAATAGAAAGCAAGGAAATCTGCCAAGAACACTGAAGTTCTCAATTCAGCTTTTGTTTCTGGAAACCATTTTCTCTGTGTGACAATCCAGGCTGGGTAAATAAAATAACCTGGACTGGTATTTATCCACTTGAGGGACTTTAAAAGCTGCAGAACATCAAATCTAAATTTCCTCCCCCCTATTTGAGACCCGCTCTAGAATCCAAACCCACCAAGTGCATCTTACCACTTCATCCCCCATCTCCCCATTTATCCTGAGGGAGTTATTGAGGTGTTGGCTCTCTAGCCGGCTCCACAGTTCCTGGACTTGTTTCTTCAGCGTCTCCACCTCCATCTGGTGTCCAGCTTCGATCTGCCGCAGTCGCTGCTGTATGATGTCATTGTAGAGCGTCAGCCCGTCGTCGTCAAGGTGACTGCGGGCCGGCTGCTCCGGGCTGGGCGGCGGGCGGCCCAAGAGTGCGTGTAGACACCTGTGCTGGGAGCCCATGCTGCAGCTGCCACGCGGGTGTAGGTTTAAGGAGCCGCAGCTTGCCGCAGACACCTGCCGGCTTAAGGGAGCCCTTTCCCCATTGTGCCTTGGCAGCTGTGGCCCGCAAGGATCCCCATCAGAGACATCACCATTGCAGATGGCTCCATCTCTGCTGACCTCAGGAGGAACAGGGTGCAAGGCACTGAGAGAAGGCCGCTTGCTGACATTCGAAGTCTTTGGGGTGCCTCGCTCAGCTTCAGCCTCCCACCCAGCCTCTCCTTTGGGACAAGGTACTAGGCACTCAACTTCATTAGGCAGATTAGAAAGCGAGCAGGCAGACGACGGCCCCGAAACGTCCTGCCGAGCCACCTCCTCTGTCAGAGTCTCTGTGGAGCTCTCCATTAGTGAAGTCCTGTCATCTGGCCGATCCAGGGGGAGGGACAGAGGTGAGCTCGGCTGGGGAGAGGTGCCACGACTCTCTTTAACACCCTGGTCACCCAAGCAAGTTTGACTGTATCCATTGGCCATAGTCCTAAACACAACACTACTTACATCGGGCAGTTTGTGAACATCAGAGGCAGGAAGCTCCTGTAGTTCCTGGGAGAGATGGACAGTCGTGTACTCCACCTTTTCCTCCAGTGATTCAATGCCCTCTTTGCCATCCGAGACAGGGACAGCTGGCAGGGGTTCTACATTTGTAGGCAGTGTTGCAGAGTCCCCTGGAGCACTGCTATTTAGTTCTCTCTGGGCATCTTCTATTCCAGTTTCTTCTTTTGTTGCTTCCTGAAGGATGTTCTCCATCTGCCCCTCAGCCACCCCAACAGCCACTGAAAGCTCAGCTTCCTCTTTGTTCTCATCCACCAATTGCTGCACCCACTTGGCTTCACGGTCTTTAAGATCCACCCCCAACACACTCCCCCCCACCGACTCCTCCCCTTCCTCCGCCTCTCCATCAGGACTGCCTCCTTGGTGACCCGGCTCTTGTAGGTTATTAACTCTGGCCTCTTGGTCCTGGACAGTGGCACCATCAGGCCCCACCCCAATGTTGATCTCCAGGGATCGCCTGTGGTCCTGCCACTTATCATTTAAGCTGGGGTCACTTGAGCGCCGGTTGGGGGCTGGGCAGCCTCCAGCTTCACAGGCGCTTGGCAGATTGTCGAAGGATCTAGTCTTCGGAAGTCTTGCATGGAAAAAGTACACAGAAAATAACTTTGATTATAAAAAAAATAACTGGATTCTTCATAAGGTTGCTATGAAGTCAGATATTTTAAGCATTTAATTTTTTATTCTATCTATTCTACAGTATGTAGTTACCAATTCATATTACACAGAATTTAAATCTCTAAAGATCACGAAATACTGGTATTAATAGTATGAGTTATTCTGCTAGTAGCTGTAAAATAAATATTAACTGTTTTTCACACTGTAGTTAATTCCGTTAACCTGGGACATGAACATACATTTCCCATACCACCAGCTCTGTTTCATAGGCAATGTTTCACCACACATTCTCTAAAGCAGTGAAATGAGATGCTGCATTGTGCTACTGTATATTCAGAAAGAGAACTTCAGAATAAAGAAAGCGCAATGCTACGAACTGGAGGCTCTTACTGGATTACATGGTTATATTTTTCATTTTTGGCAAAACACTGAGTACAGATTAATTTATATTCTTGAATTATATTCTGATGATATACATCAGAACAATGTCAACTACAAAAAGAACTGGGTGGAGAAGTGTACATTTACACCCTTTGTAGCCTGTGAGAGTCTTTTAAATCCAGTGTAAATCAAAAAAAGACTTAATTTTGAAGAGATCTTTATTCACCTGTGGGATCCGGAAAATGATTAGTTTTATAGGTATGTGCATTGCATTCATTTTCAATACTAATTCCTTATTTAGGAGGGCACACACCTTCAGCAATCATAAGTAGAAGCAGAACATTAAATAACACCAACAGTAGAAGGTATGTAAGATCTTGTTTTTAAAATGTTAAGGTTGGATTTCATTTAAGCTGCATTTATACCACTTTCCGTACATAAAGACGAACATTCATACCTTGCAGAACTGGCTGCAATGGCACAGATTATGCAATTAAAAAAAATCTTAATCTTACAGCTCCCCATTATATAATTCAAGACTTGACTAGGTTCTAGTAATTGGCATTTCCACTTGAAATAGTTACAGAAATGACAGCATACTGAATAAACAAAAAATGTTTTGATCTTACAATACTTGTCAAATGCTGCACATGTTCTGCTGCACTGCAAGTTCCAGTGTAATGAATACTCATTTTAAGCAGCACAAACACAATTCTATCAATTAGGTTTTTTCAAAGTAGGAATCTCAAAAACCAAACCAATCAATTGGACCCTGAGCGAATGCACTGAACTGAACCAATAAACACTTAGGGCTTGAAAGCACAGTAACAGTTGATATGCATGCATTCAATCACAGCACTTAACCCCCCCGTTCCCACAATCTGGGTTCATCTTACTTCACAGTGGTGGAGTCAGGGCTGGAGGCTCACCTGCCCAGTGGCTGATCCTCTGGATTGCTTCCAGGGGCAGGGTAAGGTGCACAGGACTCATCAGAGGGTGTGGTGGGGGAAGAGTTTGGGAGGTAAACTGCACTCCATAGCATCAAGTTGCGAACATGACACACTGGGTGTAGCACCTGGGGGGGGCGGCAGCAAGACATATTAGGCTCCAGTGCTATTCAGCGGTAAAACATCATGACCAAACTAGATGTCACTTAATACATGCAAGAAAGAACCAAAATATTCCTTGAGTGTTAGAAAATGCCCCTGTAAAGATAGCTGGTGTACACAAATATGCCTTTTAAATTTTCACTAAAGCCATTATAAAACGACAAGCAATTCACACCCCGCCAAGAACTTTTAATCACAAAAAAAGTCAATAAACAGGTGCAATTACAGCAGGGTAGTTGTTAAGTATATTTACACTCCCATCTGATCCCGTTTGAAACGGTATGGACAGATTTAAAATGATAAAAAACTAGTATATCAAATCAAAATGGTTTCTCAGGACCTTAGACCTATAAATATAAAGCAGTCATTATAAAAATAGAGCAATACTTAAAGCTTTTTATAGCAGCTTCTCGTGATACTTGGTGTGTACTTCCTCTTTTGGGCTGTATTTGTTTCAGCAACTGGAGGTAGTAGGTAACCAAGGTCCAATCTACCCGAGCACTTCACATACACTAACGCTAACCATGCATATTGTCACAGAAACAGGAATCAGTTTATCTGACCTGAGTGAACGTAAATGTGACAACAATGATACAGATCAAAGAATCCGAAAGGTTTGATCCTGATCAGAAATGGCCATGCAAATAGTTACATTAAGGATCCTTCCTGACAAAGTGCCCACATTTGTTCTGAAGAGATCAACCAGACCCAACATTCAGTCAAGAACAATAAGAAATCATATTCAGAAAATCCTTTCTAGATCACATCTTTAAACATCTACCAAATTCAACATGAAACCTCCTTATTCAGATTCTCAAGCTCAGCAAAACATCACAACGCCTGTTCGGTCCCAGTGCCCCGATTACCATGAAGATAGTCTTGCAGATCGCGACAAAGCACAGGCCTAACTTTGCGTTTGGCATCGACTGCCACGATGTCGTTTACATGCAAATCCACATAAAAACATTTACACGGGGAAAACCCAGAGAGCAGCCGCACCGTTTCAGAGTGGGACGAGTAGAGCATGTTGCGGAAAGCTCGGTTGGCAGGGCGTAGCAGGGACCACACAGAGCAGGTTCTCTCGTGGATGTGGCGGTCCTCCCTTTCCTTGACACTGTTACACAGAAAAGTCCCAAACAGGCACGAGTAGGTGTGCTGCACCAGCTTCACCTGCGCACGAAGCAGGGCACAGTCAGTCCGAGACATACACCAATCTCAACTGGCTCAATTCAATACTCAACAAAGCCGACTGGAATTTGTTCCAGTACAGCACAGATTAAAAAAAACAAGCACAAACAAAAATATAATACACTTACAGAAATATAAACAGTACATGTTATTTAATCGATGCAACATTCAAGATCTAAAAACTGAGGTGCATAATGGCCTGTAGATAGGAGCTATTGTGGAAGCAGACAGCATCACATTACATTCAATAGTTTGAAACCTCCTCCTCGAAGGGAAAGGTTTAAAGATCTGGCTGGATGGTAGGTATCTGTGGACACTTTCTTTGCTTTCCAGATCTCTAATCATTTAGAAAAAGTTCCAGTCCATTAAAAAAAAAGTCTTATTTGCCAATCAACTACAGTTTAAATCAAATTAAACAAGGTTTTCCCCCTAATAATTCATGTATATAAACTACAAGGGTACCACCACTAGGGGGAGACAATCATTCAGTAAACACCAAATGGGACATTGTGAATTTCTACTGGCTGCAAGAGGAAAATAAAAGCTTTAAACTTGGTCTTAATTGTCTACACATTATATCCCCTCTGGTTAGAAGGAGCGTACCAGAAAAGCTTCATTGAACTCAAAGGAGCAAGGAAACTGTCTCTGCAGCTGATGCACACAGTCTAACCACTGGAGGAACACGGGACAGCGCTCGTTCAAGTCGTCCGAGTTTTCTCCATGGCCACAGCGGTCTGCAAACTTGTGGCCAAAATCCAGCCACTCCGTCTCCACCAGAACTTGGAAACCCTACAGAAACAAAAGGAAGTTCCCCCCCCCAAAAAAGTTAGGCTTGTCCAAAGCTAACAAGAGCAGCACTGACCATACATAAGAAATTAGCATCCACTTGTACATCTCATCATTATACCTATCTGCTTAAAAATGACTATTACATTTAAGAGCCTTGTATGTGAAATGTCCAACATTATTAACTATAACTTTCACTTCATAACCTATTCAAAATCCCTTTCACAAGATCTGACTCCTACCTCTCCACAGAAGGTAGAGCTGGTGCTTTGTCTGTAACTAAAGCAGATCCTGACATGAAGCCTTCTCTGATCATCCAGTCCCTGGCATGTTGCCACTGCGTGACAATCCTGCCTTGATGTCCTACCTCTATGGTCCTGTAGTAGGGGTCCAGCAGCAGCTTGGAGAGAGCCACAATCTGTGGCGTGCGGTCCCAGCCATCAGAGCAGTGCACCAAGACAGGCCGGTGGTCCCTGTCCAGAGCATTCACAACAAGCAAGGCCGACTTGAGCAGCACTGACAGGTGCTGCAGCCACTTTGTGCCCTCCAGGGCAGACAGCCAGCTGCGATGAGAGAAAATGCCTTTAGACAACACCGTCCTATTGGTTTAGGATACTAATAAGGAAATACCTTATTTGAGGATAGTTAGATGAAAATTTTGCAAAACCGGTCGTTTCAATTCTGGTAAATATATTGACTCACTAGCATAAACAGGGAAATTAACAGTCGGCTCATTTGGAAAGATTTGGATCAAATTAAACCCAAGTATAATTGTCTAAAGCTGTGCTCCACCCATCCACATAATGTAAGATAAGGGTCTGTACTCACTTTGCTGGATCAGGCATCTGTGTGCAGAGCAATCGCAGAGACTGGAAACTCTTGCGGATGGAATGAATGTTTGCCATGCCCATGAACACCACTTCACAGTTTGGGTAATACTCTACAAGTTAAAGTTGATAAATGAACTTTAAGTAGAAGTTAGAGCCATTCCCAGACAAATATTGTTCCTAACAGTTTTGTCAAGTTTCCATCCTTGATTAGAATAACAGCTGTCAAGCAACAAACCGGGCAGGAAAGTGAAGGTGCACCAACACGTTCGGTGGTTCCAAAATGTCAGCTGACTGACATTTACACTTCTGACATTTTTTTCTCATCAGATACTTAGGTTTCTTATGTATTAATGGGTTCATGTTGTGTTAAATGTATTGTGTTATGTCAAATTTCTCATCTGGGACGGTAAAAGAAGAATTAGATGAATTAAAAGAGGAATTAAATGAAGATTCAAGATCCTATATATATATATGACTGCAGTAAAATAAACCTTCACTAAATCAAGGTAACTCAAGACTTAGAACTGTATTAAGGACAACAACGTGATTGTAAATACCGACAAAAAGCAACAACAAAAAATAGAATCTCTCGGTCTTTATGAAGCTGTACACTCCAGCAGTGAGTGAGCCCCAGAATCTGGGAGGCTGTTTCAAACCCCCACCTGGGCACTCGCAGCCACCTCCTTTGGCTCTGTTGGCCACTGCAGCAGCATACGACCTGGCATCCAAGATCAGAAGCTTCTGGGGTTGAATGGCCAGGGACTCCACCTCTGAACTGTTGGTCATAGATGCGTCTGAAAGCAGGACATTGTTTAAAAGTGGCTCAATTTCTTCATTATGCAGAGAGAATGTTTGTAACACTTCAAAAGACATTCTTTTATATTTTCTTCTTCTTTCAGGTAATTTTATCCATGACAGGTGATAAATGGTAAAAAAAAAAAATACAAGGTTGGTTGTTTTATTATTCTAGATTCTCACCAAAATCTCCATCTGAGAGGTCTGCTCCGTTGCTGTAGTCCCGGGAACAGGAGCCATTGGCTAAATGCTTCCGGGAGTTGCAGTCGACCGCGCAGGCCTTGGCGATGGACTGGACCAGGTGCTCGTCGTCAGCGTTGCGCCACCCCCACCAGCTCACCTCTGGCTGCCCACACCTGCCAATCACCGCCCCCGTGCTCTGGTGCCTGGAAATGGCAAGGCAGCTTTCAGTGGATTCCTGCACCCCTACCTGAACAACACAAACCGCTTCAGTATCGGACACAGGTATTGTATAACAGGGCTTCCCCCTTTTTAATACTGCTGCCTCATTTCAAGGAGGAAATGGAAAAATGAAAACCCTCAGTTGGTTTAACAAAGTAGAGGGCCGATTTAAATAATTTTTGGCAGTGCTAACTGACCAAAAAAACTGGCAGTACCTAAATCTCAAAACAAATATTTGGCTATCAAGTTTGACCAGCCCAAAAGTGACAAACTCACATTCAGTGGGCAGACGTTAAATCCGTAGAACAGTAATTCCTTTTTTACCTTGGTGTTTAAGCCTAGGCACCAGGTCAGCAACACTCCAAAGTGAGTGGGGGTAATTTTTCCACAGTACATGAAACTGCAGCACACAAAGGTTCATCATTTATCTTTCCACCACTGACCTATACACAACTACTGGGAACCTCTTCCATGACCTGAATCCAGCCACATTTTCCAGCTCCTTGTCAGTGATCCAGGCTGGCACTACCAACTGCTGGGGGTAGCTGGCACACAGCCTGCCAGCGCAAAAGATAGGCAGAACAGAGGAAAAGAAAGAGGCAGTTACATAACAGCTAGAACCAAGGGCATTGTAAAGGGCAGTCCCATCTGAATAATGAAAGAAGCTGCTGTGTTCAGAAAAAAAATGCTCTTATCAGTTTATAATGCATGCTGCTCTTTCCGTGGAAGTCCCAAGATTACTAGACCTGGACCAGACAAAACATCACGAGTCCAGTACAAACCATCTTTTGTATTATGCAAATATAAAGGACATAAACATCTGTAAAGTGAGAACTACACACTACAGGCCACTCCATCTAAATCATGCACTGTCCCTGAAACATCCTATCAAATCTAAAGTGTCATGCTGTGTCTGTTAGCAACTGGAAGCAAATTACTATGCACTACAAAAGTAACAAAATACACAATACAAAATATTAGGGAAATGGCTAGTACTTATTCTGGCTCAGTTAAAAAAAAATCTAACAGCCAGAAAGTCGACGGTTTATCAATCCTGAGTGTTGAACTACCCCTCAAGAGAAAGCACAGGTGCAGGCCATAAACAAAGCAGCTGTTATGGTAAACATTACCTATATTTGTTGTTAAGATCGGTTATTCTCCAGGCATTCTGCAGATCAAAACCCATTCGCTCTGCTTCATTTTTGAATCTGGAGGTCACATGTTCGCCTGGAGGGGGGGGGGGACAGTCAAAGACCAGTGAGAGGAATAACAAAACGAGGACGGAGGGAAAAAAAAAAAAGTTCAGCCAAGGCCAGTTAATACAGGAAGTACAGCAGCTCACATGCATGACAGCTGCTTTACATTCCCTTTTCCAACACATTTACGGTCCTGATATCAGAGGCACAAGAAGTGTTTACTGACCACTGGGGTGTGTTTGGGTGCCAGGCATAGGTTAATAAAATGGGTCTTCACTGGTGCAACTGGATTCCAAAGCACGTACTTAAAACTGGAAAAAATGCTCTTGGCAGCGTTTGTTGGTAAATATAGCTCATGCACATAATGCAGTAGATGGATACAATCTGAAAAGCAGTTCCCCCCCCATTAAAAAACAGAAAATGTCTATACTTAAAATCATGTGAAAACAGCTGCAACTTCCTACTCTAAAACTCTAAAAGTTGAGCTACCTGGTCTGCAAAGCTCGCCGTGCTGCTCCTTCTCCCCAGCGTACACGTCCACACACCAGGCATGGAAGGCGAAGGAGAAGAGCTCCTCCAGGCGGGAAGGGGGCCGGATGGCCAAGGTCAGCCTCTTCAGCCACTCCTGGCACTGCTCGAAAGTGGAGAACTGACAACTGCAGGCGAAAAAACGCATTACTGCTTTATTAGAGCAGAAGTACAGGCTGCTGTCATTATATTTGGCATCCACCTGCCTAAATGGTCAGGACAGAACTGCTTTGTACCGAGTGCTAGGACACTAAATGAAAGCGGGTTTAAGGAGTCATTACAGCAATCCGAAAAGGCCAATTTACCCCCATTTCGCTTCATAATCGAGAGCTATGTTCCTTTCAGGATCCTTCATCTCTTTCAAATGTAAAGGCTGTACTCGACATGACGGACGATCACATTAAAATTGCTCCTCAGGATATTCAATCACCATTTCATGGGCAGAGGAATATGGTATTCAGAAATAAGAAACAGCTGCTGCTCAGTTGAAATTCGAGGTTTCAAGGTTCTCAAGCAGCGCAACCATGAAGTGGCCAGAATGGGGATCCCCCAAGTGGCACCCAGTCCCGCACAACGCTTGGGACTTGCAAAGGTACCTAGGAGACCCTGCTACACTAGCAAGACAGAAGTGTGTGTATAAAATAGTAAGCAGGTTGACAGGCGGCAACAAGTTCCCCTTGTAGTGGTCACCTGGTTTCATTACCTCATTGTGACAACTTACCGGATAACCTTACAGTCTTTGCATGTCACATGGAGCTGAAACATATCCCGACACTCCACACTCTCTATCAGCTGCAAGGGGACCTGCAAGAAGGACAGAAACACAATTACAGCAAAGGAGGAATACCTGACAGGCACGCGCCTCAGGAATCGTGATAGGAACTCCTTTAGTAACACCAAGCCAATATAATTCCAAACTGCAAGCACAATGCAAATGGCAAGGAACATTCTTTCAAGTTGACAGATCATGATGCAACAATCAAAAAATGCTGAGATTTTTATAGACCTGTGCTCCCCTCACCATAGCGTCCAAGGCTTACATCAAAATAGCATGCTTCAATGTCCAATACAGTGTACATTCCAACTTCATTTACACGCAATTAAAAAAAAAACAAGGCATATAGGTTCTAAACATACTTTTACCTTCACAGTTTAACCAATTCTGCAATTGCTAGATTTAGAAACACCCTTTTTCCAAGGTCTAATATCCATCCATGCATTACAATAACTTAATAAATTCCATGTCTTATTTGTTCCAGAGGCTTCTGTTTAAATTTAAACTAAACAAAAAATACCTTGTCACCTGCAAAGACATATATATACACTATTTCCAGGAGGATATGAGATGACTTTTAGCTGAAGTTGATTAGTAAAGCACTATGCAGAACACAGACAGGCCTTTAAAGGAGTCAAGCAATTAAAGGCAATTACAAGAAAGATGCATTTATGAAGAACATTCTTGGTGTACTAGCACATTTTTCGCAGTCACCTGGAAGTGGCTTCAGTCTCTTTGGTTTGTACTGACTACCATTAGCAAGACTAGGTTAATCCTAGGCTAACGGTAAAGACGATAAAAGCAGGAAGACGGCAGTTAACTTTTATAAAGCTGCAAACTTTATAAACTGCTTTTGAATTATTCAACATACAGAGGAGATCAGAGGGGAAAACATAAAACGGAACTAGCAGGCACATAAAAATCACCCCTTCGTTTGAAGTCCGCACAACAGATTAGAAGCACTAGGATCGAGGAAGATGAGGCAGATCTATTGGCTCTTGAAAAGCCAACTTGTAGTAAATACAATATTCACAAGAGAAAGAGAACATTGAAGTTACAGCAATTAACATGGCTCCCCTATTACTGGATAGGAAAGTAAATCCCATCCACTGTGTCAGCATGTGCTACCACCATGTTTACCAGTCGGCAACAGCCAAAGGAAGTGTTCAATCCCCACTGCCCTTCTCCAAACGTAAACCTGTCCAGGTGTAGGAAGAGCAGTAAAAGACCCATATTACTTTCTTCCACTGCTCAGAGGATCAGGTTTCATGCTCATTACACCAGTTTGTAATGAGTATGAAACATGAACCAATCAGCTCTGGCCTTGGTTACATAAATATCAGCTTTGTGAAGCTCCAACCGTTCGTCACTTGTTGAGACTGGGTCACAGAGTTGTAGATTCAGTTTTGTGGTCATTTCTGTGGCCTTCGTTTTGTTTTTTACCAACTAACCTGTTAAGTGTTTGTCTATCCCGTCAGTGAGCCATCACTGATGCCATTACGATTGTACATTGTTCCCCTTGGCACATTTAATTTTGCCATTTCAATAACCGACGACCCTGCAATTCACGGTCCAACTATTTTACCCCCTTCAAAATCTGTTAGATCTCTCAAGTTGCTTAAGAAACTCATATTTTAAAGTACTGATTTTAAGACTTTTTATGGCAGGATCATATGGATAATTAGTACGGAAATTAATACAAAATGTGTAGAATCCTTTTGGATATGTAGTTACTTAAAAAATGAATCTCTTCATGGCACTTTCATTATTTTGTCCACCCCTCGTACCTTCCCATAGATTGATAACATCTTGTTAATTTGATGAGAAGGTTATGCTTTTACATATTTGCGCATCCAAATGCTCAAAAGACAACTGTAGAAGGTGGATCTGTTGAGATCTTTAATTAATACAGGTCGAAAAAGCAAAAGGTTCTGTTTCCATTTATGCCTGGTTCTGCTCTGGCTGATACATAAGGCAAGGCAGTAGTATTTGGAAGAGGCTTTTTTTTAGTGGAAAGACTGATGCAAGGTGATGGCATGGAAAGTTTGTGTAGCTTTGTCTTTACAGATAATGCAAATAGCCAAACAAAAGCTATTATGCTTAGGCACAAAGTGTTCAGGTGTAAACATTTCACATTGATCCAATCAGGTTTAGTTCCACTTAACATGACATACTAGTATGACAAACTTGCTTGTGCTTGTTTTGGACTCTGTTGGCTTGCAATAGGCAAATGCATAGGCCATTAGCTTTCCAAATTGTCTTATTCAGATGTGGCATGATGTAACATGGCACGAACTCTCACTTCATTCTTGTGCAATTCAGAGAGTTACCACACTGTGTGCTTCTATAACAGGCCATGCTGTTAAGGTACTTACTGACACCTCACACGAACAACACTAATATTTAAAACAAAAACAAGAAGTTTGAACATGCTACACATTATGGACTCCTCATCCTGCAGAGTCTTATTTATCCTCTAACTTTGTCTACTTAATTACATTGTCCTCTGTTTCTTCACACGTACCCTCAATCTTTATTCCCATATTTTTAATGGATGAATCAAAGGAATCTCCCTGTCTAACAGAAGTAACAGAAGTCTCAGAGCTGGATTTAGTTTTAGATACCCAGCAAAACAGAGTACATGTCAGACTGTGCAAAGAATACTGCAATATTTCTCCATCGCCTGATTGAGGTTCCCAATCCAATAGCACTGACAAGCGACCTAAAAGCAGATCTGATGCAAATACGCACTGAATGGAATGTCTTGTTTCCATTTCCAATAGATTGTGTTGATCAATCAGCTTTCCCTCTGGCATGTAGCCTTAACTGCCCTGTGCTTTTCCATCTGTAGACCTTACTCTCAGCAACCAAAGAATTATACAGGACAAAGGGCATCCAGGGACCAACTTATTCTCAATAAAATATGCAACAGGTGCATCATGATAAAGCATTCAGAATTGTTTTACAATGTACTTTCACAATTAAATGCTCTGAATCATAACCGTTGCACTCAAATTCAAACTTGAGTACAACTGATGTAGAGAGATCTCACTTCATAGGTATGGCTGTATAAAATGGTCGCAAAGATTGCTCTCAGTGACAGGTGGAAACAAATACTGTTATGTTTTGTATATAAATATAACTGTTCAGACATAGGATACTCACAAACAAATCTAATATCCTATGCAAAGCAGCTCTTGCTGTGGTGCTGCTCTCTAACAGAAAGCAAGTGAAGAAAATTCATAGGCGAACCGGACATCATAGCATAGAAGGCCCAGCATGCATTTAGAATGAAAACTGGCTTGAGTTACTCATGGTGAGAGCTGGGCAGCTGAGAAAACTCTGCAGCTATGGCAACCAAGTGTAGGAGTGAAAGCCAGAGAACTCAACCTAAAGGCAAGTGCTTCTTAAACCAGTGCAATAGTGTCTGTATATGTTTATCACTCATGTTTCTATAGAAGAAGCTACTGAATAATACACTACACACGGGGTGGAAAGCAGACTTACATTGACAACAGACTCCTTAAACTTGATGTGAAGCCTGTAGCTGGACATTGCAATGATGGCATCTTCAGCTCGCCCAACATATTCCGTGAATTCTCCATGGAGTTCAGGAAAAGGGACCTATGACAAACAGAAAAATCAACAGATATACTCTGTAGGTATTAGGTGTGTGCCTATCTGTTAGCAAATTGGTCTTTGAACTGTTCAATTTGAATAACCGTGCTTACATGAGCTTGATAAAAATAATTAGATTCCCATTCTGGTTTTTCTAGACATTGCAACTGCCTTGCCTTCTCTTCCAAAGGCACTTGGAAATTGTAAAAGGTCACAACAAAAACTATTCTTATGGCCAGATGCATTTATACTAAGCTGTAGAAACCATACTACATGGAAGCTTATTCTGCCTTTCGGAAGATCATCATCTGTAAAAGTGGTATTGGAATTGGGCTATATGACACAAGGACCCAAGTAGCGTTCTTTAGAACTTGACAAGAAACCAGAGAGAAAAATTAGTCTCCCCCGAGACAAATCCAAAAGACCAGGAAAACCAAAACAACAGAAAGAGCTCACCTGCAGATTATCCTCTTCCAGAACTGGATGTTTTCTGGGGAAGATCTGGTTGGCCTGGATACACTCCAAGCTCTGCTGTCCCTCTTCATCCTGACATAAAGCAGGAAAACAAAATTAAAAAAAGCCAGCAGTTTGGAATTAAAATTGTGACATTAAACACAAAAAGACCAATTTAATCCAAACAGCAAAGATGAGTCAAAAAATGCCAGGCTTGCGTAGTTCACAGATGACCCTCAAAATCATTACAAAGAGAGATTAAGAGCTGGCAACAGCTACAGAACATTATGACAATACAGCAGATTCTGCGTGCTGCTGGATCAACAAGTTCACAGTGACAAACACTGACATTCTGAATCACAATGCCTCAGAGTACATTATCTGTGGAGGGCCAGTGAGGGGTATATTAATTCTACAAAATGAACCAAATTTGGAGGGGAATTTGAAATCAAATCTGTGCTTTCAAGAATACATAACCACAAAATGCAGCTCTCCCCCTTTCCTCTGAAAAAAATAAAATAAAGCTCAAACTGAAAAGTTTTATATCACATTCCATATTGCAGTCTGGAATTGTTGCTTTGAATGGCATTTCCCTAGTATTGCCCACTGTGCAATGGAACTGTTGCAAATCTGTGGGATGCATTAACCACTTTTCATCTGAGAGACATAGACATACTCCAAATATACATAAATATATCATTTCAAATAGTTAATAGACTGTAAACGGGCTACAAAAATATAGTTCCATTTCATGTTTTGCTATTATAGAATTTAATTTTTCAGAACACAAAGCAAGAGGACTTCCAATATGTTCACAAAAAAGGTATTCCAACACTACAAAGATCACGAACCACCAATTCTCTCAAAAGCAGAGAAAAAGAAGATGGTCTCACCATCGCCTGAACAGCAGAGGGTTGGAAACTTCTAGGAACAACTGCCTTCTCAAATTAATCCAAATCTCAGCCTAAGGAGAAATAGTTGTTAGCTTCATCCTATTTATGGAGACAAGATGGTTCTGATAATGAAATATAGGTTATACCTCGTTATAACTGGAGCTTTAATTATCACAACCTAGTCCACACAGTCAGCTCTAAAAGATGCTGTAACTTCCAACACAAAAACAGACAAGTACAGGCTTTCAGCTTAACTGGTTTTCTGATAAGTACTATACAGCAGACTTGTTCAAACGTTTAAAGAAAATCTTCGGACAAATACAAAATATTCATAAGCCGCTACAAATTTAAAAGAAATGTAAAACTGCTCACTAAACTATTCTATACACCACAGACATTTAAATATACAAAACTTTGGAATTAGGACTGTGTACACATTCACATTCCTTACTCACCAAGGAAAAACAATATGGGAGCTAGTCTTCTGAAGATTCTCTTTTAAAAGCCTTACTGGGAGCGATGACATCGAATTCTGTATTAAAAAACAAAGACATTAAAAACAAGATTCAAGTCACAGGCAAAGGCATGATTCTTTCAGTCATTTGTATTAAAATGTAATGTACTGTAATTCAGTGCCAACAGCACTGCATGTTCCAGCTGAAGATGTAGTGGCAACCCAGCTTTTAATATGCACATACTGTAGCTGAAATAAACAGATCAAGAAGGGAAAAGCAGACATTGTTTGAAAAAGTAAAAGCTGTTTCTTAAAAAAAACTTCATTTTAAAATAGATGGAAATCATGTTAAGTATTGTTGGGAACAAAGTTGCCCTAATGTATTTGTCACACAAAAGCATGATAAAACAGGCAAACAGCTCTTCAAGTCTTGATTATGATTTTAATTTATTGAAAACTAAACATAAAAGGCATCCTATCCCGTTAATGCATTCAGGAGTTCAAGACCGAATGACTTTCAGAAAAGGTAAACGTGAAGGAAACATTTCACCCAACAACTTGTACAAAACTAAAAATAACCAGGACAGTTAGATACCCAAGATGATCTCGGCATCAGCTGTGATGTTTGACCAGAAGCCAGTTCGTAGAGTCTTTTAGCATTTCCCACAACTCAGACCACACCATCACATGATTAAGAAGAGAGGATGGAGCTGCCTGTGCCATCAGTTGAGTCTGATGCAAACGACTTCCCCCATCTCCTGTGCACAACTGTCGTTCCGCTGAATTTCATGATTGCTATCTGTAGGACTATGTTGATCAATCCTTCCACCACAACACAAACAAAAATGGAACACTACTAGACAGTCCAGAGAGACACATCATACCACAGACTAGCGGACATCAAATGCTCATTTTAAAGTTTATATTCTATTAATGTAAATGCCACAGTCGCTGAAGTTTCTTAAATGCAATAACCTGCGCTACACTCTTGCATTCTTGCATTGCATAAGGCCTGGAGTATTATAAATGTATCTCACTTGCCTTTGTAAACACCTTACCCCAACAAATGACTTAACACTGGAGGTACGCTACAGCATCGTTCCTACAAAACATAAAGCAAGCTGCAGAAAAACTCAGACAAGTCCAAGTAAAAATGGTCTACTCACTGAACCTCTACAGCATTTCAAAACAAGAATACTGTACATTCAAGTGTCAACACAGTGATCCAACCCACTGCTAGTTACTGATTAAAGATATCTTCTAAAGGCAGAAGTGCTCATCAGGAGAAACCTAATGACCTGCTGTCTCAGTCTAGTTTATCAGTGCTCCAGACCTCAGAAGGACACACCCATAAGAGTCTCATGACTACCTGCATGATAACCAGAAAACCCTCCTTCTCCCTACTATTTACAATCACTACACAGCCGTCTGGCAATATGCACTCATGTTTGCCTCAAATCTTACAAGCAACGTCTTGATGAATGACAGCAAAACAGTGTTGCTTAAGCATGAAGTGCAGATCACTTGTTTCAAAATGGACCAAGCAACCATTGCATCAAGCAACCTGCTAATCTTAATACGTTAGAATAATTGCGTTTTATGTCGCGAAGTGTATAACACCATCCAATGTACTGGACAGTATGAGATTTCTTGTGTAGAGACAATGCAGAATGCAAAAAAACTTGAAAATAGTTTTAAAAGTTATACTTCTGTTTCGACAGTCAACATTACTCACTTTGTATTTATGCAATATTGGATCTGTAGCATATATTCAAAAAGCCACAAAGCAATGCTAGGTGAACGGACAGGGCTTCATTTTGCATAAATGCCCCATTAAGCACCATGAGAAATGCATGCAATGTACCATATTCACTCATCAATTTATGCACATCCGAAAAATAAGATGAAAGTTCAAATTCAGATTCCTTCTAAAGACAATAATAAATAAACTAACATATTTTACATTAGTATACACAGGAAAGCATTCATTTATGCTTAAGACCTTGAATGAATATCATATGAATGAAATCAAACTCTGTAGCACAACCTTACTATAATAACTGCCTGATCAGGACACAGATGAGTCCCTAAAGCTTTGCAGTAAAGGGGCGAGGGTGCAGTATGTGAATATCTGAAAGACCTTACAACTGTTATCGACAGGTGGGGACAGTCAGCATTTGAATATACAGTAAAGACATGGCATTGTTTGGCTTGGAGACAATGGATCACTTTTCATACAGTACTATGAAGAACTTCCAAGGTCTGTAAAACCCCCCATAAGATCACCGTCTCTCCTTAACCACTACAACAAAACCACCAGGACTATAATCAATAATATGTATTTATTGAATACATCAAGTATATGAATGGGTGATAAGAAAAACTGCAGGCGCCACTCACACAAAGGAGTGTCCTATACTCGGGAAAGAACAGATCTATGAATCAGTGTGAAAAAGAAATGTAATAATGTTTTCAACAAATTTAAAGTTAGCCACTGCCTACAATCCATTTGTCTTATTAATGAAACATACGAATCTATCATTAAACCAGAAACGTTATCATTTTCCACACCTGAAAAATAATGGGGCCCAGCCCAAGGAATAACTTCTGATTAATTTAAAACTTACCAGGCTGTAATAAATGCTGTTGCAATCCATTAAGCAGCTGTAGCAAGGGGCTCAGGATGTCTAAGGTAATATGGAGATAACATTTTTTAAACTTATTTGTTTGACAATACTAAATTAGTTATTTTAATGGTTTTTCCTGAATGTTGCTTTAACTCAGACAACACCTACAAACATAATGTTTTTTCCACGCACCACAACTGTACATGTGGGAAGTGTCACCATTCACACAGAAACATCATGTTTTTCAGTAATGTCACAACCACCATAAAGACACATCAGAAACACTTCTTAACAGTGGCCTGTAGCGCAGAATAAGATGAGCAGCAGGGGGAATTTTGAAGAAAGTATATGCAATGTAAGATAAGGCTTACGTCTGAATTCAGATCTAGGATCTTGCTTTCCTCCGTGGAACCTGGGTGAAAGCAAAGAATATAACAGAACTGCTGCTCTGAATTATGGTGGCAAAAAAACGCTGATGCGTTCGCAAGACCTGATATTTTCAGGTTAAGCAAGACATTCAAACCTGTTTGCTAGCTGCACATGCTCTCTGATACAGAAAGAACGCAAATGAACTAAAAGTGTAATTTAGGCAAGTTTTTTATGGAAGTCAGCTAAAAAAAGTCAAGTTTACGCTTTTATTTTTACTTGACGCTGTCCACTCAGATCTTTGCAATAACACAAAATCCTGAATTACCTCAGCAATGAGCATTTTACCATGTAAAGTTTTCAGTTGGGATAGGGAAAGGTCTGTAGATACTTTTCCCTCATCAGCTCATTCCGCTGTGTTAAGTTTTACAAAAGACTAAAAGAAAAAAACACTCGCATCATATGACTCTCACTTCCCAATACAAGAGATCTAAAACCGCTTTCAATGAGCAACAGCTGACTATTCTGCTTACACACATTAATCCACCAGACAAATCACTTAACCCATCTAAACACATAAGAAAGGTACCCTTTCACTGTTCAGCAGCCAGATGACTTTCTGTATTGAAAGCTAATTCTGAATGCATTTTATTACATGCTCAACTATGTTCTACTCGTAATACAGAGTTAATCCTTAAAGTGTCCTCCTATATTGCAATTACGACAGCTTTGCTTAGACTTTTATCAGACTGTCAACACTTTCATACGCTCAGCATTGAGCCGACATGTCCTAGCAAACTCGCTGCAATGTGCAAGAGCTTCCAACCCAGAAGATTCCGCTTTTATCTTAAAAGAATTTTCTATCTCAAAATTCACACTGCTGCATCATGTTAGCATGTCTCCCACTTGTAAACTTGCTCAGATGATTGCATCTAGAAAAAGTAAAAAAGCAAAACAGAAAAAGTAGGAGAAGTTTTATTGTAAAAAAAACTAGCAGCATTTCCAAGTTTAATTAGAAGGGCTATAGTTTGATAATAGTATAGAATCTACTGATGTTTGCACCATAAAATACATACAATCAGATCAAGTATATGGGAACATCAAGACTTCCAGATTTGTTTGTTTTTTTCTTACAAAAGTCATTGCTTTTCCAAACAACTTTACTTTTTTTACAGTGTTTAGAAATCAAGCCCAGTTAGAACTATACCAACAGAAAATCGCCCTGCTTTCAGATTGATACACAAAAACACCTGGGTGTGCCAAAACATACCATGAAGGTTTTTTTTAATACAATGTGGTTCATATTTTCACATATTTCTTATATTAACTGCTGCATATCCTGATGCGTGTGTTAACTGATTCTTTCTACATGTTCTGCATAGATATTTATTTGTGCATCTCACTGAAGGAGTCTGTAACATGACATCATACCCACGTTATCAGTCTATGTGGGATTCAATAGACTGCATGTGAAAATAATATCAGTATAACTGTTGTCTCTACTTTATGAACATGAAATTGAATGAATTCCATTTTATCTAAAAGTGAAACTATGGTTACATAATGCTAACACATATAGGAGTGCCTTGAATTATGTAAACTACGAAACAGCATAATGGTAAAGTGCTTTTATAGACCTTGCCATCTGGCATTTAAAAGGAAGAAAACTGCCAATTCTGAGAGGACACCATAATAAGCAGCCAATGGTGGACAGTGACAAATTCAGAGTCCTTCCCATCACATTCAGTTATTTTCTTCTACAACAATTAGCAAATCTGATAATGGAAGCAAGACCAAACACAGTATTTTTAAAACATAGAAAGGATATGTCACAAATTAAAGTTCAAAATCAAACTTTAAAGGAAATGAATACATTTTATTTAAAAGGAAAGCAGAGAGTGTAGTTACTCATCTTTAAAAAGGGCTCTTTCACTTGCATGGGCAGCAAACATGGGGGAAAAAAGCCCCTTTTACACAGCTGTTGGAACAACTCCACTTGTTACTCTGTGGTTTAACTAAACTTGCATCTTTAAATCCTAGTCTGAACCCGATTACCCATTTCAAAACAGATAAATGAATAACGCTACTTTAAAAACAACTTTTTCCCACAAAAAAATAAATGGCAATATACCTCTCTTTGGAAAAACAAATATACATAAAAAAGCACTGAACTATTCGCCTTGATTCTGGCACAGTTTTGAGCACTTCTGTGAGAAGTATGACGTTTAAAACAGTGCCCTTCTTTGTTCCAATCCCCTGTTAATTTCAGCAATTCATTACTTTCTTTTTCCCCAGAAAGGTTTTTCACGCTGTCTGAAATTTACTAGGCGTTGAATTAAGCAGAAGCCTTGGCTTTTTACTGAATAATGCTTTAACTGGGTTCATTCACTCAACCCAACATTAAGAAGAAATCAAAAACTGACCTTATTCCAAAAGAACCAGTAAAGAGGCAATATCACACTCATAATAAAGACATGTAAAGTCAACTGGTGTGACATGTCTGCACATCTTCATCACATCTGAATCAGGCTTAATTTCACTGCCAACAGCAGTGTTGGAAGGCTACATCATATGGGAGGATATCTGGTGCCTAGGTAATTTCAGCACCATGCAAAATCAAACTCTTAACCCTCCCACACTAGTGCATTTATATTTATTGCATAGAAATAATAATATTATTATATTTAAATAATAATATTTTGCTTGACCTTTTTCTTAGGAAATGTAGTTAGAATCTGTTAAACAAGTGTTATTTCAGACTTTTAGGGAAGATAACTCAAGGAGATCAGATCCAAACGAAAGCTCTCTACCTAACCAGCAGGCAGGAAATAAAGCACAGCACCATATTGATCAGAGCATCAGCAGAGTCGCAAAACAAACCACTCATCCCATTCGGAGTATTGCATACTCTCCTCGGAATGAAAACACGAAGAAACCACTCTGTCTGGGATGAAGTCCTCTCCAGGCAGAGCCGTCTCGGGCTGTGCGTGGTATTTACTGCACATGCACGACCTTGTTGGCAAAAGGCAAGTTCACATCCCAGTGAGGTCAGAAGACCTTGCACATCTGCAGTAGGGACCCCGGTGTGCTCTGATCCACAGAAAACGCACACAGTAAGGAATTCAAACTGACCAGAACTTGCCGTCACCTGCGTCATTGAGTCTTAATGGAAGAACTATAAAGAAGTAAATGCTTTCGCCTTCATTTTTAGCACCACCACCAATATCCAGTTATTGCCCCGACTAACTCAAACTCTAGCAAGCATAAAGCTGAAGAGTTAGCTTGCGTGCCGACAGCAGCATAAAGCCGGTCTGTGCATAAACCCCCAAATATGTCCCATCCCGACAAATCGCGCGGAGATCAAGCCACACTCTGGACGGTACCGACTGGAAAGTGCGTGAACACGTTGACAGCAGCGAACACGGGAACTGTCCAGATCGACCCGCCCGGGCTGTCCTCAATATTCACTTCACCGAGCTGGAAAACTCGCGAACTCGACGCCCGTGTTGCACATCTTGCATCAACTCCAAGAGCGTCGACCCATTCTGCCGAGCCACGCCGCTCTCCACGGCAGGATCCTGTCCACACACGCCCGGCTACCTACCTGCACAACCTCCCAGCTGTGCATTATCGTACGTGCATCCCCGTTGGGTTACAACTGCGATGGTTATGAATATTTTATCGCCTTTCGCCATGCCCCGGTGCCGTCCTCTCGCCGCGTTGTCACGGTGTTCCCAGCGGGCGAGCGGCTCGCCTGTCACCGGCCGATCTCCACGCTCGCCTCGCTCTTTGTTTGATCGGGACTACGCGCAACCCCACGGGCCACTCCACACGCGTTGTTTTGATGAGCGATTCCCCCTTGCGCGCTTACTGCTTTTCCTGTCCGCTGTCTCTCTCTCTCCCTTTCCCCGGCTGGCTGGCTGGCTGGCTGGCTGGTTTTGTTGTTGTTATGAGATGGAGGGCGGACCCCCAAGCTGCAGGCGGAGGCCGCGGCCAAAACATACCGAGGCACGGGGGGGACACCCCAGCACACTCACCTGAGGGGGAGCCCGGGAACAGAGCGGGCAGGGAGGAATCCTTCGACCTTCCGTTCACTCTTATTTTTTTGCAAATAAATATTAAATAATGCAATAAATAAGCCGTCGGCTCCGGCGCAGTTTCACACCGTCCCGGAGTACAGGCCAGCCACCATCGCCTCGTATCTACCCTGGCCTCTTGTACGTGACGTGAGAGCGTCGAAGACCCTGTGACGTAACCGCGTAATGATCGGGGTCGAGCACGCAACAGACTCGCGAACTACTTGTGCTTTGTTTACATTTTTTTGGGGGGATTACACCTGGCAGAGAAAAGACATCGTGAAATTATATGTTTATTAATTATATGTTTGTTTACTGCCATTATTCTTACTTTTAGAAGTATTGCGCTGCTAACAAAACTCACACTCCAGTAAAAAGATTTTTAGCAAGTGTCTAAATGCTACATTTCTAATGTGCCAGCCAATTCGAGTATTTTACACAAAACGCATTTCACATTGACAGTACGATCCGGAGCCATCTACCTCAGGCCATTCATTTTGTTAACGTTGCTTTTAAAAAGTGACAACAACAGTACTACCTCATCTCTTTGAAAGTGGTGATTTACCAAAGCTCACAGGTAACAGACGTTTATAGTAAGTTTCAGCATCGTTCAATACCTGTAATTACATCCAAACGGATTTTGAAAGCATTGAAAACGTCTTAAGACTGTTTTGCTTTAAACAATCTCACCGATGACCAAAAATAATATCTCTTGTGTAAGTCTTAGGAACATTTTATTGGAGCAACAGATGCATCGACAGTAGGAAAAATCAGCTCTTTGGATACATGATTAAAGAACATTTCATATTTCAGTAGTCTAGTTGTGATAAGGCACATTGCCCTCCACCAATATGTCTGCCTGCGCCTCTGATCCTGTAGCGCTGAACAGCTTCCGCAAGCGACGCAGGAAGTGAAACGATTATTACACATCAGACCTGACGGCTGCACTGCTCTGCTCTCTACTACATGGAAACGGGGATCGGACGTTTCACGTAAAGTTTAAGGCAAAGGCAACGAGAACTAATCATCTAAATATGTAAGGCTTTCCGCCTAGTACTTCACCAAAACATTTCGCGCACCTGTGATGTAAAGTCTGTCGCTTTGAAGGCATCCAATCGGGATTAAGATAATGGATTAAAATCTCGTTTCGTTGACTTCATACACTCGTTGATTCATACCAAATGTCACTCCGTGATATAAGATGAAGACTTGGCGACATTACAATATTGAGTAAATAAATCTTACATGTAGAGAGACACCATTTTGCGCGAGTAACTTACCTGGGTAGCAGTGTGTTACGTTATATGGGTACGTGGAATAGGCTCGCCGGTGAGTGCTATTGTACTGCCGACTGGAATAGGAACCTTTTTGAGATGGGGTGAAAGGCTACCATCTTATCAATTAAATCAACCAATTTCCTGATTTGAAAGCAAACAGCTGGAACGGGGATGACTGACACGTTGCAGTGATAGATGTCCAGTTCGCCCCACTGTTCAGGGATTTTAAATGCTCTCCATCGTCGTTTGTGTTGACAAGAAGCGCAAGTGCGGGACTTTTGTGTTTTGTTAAAAAGGTGGATCTTCTGCCTCCTGTTGTTCCTGTGATTAGACCGAAGCTATGGCGACCGCACAGCGAGTGCCGCTGGACGAGCAGCAGACGACGGAGCCCGACGATCAGACGGGCAGGGAACGCGTTTTGCCAGCTCTGGTGAGCCTGCCCAAACCTTTCAACACTGCAAATCTCCCTACACTCATACCCGCTGAGTGTCTGCCTGAGCTGCTTTCGCACACACGCACATAAATCGATCCTTTTGTTATTGTAATATAATGTAATCTTTTGCATTACTAGTGCGTGCCCTTCTGCTAAAGAGGGTTTAGTACCCAACTAAACACATGATCTGATTTGTTACAATAGGTCTTAGATACGGAGACCATAATTAAAGCACAACATTCAGAATTACAGAGCTTCTTACAGCACAGCAAGTCTTTAGATTTTACTTTGTAAGTCATGGTGACCAATACAGTGGGAAAAAGTGATATAGAAAGTTTCCACTGTATAATCTGCTTAGTACATAATGCTTAATGATTTACAAGAAGCTGAACATTTTTGGGCCTGGTCCAAAATAGAGAGGAAAAAGGGAGAAATCTTAGCCAAGTCCTACTGCTACTTTACTCATATATTTACTTGGTTGGTAGTTTTGTAGCTGTTTCCATTTGCACCTGTTTATGCAGCTGGGCGTTTTACTGGCGTAGTCCAGGTGAAGCACCTTTGCTGAGCTGTACACTGTCTCACCTGGGATTCGAACCCACAACTGTCCAGACCCCTCGCCCATGGTCTGTGCCACCTCCCCTCACGCTGCCAGATGTTTCCCATGCTTGAAGAGCCTGAGGTAGCATGGTTTCCCTGGCCCCCCTGCCCTGTGGCCTGACAGCCCCCTGCTTGCCTGCCACTGCTCTGCATGTGGTAGGAGTCAAGGAAGGGCAGGTGCGCCAGGCTGTTGTCATGGAGCCAGTGTCTGGGTCTGACCCGCAGCACCCTGCCAGGATGGAGGACCGGTGTTTCGTGCTGTATCAACCCCCGCCAGTCACTGGCTCTGCGGCGGAGGTGGAGGCATTCCTGGAGCAGGCCCAGTTTATCGCAGAGGACCTGGACTGGCTGCTGGCTCTTCCCCATGACAGGTTCTGGTGCCAGGTATGAGCCCCGCGCCAGCGTGAGGAGGAGGAGGAGGGGGGGATCAGCGCTTTCTGAATGGAGTCAAGGCTCGGTTACGCTGTCGGTTTCCAGCTGTGTTCTCACTCGCCGTGCAGTGTTTCTCGTGTATCCAGGACAGCAGTCTTTAAGGATTGTAAGGCTGCTCTTAAAATGTCCAAGTGTTGTTATGTGAATGAAAAAAAAAAATCCAGCTGAGACATTAAAATCTCAATCCCAGCTGCAACTGGCCCATTAGATGCTGAGATGTGTCCTTTTTAAACCGTGTTAGACTCAGATATATGGTAATAGTTTTGAATGAAAGGCTCTTCGGTTAACAGGCAAACCTCATTTGATGAAGGTTTTTATATTCTTTTTGATCTTTGGAAGTATCCATCCCCCTGCTCAATCCCCCACACCAAGTCCTGGCTATGGAAACCCACCACTGTGGCAGGTGCTCAGTTAATAACATGGTCATGTCTTGTGCCACCTCATTGTCTCAGTAACCTGTGGAAGTGGTTTAGGGGATGTGAGCTTTAACCAGGCATTGTCAATGGGATTTTGTTCCAGCCTCTTTTCTAAAAAACATTTTGTAACTGGGTGATTTACAACTATTTATTAGTTGGACTAATATTGGAGTTCTGTATGATAATTTAGAAATTAGGGTTGATTGTGGCGATTGTGGTGCACTGGGAGGCTGGAGTGGATTTGTAGTACCTGGGACTGTGTCGCAGAATTCTGGGAAACCCAGCTGGGTGGATGATGGTGATCACAGCACAGTCCGGCTCCGGTCCTGCAGGTTGTGTTCGATGAATCTCTGCAGAAGTGCCTGGACTCCTACCTGCGGCTGGCCCCGAGGGGCTTGGACTGCACCCTGCCAGCCTCCCCGGCTGTCATGGACATGCAGAAGCACCTCCACCGCAGTGTCTTCATGACCTTCCTCAGGATGGCCACACACAAGGAGTCGAAGGTAAGGCACGGGCCTGCCTGGCCTGAGGGTTCCTTGAGTCTAGCAGCTTTTCTGTGTCTCTTTAAGTAATGGCCTATTTCATACCATGTAAGAAGGGGTTAAATTGTTCCACTCAAGCAATTGAGTTCAGTTGGGTGAGTAAGGACCTGCAGTACAAGGAATTAAAACCAGATGAGCCTACACCCCGTAAACACCTGGTGTAGGGACCCTAGATTTTTCATTTTACTTTTTTTATGATATATCTTACAATGTACTACTAATGTGCTATTGAATGAGAAAAGTGTGGTCTCATTCTTCACATTTTTCCTGGGAGATTAGCATCTTTGTTTGTAATCCAGGAGATCCAAGATTCCAATAAGATTAATTCTAGTCCATAAGGGAAGTATTTGCTCTGTGCTTTTCACTGACTAAAGAGCATTTGTGGAATTCTTGTAGTCCTTTATCTTAGGGTAAAGTATGTGCTGTATATCTCCAGATTGACGCCATAACACCTGCAAGGTATGTTAATCCCTTCAGATCAGGCAAAATGTGAGTCTGTGCAGCAGTGTGTTACTTTTCCAACCATTCTACAGTTACATGTACATTAATTTGTACTCTAAAGTGTCACTTGCTCCATGCCTTGGTATAGCAAGTTAAAATACTTCCTTGTTCCTCTTTTATTTTACCAAGTAAGACAGCTGAGAACAAATGGTTATTTGCACAGACAATCTAGAGATGTATTTGTACAGCAGGACATATACTGGTGCGATTTGAGTTTAACACTTTGCTGTAGAGTCCAACATCCAAATCACTACCTCATTCTACACTGCTGGCCCAGCCCTGTAATCAATTATATTCTTATAACTACAGTAGCTTATCTATTGTAAATGCTGTTGTTTATTTTTATCATGTTTGAGGCTGCTTTGTTTTTCCCACACATGGGCTAAATATTCTCATGCTTTTTTATGGTGTTTCCTTGTTTGTTTATGTAGCCCATATTTTAAATTGAAACGGATGAACGGGACAGTGAAAAGGGTTCTTGGAATTGGTGGTTGTGTTTTCTGTTTCGTCTCCCAGAAAGGAACACATCCAGTATACTCTAGTATTATTGGCATCCACAGAAACATTTGTGACTGAAATGCCCTCTTTCCGCTAAGGCATCCTGAACAAAATACCCTCGGTATTGTTTCCTTCAATTAACTCTTGTAGTATTGATAGTGCCTAAAGAAGGTGAGTGTTTAAGGGTGCCATTTCACCCCTAGTGAGTGCTAGGAGAAGGTGAGAAGTCTTGAAAAAGAAGACTGCATGCTCTTTGATGAGAGTCTCCCTCGTGTCTGGGAGATCATTGCGGTCACAAACACAAATGACAGTGAAAAATAAGCATTAATGTGTGTTTTAGGCCAGATGGAAATCGGGGCAGGCTAAGAATGGTTGACTGTGAGGGAAAAAACCTTGTGAGATTTTTCTTTTACTCTACATTATATTTTTTTCTGTTCAGGAGAATTTCATCACACCAGCTGTGTTTGGAGAGATCATTTACAACAACTTCCTGTTCGACATCCCGAAGATCTTGGATTTGTGTGTCTTGTATGGAAAAGGCAACGGACATCTTATACAGAAAATGATTGGTGAGTGACGATGAGGGGGATCGCTGTGAAAGATCGGATGAGGAGCTTGACGTGGGAATATCACACGTCTGGAATGTCCGCTAAAGGTTTATCTAACCATTACTGTAGCAGATGCAGTTAATATTAATGGTAATTGCCATGTAATGAATTCACAGGTGATTTTTCAGTTCCTTGACCTTTTGTTCCTGCTATTGTGTTATACATAAGTAGAAACTTAATTGCTGTCATTTTTTGCACTCTTAATTCTAGCATGTTTTATCCAAAGCATCCAGTTTGATGCCTTCAGAACTTTCCAGATGCTCTACTAGAACAAGCAAGAGGTTGTTTTTTACAATGGCAATAAAACCTTAGGACTTACAAGTATCGTTTCCAAGTCCAGTTCTTTTTATTATTAACCCAATGCGATGCAGCTCACATTCTCAGAGTAATCATTCTGTCCTACAGAAAACATCTTCAACCAGCAGCCCAGTTACTACAGTGACCTGGATGAGACGGTGCCTACAGTACTGCAGGTACACCGCTGGCTTTTCCATGACACTGCTGTAACTGCAGGATTGTAGAGTCGCCAGCCTTGGCCTTTAATCTATTAGCCGAACGCTCAAGCTGGCTGTCGGTATGGGGAGTGTGAAGTTTGCGGTGCAAAGATGTCTCTCACCTGATCCGCTCTGTGTTGCCTTAGGTCCTGAACACCATTTTGGAGAGATGTGGACTGCGGATGGAGGAGGCTGCCTCCAGTGAGCCACTCAAGCTGGGCAGCACGACCACTCGTACCGCCATGGAGATGAGCACGAAGGTGGCGTAACACTCGGTTGGAGAAACATGCTACTTCGTACTACAGTCTAATACTGGACCCTACAGTAGTGACTTACTGAGAACATACGTACTAATACTACTGTGATAATAGCAGTGTAATACTAATATAACTGCTTACTAACAGCAGAACGTAAAGTAACATACACACACCTTACATATCATACTTGTTTTATTCTGCACTAAGAAAAGCTGTTGGAGCCAATCTGTGTACAAGTGTTTTCCAGAATGAGCTGATGTCTTAAAAAATGCCTGCTGCCTCATTGCATTTTGTTCTGAAAAGTTCAGGTTGTTTTTTTTTTCAGGAGGGAAGGCTGTGATCAGGTTTAGTTCTGCTCACTGCGGTTCCCTCTTCATCTGTGGTGAGAGTCCACGCAAGGCTTCTCACCAGGGTGAGAGTCAGGTGTTTCTTCTGCTTTGTTCAGGACCTGGAGGACCTCGTGCTGTACCTGTGTGACACCTGCACCACTCTCTACGCCTTGTTCGACATCTTCCCACCAGCCTGCTCTGCCTTCCAGAGCCACGGCTTCCTCAGCAGGTGAGGGACTCTGGGATGAGAGCAGGAGTTTTCTCCAGATCTCCAAAAGCCAACTGGCGAATTTCTGAAACAGCACTGTGGCACAGCACGGTATTTCAATTCAAACGAATACCCTGGCAACAAGGCCTCCACATCAACACTGATATGAGGAATAAGAATTAAACATTCTTTTCAAATATTAAACCTGTGTATAAAATTGTATTTGTGTCTGTTTACGAGGAGTAAACCTCAAAATGTCCCCTCTTTCATTTCCAGACTGGCTTCATTTTATGAGCTTGCTGTTCCTGACATAGAGAAAGCAGTAAAAAAGAGGAACTTTGACGATAAGAGGTATGTTTTCTGCTGCACACATTGCGGGACGTGGAACAGAAAAGGATGCATGGGGTGGTTAGTTTGTAAAGCTTCAGGATATGGTCCAGAAACGGACTAAAGAAACTGTGAGGAAACCCTTGAGTTTTTTTGCTCCATGCCCATTTCACTGATTTTTCCATCCTCACTCCTAGCACCTTGTGTGTATGTGTTCTACCTAGAGAACCAGCTGCCTGAGGCCTTGTAGAGCCAGTTAGGACTATGGGAGCAAATAGGTTTACAGATTTACAGGTACGGAAATCAAGGAGAATTTGAGCACCACAGTGTGTGACCAGGGGAGGCAGTGGGAACATCTCATGGCGGCAGGATTTCGGAAAGCCTCACCTTACCTGACGCAATTACTTACTGCTCAGCTTGCAGGAGGACCTGTGGAGGAGGGTGTCGCACTCCCGCAAGAAAATAATTGAAATTGCGCACCTGCTCATCCAGCACACCTGTCTGCAGCCCATCTTAGAGAACAGGTGAGAGGCCGTGCTTGTCACCTGAGATCAGTGTCCATCGCAGCCTGGCAGCGCAGACTCTGTCCACTGACTATAGAACTACTTGTTTTATACACCTTATTTTCCAAAGCAGGCAAAAGACTTATCAGAGAGTAAGGACTCTATATACTGTATGTATGTTGTGTGAAGTTGTGGAAACCTAATTCAGTGTTTGCAAAATCAATTAGAAAATTCTCTAGACGCTATAGTAACGTGAAGGATAGGATTCTGGTCTTTCTAATTTCCAAGTCTTATACCACATTCTGAACATCAGGCAATCAGTGACCAACGGCAGGTTTGACTGATCAGGTGTTTGTGTGTGATGTGAGGTAAGCTCATGGTGAACTGATTTGATGTTCCTGTTATTGTCCTCCTCTTCCACTGGCCACTTAATACGATCTAGTGGACAAAGTGAAAACACAGAGCAAAATGTGAGAAATATAAAAGGATTTAGATATTCTAAATAAAACTGAGCAACTACAGATTTTTAACCATCAATAAAAAAAACATTTTTAAATCATCTGGGATATTTTTTTAAAGTGTTGCACTGAACTGACGTGCACATTCATATCATAAACACTAATGGTTTTATGAAAGCGAGTATTATTAGGTTTCTCCAAAATGTAAAGACATTTTGTTTGTCCTTCTGCAGTTCTGAGAACATCCACCTGTTTGTGGAAGATTTTCTGCAGATTTTTACTTCCCTCCTCCAGGAAAAGAGGTAACGGTGACAGTCATTTTTTGAAACATTACAGGAAGCGCATGAACACCTAGTTCATTAGCAGCAGTACATACTTCCTCAAAGCATACAGTGCTGTCAGGTACATTGGATAATTGTTAGGTGAAAGCTACAGCATAATGCAAGCCAAGAAATTCTGCAACATTTATCTTCTTTATCAGTGAGCATTGATAAAAATAAAAGGAACGAATATCCAAAAGACCAAGAAAACCCATTTGTTCATAACAATGCTATCCTTGCCTTGTAGTTTTATTTTAGTATAGGACAGGATAGTGGGAGGAAGGCCCTACAAACTTGATGAGCTAAAATTCTCCTTATTTTGAAATATTTATTCAATGAATGTTGCATTGTTTCTCATGAATGTGAAATAGGTACGGTGCATAAATGGATCTATACAGTACCTCGGATTTCCCTTATAATAAATTTGTTGATCTTGTTGCCACATTTAGAATTTTAGTTTCTCTTTTCCTGGTGCATGCAGCGAGGAACAGTCATGATTTTAGTGTGTGTTTTCTCTTAGCGGTGCAATGGAACGGGATTAATGCAAACACATTCTTCGGCCCTCTGTTACTGAACTCCTCTTTTGTGTGGTTAGTTTTCTGGCAGATTATGACGAGCAGTTCCCTGTTGCAGATGACGTCAGCCTGTTGCAACAGGCATTCCCCCTTCTGTATCCTTTGCTGTGCTGCCCAGTTGTGCTCCAGGTTTTCCCATCCTTCTTTTTGTTGTTGGTTTTCTGTGCTCCATTTATTTCAAGGACTCACTGGAGATTAAATTGAGTTGACCAAGACCTCCCTGCTTTAAATGCTAGATTGTTGGGTTGTTCTGGCACCGATATTGACACAGAGCTTTTCTGGGGGGTGGGTGTGTGATGGGTCTTATGGTATTCAAGGGACTGGTCTCGTTGAAGAGTGACCATCATCGTGAAGGAAACCCTTCTTCAGGCAAAGAGTAGTGAATAACGGGGACAGGGTTCCCAGTCAGGGGGGTGAGGCCCAGACTTGGGGCTCTTTTACAGAAACCATTAGATGGACTTAGATCTTACTTGACTACCAGTTGAGCAAGAGGGGCTGAACACCCTCCTCTGCTTTGCCACCTTTCTCATGTTCTTAACCGGATGGAAGACAAGGTCTTGGCAGGTGGCTCTTGTCTGGTGTTCTCCTTGACAGGGACTCCTTCTCCAGAGATGAGACCAGGACCTCCTATATTCTGCAGGGAATCGAGTGTGCCTGGGAGAGTGTGGGCAGGAAGAAGCACAGGCTGCCCCCATCTCGGGCCACCCCTGAGCTGAACGAGGGAGATGGGGCTTGTGGAGAGAGGGGGCTGGCCGACGGATTAGCTGGTGGGGCAGAGGCCCAGCTTGACGAGCCCCGAGTCGATAAGGTAGTCTGCAGTTTGTTGATTTGCATGCATATTTTATTAATTTGTTTCAATTTGGCAGTTTCACAATTAATCCTTTTTGCCGTCATTCCACCTACCTAACTACTGTAGGTCTAAGCACACCTGTTATCCCAGCCATTCTGCTTGTGTTCCGCTTGGCGTATAAAATCCCTCCACATTTCTAACTGTGCTGATTTCTAAAGTGTATCTTTGGCAGAGGTGTAGATGAGTTAGGTATGGTTGCCTTTTTAGCTGGTTAGGTTATACTGGAAGCCACTGACTGCTTATTCCATAGCTGTGGAGAGGCCCCACTGATGACAGTGTGTTTCAGGGTGCGGCATGCACAGTAAGCACAGGGGAGCTGGAGTCCCTGCTGACCCACGTAAAAGACCTCTTCCCTGACCTGGGCGAGGGATTCATCCTGGCTTGTCTGCAAGAGTATGGCAACAACTCGGAAATCGTCATCAATAACATCCTGGAGGATAACCTCTCTCCTGCCCTGGCCAAGCTAGACCATAACTTGCCCAGGTACAGAAGCTGAAGCTTATGCACTGAGAATAACATACTGGACAGGAGCAGTACACGTCTTTGAAATATTAATAAAATGAGTGCGTGTGGCTGTAACTCTGTAAAGGATCTGACATGTGCACTGCACACCAGGAATATGTATCCGTTTCCCAGAAGTGGTGGAGAAAATCACCACCAGCCTGTACACTGCAGATATGAAGACTGGTGTGATACTTGATACATTACAGTACATATCCATTTTAGAACTATGGGGAAAAAAATCAAGTTTCGTATTTAAAAGAACTAGGCATGATGGCCATTAGCAGTCAGCTGAATCTGTTTTCCAAATGTGCGCATAATGTTCCCTTTGAATCTGCTCTACTGACACCTCCTCTCACATGGTGCCTAGTGAGACCTCTGTGTTTCGGTGGCTGCGATGACGTGATTTATTCTGCTCTTTCGTTCCTCAGGCCAGCGAAGGAGGAAAAGCCCCCTATCCTAAGCTGCAGATCTAATGTCTTTGATGATGACGAGTTTGACGTGTTCAACCGGGATCAAGTGGACACATCCCGAATCTGGAGGGGACGAAGGTAAGGGGGGCTTGAGGTTGCTGCACTAAGCTGTGGCCATGAGAAATATCTGCTCCGTTATACTTAATGGTTTGCAAAATTGCCTTGTTGGGGCCCTGGGTTCAATTCTAGACCTGGGGTGCTATCTCCAATTTAAGATGACAGTCTTAAATTTTCTATAACCTAATTAAAGGCCCGTTGATTACTCTTCATCATGGAAGAGTTCTGTTGAGAGGATTTGCTCTTTGCTTCTTTTTAGCGAAACCCACAATTCAAAAGCAAGATAAAGGGGAAGACTTGAGAGATGGATCTCAGGAGTTTCCTTTCAAAGTCTTCCCTTCTGGTACATACAGGACTAGCAATAAAGCATATGAATTTTAGTAGATCCACAGCACGGAAGAAAACCTGATCTGCTTTTCTTCTTGTAAAAGTGTGGCCGGTAGGGCAAAAGCCAGATTGCGAGATGAACCAAATGGTCTTGCCCACAGAAAAGGGGAGAGTGCCCGTGCCCTGCTGAATGACAAGACGCACATTGCAGATCAGAGGGCGCGTTACCAGGCCTACCAGATAGTGGTGGATGAGGTGCCCGTGGTCAAGGACGAGGGCACCACTTTCTACGGGGATGACTATGACGATGAATATGATGACACCTACGATGACAACCAGGTGGGAGCCAACGACCGTGATGAAGACAGCGAGCTGCTGACCCGCAGGTGAGTCCCTGTGGTTGGTTAATTCATATCATCCTGCTCCCACACATCTCTGAAGGACTTTCTCTTCTGGTTACAGTTTTGTTGGACTGTCAGAGATCTGTATTGCATATAGTAATGTATTTTTCCATTGAATATTTCCCTCTTGGGTGACGCTGGGTCTGTATGTGAGGGCTAGAAGATGTGGAGCACCCTTTATTTCGACACTGTGCCGGTGATCGTCACGCCGCCTCGTCTTCTTTCACAGGCCTTTCACTACCCCCATGGTACTGCGCAGCGGAAGACGGGAGGGTGATGGGGAGGACGAGGAGAACGAGGATGAAGAGGAGGCGGAGGATGAAGAAAAGGTACGGCCGCAATTTGAATTGGGATTCAGAGTTGTGAGCGAAGAGTGCGAACAAGTCCTGTCCGAAACTCGGAGCTTCAGGGAGTGGCTGCATACTAGACAGGCAATGGAATATGTCTGAGTGTCTTCATTGTGTTTTATTTGAATATTAGTTGTTGTTACTCAGAATTTGTCTTTACCTGCAGTTTATGACGCTTTATGACTTACAACATATGATGGGGTTTTTGTTTCTTTTACAACGGTACGCTTCACAAGTGTTAATCCTCTCCCCCCAACACAGAACGATGCTGTGAAAAGGGACCAGTTTGTTCAGGATCCCGCTGTGTTGCGAGAACGAGCAGAGGCCCGGAGGGCGGCGATGTGGAGCAGGAGAGGGTGAGGAGCAAGAGCTTTAATTGCAAACCCCACCCCCCCAGTCACCCTAGCCTCCCTAGCCTGTGGACTGCATCTGCACTGGATGAGTCTAGCGCACAAGACGTAGTGTATCCAGTGTACACAGTTTTCCACTGAGTGGCAAAGAGTAGTCCATGCATCTTTTATCTTCAGTTGCAATCATGCTACAAAATGCATAATTGATCTCTTTATTTAGTCATGCGTGCAGGTTCAATCTACCGCTGTAGGTCTTGCAATGGCCTGCAGGGATCATTCTTTGGGTCAAGGGAACCCTTTTAGGTCATTTTATACATAGATCATGGAAAATAAAGTGTCCTGCTTTTCACATACAGTTACTGTCAAATGACATCACGAGGGACATGTGATTTCAGTCTTGCAATGATAACGATACCAGATGTCCTGAAGCCCTTTGATGTACTATCAGTATGAAGTCGTGTTCAATACAGATATATATGATGCTTTAATGTACTGTGATGCGCAATGTGAATTAATGGATTTGGAAGTGGATTTATTCAGATGTCGACAAGCCATCTCCATCAGCTGTAGATCCATATGAATTTGTCTGAAAGGCTGGGGATTGAAAATAACTCCTCGATGACATTTTATTCCCTGTCCTGTTTTCCAAAATGGTTATCAATGTGTGAGTAGGGGGAGAAACGGATACCTACAGTGTGGTTCTCCTGTTTATTCAGGTTTAAACCAGAGCCATCAGGAAACGTGGCCGGGGGACCCAGAGGCCAGGGCCAAAGCAAAGAAACCGTCCTGGAGAGACGCAAGAAGGAGGCCAACAAGAGCGCCCGCGCCAACCACAACCGCAGAGTCATGGCCGACCGCAAGAGGAGCAAAGCCATGATCCCGTTCTGAAGCCCTCCGGCATCTCTCGATGGCGAAACGGTGAAAGACGCCGACCAGGATGATCAGCGTGAGGCACTAGCGAGGGTTCCCCCTTGTGCGCTATGGCTTTGCTCTTAATTCTATGGATTGAAAGATTTTAAACCATTTTTTTTTTTATATATAGGGATATCCTTTTTGATCCCCATCCAGTTTGGAACTGCCAGTTGCATGCGGCGACTCGACCACATGGGGAAAGCTTGAGACACGCCCACCTGCAGAGAGTTTCGTGATCTGACAGGTTGAATGAGCCACGCATCTCTTGCTGGCGTCACTTTGACCCTGCTGGGAGGCTCAGTTCGCCGGAATGTGGCCCAGTTCATCCCATCTTGCCCCCCTGCAGCAATAATAATAGTTTCCCATATCTGTTGTATTATATCAATACGATATTATATGTCGTCTCCTCCTGAGTGGCATATAGATTAAAGACGGATTACTTCAAAACAAAATAATTCTCTTGTTGTTACACTACCATTGTGTTGAAAGTGAATGCATTTTCTTGATTTTTAAACAATCACAAAATGAACCGCATTGCAAAGGCCACACCACATTTTACAATTTACAGTTGTTAAAGGGCTGTGCCACCTGTTGCGGTTTTCATACTGACATGCTATAATGCCTTTGGTTTTCAGGCCCCCTAAGAGAAAGTGCCTGAATTTCACACTGAATTTTCGTATAAGTATAGACATTAAAATAATTGTAGACTCCTGGAAAATGGTCTCAGGTGGTATATCTTCTCAGAAACCTTTATTGATAAGAGGAAAGTAATACGATTATACATGATGTAGGTCTCAGCAGCTACACAACCAACGGGCATATTTTGTGATATAACTTTTACGCAGATTGTCCATTCCTGTAGTAGGTGGCATTTCATTTTTGTACAAATTACACAAGCACATAAATCTTCAGTATATGGCACATTATAACCCACCCTTTCCTTTTTCCTTATTTATTAACAAAATCATGTATGAAAAGCTTATTTTGCCTTGGCTGCAGACCACTCTTGTTGTTTAATCATGCTACACCTGAACCACTGATGAGGAAAACCAAAGTGTTGGTAATACAAATTGAAGAAACACATTTTGCCAAATGCCAAATGATTTTAACAAATCCATTTATTAAAGAGTGGAGTGATGTAAACATTTTGTAACATGTGAAGAATGAACTCAAGTACACACTGAACAAGAGTTCTGGGAGTCCCACCTGAGAAGGTATTCCTATTGCTTTGGGAAGACGGACAGCACCCACCACAGGCTTCGCAGGTACACAGACGAGACTGACAGACAAAGGACCGCCGTAGTGCAGAAGGCTTCTCCTTTAACACACTCCTCTTTCCCATTTTTAATAGCAGCAATAGCAACGCTTTGAACCACTGTTCACTAGCATGTTTAGAAGATTGACGATACTCAAGCAAAGCATTGGCTTCTAACTATTTGAAACTTCACTTCTGTAAATGCTGTACGACTAGACCCAAGGATTTTTTTAAGCTACTTGGCTTTTGCTTGCAAGGGTATTTAGAGTATTACTAAAAAAGTGCAATTCACAATTCATTTGGCTTTTGCTTGGGGTACATGCTGACATGCAGTAATTTTATAGAACACACAGTGCCAAATACACTCAAGCAGTCTGTACTGGGGAGTTCTTTCACTGGTACCATAAGGCCCTTGATGCAGACTTTGTCACTGTGGTGTGTAAGGGGCGAGCAAATTGTTTCAAGTTGCAAAGGATCAGACTGATCAAAGTTTGAGCTTGGTATCTGTGCTTTCCTCTAGTGAGGGATGTACCATGTGGGGATAATTTAGTTTATAAATTAGACCAGTTAATCTAGCTAAGCAGGTTAAGGTGATCAGCTATGCTCCTGTACCAAATACCAGCCAAGATGGAATAGTCTCCCCTTTATGACAGAATGCACAGCAACTTCTGAGGTTTCCAGCCAAGTGGAAATTGTTGCATTATCTGCCTATAGCAATTTCAGTTATGCAAAGAGGTACTGGAAGAACTACATGTTAATTTCTGCAAGAATTGACAAGTTATCCTGCATTGCAAACAAAAAAAAAATATTGCACAAGGTTTTGAAAAATTTTTGTACTCTTTAGCCCAGTGTGGTCTTGCTCCAAAAAAGAATATTTTAGCAGAATTATTTCTGCCAACTGTAGCACAACACAAGATCCAGCAAGGACTGCACTGTGGATTTTACCCATACGTTTGACCACACCAGGAAAAGAGGAACTCTGTGCCAGTGTCCACCTGTTGTGTCAGACTGGCTGCACGGCAATGATGGATTCTGAAGCTGTTAGTTTCATACACACTGTACATGTGGCCGAGACCTAAACTGTCTCAACAACTGAAGCATTTCTGATCGAATATACTACAAACTACTGCACAAAGAGTTGGCAGAAAACATCCTCAGGGCACATTTGTCTTCATAAGACAGGGCTTCTTTTACTCCTACAAGTTCAACAAAGGGACAGTTTGTCACCATATTGAAACCTTTCCGCAGTGCGGAGGGTGAAAGGACATCTGTATTGCTGGACAGGCAGTGCAACTGGAGAGTGAAAAGCTGCTTGATCCCAATTTGATTCCCATCAACGTCCAGGGTCTTTCACTAGTTGTCTTTGTAGACATTGCCTGCAAGCATTAACATTAAGTTGTAGCATCAATGACAATCTGACAGCCCCTATTGTAAACAAAGCATCCAGTTAACATAGCAAAGCAAACGTAAAAGCAGAAAAGGATTATGTTGCATATTCCTTTAATCATAATTCAAGATTAATTGGGCTAACTGGCAAAGTGTATGGTTGTTTATGCAACGCTAAACCCAAAACCTTTGTAGTATTAAAGCATTAAGTTGTTTTGGATTGTGTTGACCAGGAACAATTAAAATGATTGGTGGGTGACAGAATGTGATCATTCTAATTTCAGTGCATTAACACACCCAATTAGAAATTACATTAATTAAAAAGCTTAGCATATGAGTAGGACAAATATCCTTCTTCTATTTCTGTGTACTGATAACTTCATTAAGCATTCCCAGACCATACAATCAAAAATAATCTGACCATCAAAAGAAGCGTATCACTGTTTTCACATCTTCACAGATCTTGGCTATTGATGAAACATGTCTAGCATCACTGGGAGTTACTGGTCCTTCATGATTGGAGGAGGTACACCTGAGTGATATTTACTGCTGCATAATTACTTGAACACCTGATTCATGAGAGAGCTGATTTAAAGTGTTGAGCCTGGCAAAACTGAAGACAGAAACCAACATGCCCCTCTTATCAAGAGAATGCCTTTGTGCCATTCATACAGTATATCCAAGGCTGGATCTCAGGCGGACTCGCCAGCAGGGCAGTCAAGGCCTCTTGCTCTTCAGCAATGTGATTTTTGTGTGTGGACTGTGCTGATAGTGAGTGTGCCGCAGACATACAGACTGATACCCTATTTGTTGCATACAACAGATCAACTATTGGGGAGCCTGGGACAACATCTGATGTCCTTCTTGTGGGTTAATCCTGACATGGCAATATTCCAGTGGGATAAAGCCTGTTTTCTTGCTACATTAGAATGACATTTTTGAATGACCTACTCGCCTGACTGAAAATTGGTGGGGTGGCATGTGGCATCTAGGGCTCTGAGTCCACCGAACAGGCACATGCTTGCCAGGTTCTAAGACAGGAAAGGTACAAAATCTCACATGGCAAACTGGTGCAAACCATCTGTCACAACTACTGTGGGCTTCACAGCAAAACCCCTGCGGATCAACCCTGTTGGTAACATCTAGCTCGATGAATTCACCAGCCTCAGGTATGTTCAATACATTGTTAGTGCACCTCCTACAGGAAGACTGTCATAATACTAAGTTTCATGAATAGATTTGTGAATCTTTTCCACAATTACCTTTGAAACTGTTGAAGTCTACCAGCTTCAAACAATGCGTTTTGGACCTCTTCAGAGAATTATAGTGCCTTTTTATGCACGGACATGCAGTGTAAAAGAGGATAACTAATGACACGGTTATTCTAAGGCAGTTGTGCAAAGGGATCGCAGAACTGCATTTAGCTCACCTAGTATACTGCGCTTGCAGAGAGGGCAGGTCTGCTGAAGGAGCAGCCAGGGGTCCACGCAGTCCCGGTGGAACTCGTGAAGACAGGGCAGCACTCTCAGGCACTGCCGACACGAGCAGAGACACCGACCTCAGCGCCGAGCTCCCACAGAGCCAACAGTTGTGAGAGCTGAGTGCAAAAGTTAAACTGATGCTTCTGAGCCCGAGCCATATCTCTCCCACCTCTCAATGCGTCTTGTGTTTCTCAACCTCATGACCTACACCGCCACAAGCTTCTGTGGTGCTCAGTTCAGACAGGACCGGATGTTCTCCCTTTACAAGTCCCAAAAATGCTAACGTAGGGTTGCAGGTGAGTCTGAAAAGTTTTGATTGGGCTCCGAGGGAGGAGCTTACCTGGTTCTTGCAGAACTGCTCCAGACACACGGCGCAGTTGTCTGTCTCCCCTGCTTGACCTTTCTCACACCGCACCTTGGGCAGGTGATACTTTCTCGTTTTGAGGGTGGCCAGCCGCTTCATAATGTCCTGCTTGGGGAGTAGCTGGAGAGGACCACAGGAAGGAGAATATCTTAAGCTGCGGAGGCTTGTGACTTGCCAACAGTGATTCCTCTTCTGATGGACATAAAGTCCAATTCATCATTTTGACAGACCTGTTTCTATGTTAGCCATCTGAATACTGATTTCTTCCTTAATGGATTATTTTGCGACGATGCAAAGAAAGAGAGCTTTTAAACAATATTTTTATTGTATGTGCCAGTATCCACACCATTGTACCGTCACCATTTAGACATCTGGGACACAAAGGGGTTCGCCATATAGGTGTGGTATAAGTATCAAAACCTTACTCAGAGCCTTCTTCAATACAGTCTGCTTTTACAACTGCTTTCAGCTTTTTACATCCCCTTAGTTAGGGCGAGAAGAAAGCAGGCTTGTTGTTAAATTCACCATTGATCAGAATCCGCTGTGAAATGGTTTTGAAGCCAGTGCAGCACATTTACCAATCAAATCTACTCATGAGAGACGCGCCTCTTCTCCCATGCACGCTGAACTTCCTGCAAGGGGCTGCGCTGCCTGTGACATGATAAGAGACGAGTGGTTCGAGGGTGGGTGGGTTGGAGAAGTCCGCATACACATCCTACTTCTCTCCTGTGAGAGGTGGTGGGGTTTGAAGCTGAGCGCCACGATGTGACAAATATATGACTGGCTGTTCAGACTCAGGCGGCAAAACAAAAGATAAACTGCAATTCTGAATTTAAAACAATCTTCTAAAAATGTTCCGTGTCACTGTTTCCTCTTTCTACATCCACAACGCTAAAATGGTTTGTACTACAAGTCAAAGAGCTATGTTATCCAGATTAACTACTAACTTAAAACAAAGTGACTGAGAATTCAGTGAAATTCATTCAAATTACCGTAGACCTTCTGAAAAATAAGTGCAAAACCCAAGGTTCAGAGTGTCTGAAAGAGTATATATTAGCAAGGCTGAGCAAGAAAATCATTCTACTACAACCTTATTAACTGTTGACATTTCACCCAGAAAACTGTGTGACGTTTACTGAATTCTTATTCTTAGATAAAAAGAAGAAAACCAGATTACCTCCATATCATCATCACCCTGGTTGTGCCTGTACTGCCAGCGAGCTTGAACTATGACTCCAGTGCACAGGATCAGAGCCACCAGGACCACTGTATTCCACAGTTGCTGGAGGTATTTCTGTGAGGACACAGTGAATTTTAACCACTTGAAAAGTACTGCTTGTAAAGAAGTTCAGCAAACACCTTTCTCCCAACATTTAAAACAGGAGGATGTTCCACAAAAGCGTATTGTGACTCTAAGTTGAACAATTGCCTTCTGTTGGATGTTACCCAGATGTTACCCGTGAGTCATCTGACTTTAAATTTGACTTGCAGTACACTAATCGGACTCTGTACTGTATGTCCAGACCGCTTACCTGCACCTGCGAGTTGGTTTCTCCAGTGCAAATCACTCCCTGCCACTCCCCGTACAGCCCACCCCTGGACCGGCCACAGCTGGACCACAGAGTCAGTGTGGCCCCCTGCAACAAAGTCCAGTGGGCCTCTTAACATCTCTGGAGAGCCAGCCCACCACAAAGACAAGAGCACTGTATTGGCCATTTACAATTTCTTATATTAGGAATTTGTCTTTTCGCAGACCCCAGCTTGCTCACCATGAGAAACACAGACAGGGAGAGAAGCTTGGGGTCAGACGCAGGGTCAGCCATTTATACGGTGCTCCTGGAGCAGTTGGGGTTAAGGGCCTTGCTCAGGGGCCCAACACAGTAGGATTCCTCTGCCGCGGGATACAAACCGGAAACCTTCCAGCCACAAGCGCAGATCCTTAGCCACAGAGCCACCGCACCGCCCCCAAAAACAGTTTCTGCACTTTGTGGACTTGAACCCAGACCATCACTGACTGCAGATTGGTCTGGGGATTTGAACCCAGACCCCCAGTGGGCACAGACCTGCACACTACACTACGAGCCACAGTGCCGCACCAAAGCAGTCGACAGCCTGTTCTCTGACACCGAGATGCAGCTACCATTCCCATTTAATAGTCATAAAGGGGACCTTCTACAAAAATGTAAAACTTTTCACTTTTATTGATATCTACAGTGTCACATTATCACATTAGAGGTTGCAGGTTTGATAGATTTAAGGATATGCCAATCTGTCTACATCCACTACAGTAAAATGTCTAATAATGCTCTTGATCTGGCCTGCATTGTCTCACAGAGTGCTCGAAAGAATGACTGGCAATGCAAGTCACAGAAAAACAGATGCAGTTTTCTACTGATGTTCTTGGCACAGAAGTGTTGTATATTTAGGAAACCTTTATAACTCCTGTTAAACCTCAATATTTTGCCAAAATAACATACTATGTTTAAAATGCACATGTGAAACCAGGCATTTAATCAGATGTTACCAATATCTTAACTTTTTCCATTCTGTATTATTAGAAAGAGGCATGTTTTTTTTTTAATTAATCCCCAGCAGGGCTGAAATTAAAAAGGAAGCAAGTTCTCTGTTATATATTATCTTAACCATCTGCATCATGCATGCTATCTCCCAAAAACCCCACATCTTATACCAACTTCAAAATATGTAATGCAACAAAATACCTGAAAATAGAACTTACCAGATTGTCCTGCAAGATTGTCTTATACGTGATTTTCGCTGTTGCTCGCAGACCCCTGCAAAGGAAGATCCTATTTAACCACGGAGATTCCTTCAAATATCCTTCAAACATACAGAAATACAGCATCCCCACAGAAGAGAGACTGGCTAATTCAGTGGACAGAGATATCTTTACCTGAGAAGAGCTCCAATAAGCTTGGTGACGTTTTCTGACGTCTGAATCACAATGACTGGCTTGGAAAGCACCTGAGAAAGGTCCATCTACAGAAAATGGACACATTACACACATAAGAAAAGATCTGAGGCCATTACAGCCCAAGACTCTCTCATTCCTTTTCCAGCATGCTAAAATGCTTGAGAAAATGTAAGGTCACTCCCTGAAATTTAGCCTGCAAAAAATAATATTGCAGATATTGTTCAAAGGACTTAATATCAAGTATTAAGGCATCTCTGCGAATACCTAGGACTGCGAGTAATTGAGCACAATCAGTTCTGGGACTACTAGTTCAACCAGAACACCTAACATTACTTCTGCTTCTGTTTGCATTGGCCCAATAAGTGCCATTCCAGTCTGGTTGAGTACCAGACCCACCTCTGCAGGCCAGAGTAAAGTCTTGACAGTGGCTGACCACACTCTTGAGACAGAGTCCTTTGAATGTTAGAGCTTCAGAACTATGATCTAAAACAAGACGTTCTGCAAAACCGACACTGGATACGAAAAACAGAAGGCTGCAGAATGACCTCTATGTTTTCCGATTTGAACTTGTTCCACAGGGTCTATCCATTTTCACCTTCAAACATCAGACACTCACAGACGTCCTGACAGAGCCTCACGGGTAGCGGCGTACTGTACCTCGCTGAAGGTGTTCTGATTCAGCGCCAGAATGAGAAGGGCGGAAGCTCCCAGCACAAGGGCTCGTTTCATCTAGAAACAGACATCACAAGCTATGGACATCAGGACAAACTGCACGGCGTTCTCACAGAGCGATCCGGCCTACAGCCTCTAGCCATAGCATCATGACAACTGTGCACTGTGGAGCAATGCCTTTTGGTACACATTCCAGTGGGAGCACGAGGAACACATTCCTTTGGACAAAGTGCACACCACAGAGTATTAACATCACCACTTCTCACCAGAAGGTGCAAATGATGGTCACTCTGAGTTAAAAACACAAATGTCTGCGCAGGAGGTAAGGTCGTTGCAAAATAAGTTAAAGAAGTATAAGCGCCCTTAAATTATATTCTTTGCCAGACGGCCAGCAAGGTGCCAGCCCACCTCCCAGACGTAAAAATGAAAAGGGTGAAGAAAACATAATGAATGGATTTTTTTTTTATTCCTTGGTTCAGCACTTCACAAATGTCGACTGGGAAGAAAATATGAAAACTACAAAAACTGAATGAAAAGTTTCAATCCTGTGCCATTCATGTACAGACTGAAATGAAATAGCAGACCAAAAGCTTCTTTGGGGGGGAGAAATGCAAGGAGGTGGAAATTGGATTCCATTTGCATATCATTTACAGCCATTGCTGGTTTTGCTTGCTTCAGGCTCCTGTATAAACGAGGGGTGCTGGGAATTTTAAGCTTTCAGCTTTAATTTGATTGAACTTGCATAAACAAAATATTATCAAAGAGTTCGAGTAGGGAGCTGCGTCAGCATGCGTGGGCTGCAAGGGAACAAGCAAAGGTTTTTTCCCTGCTGAAAAGAGCAGAAAAAAAACACATTTTCGGCTCTGGAGCCTTCTTCAGGCGAACCTTTACTTGTTCCTTTTAAATCAGCACAATGTCCACAATAGCGCTCACCTGTAGCATCAGTAAATGGGTCAGATGGCAGTTCAAAGGGTGTCAGAATTCTCGTTGTGAAGCCAATGTCGCCTTACTGTTAAACAGCCTAACGTGGCCCGTTTGTGAATATTCACCTATAACCACCCTCGCCCCAGTATACACCCACAACTGCGCCTCACCTTGTTGACAACTGCTGCCGCAAACGACTCCTGGTTTCTCTTCTGTGCTTCCTGTTTGTCCGCCCGGACAGGCACCACTCCTATCCAGGGCTGCTCGTCCTCGGACTCCGCCTGCGGACCAGACTCCTCCTCCTGAACCTGGAACACAGACAAACGCACTCGGACGTGAACTGTTCAACGTAAAGAAGATTTACCTGTAGCTTCAAGCTCCCTGGCCTTTTGTGTCAGAGCATTTCCTTTCTTGTGATGGGCCCATCCGAAGCTTGGCGGGCGGTAAATTTGGTGATGTACTCGGTTCGGTGCGCATTCCGTCTGCTAAGCTATCCCTGCTGCAGAACCACCCAAGCATCTTAACTTTCTAGAAACAGGAAGCACCTGTATCAGCTGTATACAAGTGATATTAGATTATGGTCTAAGTATGTAGAATACTTCCTTTTTCAAAGTGTGTAATGGTTTTGCTTTAGATGTACTATGTCAGATTCTTGTGTTCAGACCGTAACCCTAATGGAGCAGGAGGTAATCAACATTACCGTAATTATCTACACTGTATGGTGTTCGCAAATATCTGTTTTGACAGTGGACACCCAACCAACCACCGTGCGAAAGCAAGCAGCAGGGTCAGACGTCTTCCGACTCTTTACAGTTCTGTACTGCCCCCTGTGGGCAAATGGTAAAGTGAACATAAAACCCAGTAATGCAATGTGTTTTACACTCTTTTGCATTTCTCCCTCAGAAAAGAAAGACAAAATATAATATTTTCTAAACAACGCGTTAAGACGCATTCCGCATCCCAGTCAAGAACAAAATAAAGAAGAAAAAAGAAAAAATGCACCTTTAATAATACGAATAATAATTCATCAGCCTAATCTCCAGTTACAAGAAATTAGAATATTAAAACCATTGTTGTATCAAAAAGCATTGATTTAAACACATTGTTTAGCACATTTTAATTATAATTATATCCCAGTTTCTGAAACAGGCACCATAAGACTATTTTACAAGTCAATTTATTTTTGCAGATGCACACATTAAAACCAGATAGCACGCAACTCATAAAAAAAAAATACACCAGACATCTTACTAGCCGTAGACTGCCTTCAGCTATTTCGTAGCTGCGTTCCTGACTCTTTTTTCCGCGATCTGCGGCATCGTCGCTGTCCTGCGCTGCTTCCAGTATTGCTCCTTGCAGTAAGCTGGACCCGGGCCGGTCGAGGAGAAACACCTCCACCAGGGCCACCCGCTCAGCCGACACCGCCAGGCAGGTCCACAGAGACGGGACTAACAGCACCGAGATGACGGGCATCCAGCACCAGCAGCAGCTCTCCGCTGTCATCGCTGCGCGATACATGGAGGATAAAAAGTAACCGGTTAACAATGATGAAAATCAACCGGTTTTCATCGCTACTGGTCCCCCTGCCTGTCGGCTCCGACTGTAAACAAAAACGTCACCTTCCTGCTCACGCTGAGCAGCGGGGCGGACGGGCAGGAAAGAGCCAACGAAACAAAACAGACCGCTGGTGGGTACCAAGCTCGCCATCTGCTGCAAGAACACAGAATTAGTAGCATGAGAAAAAAAAAAAACTACTTCCGAGATCCGATCAGTTCAGTAGATAATTGCTTATACACTGGTTATAAATACACTGGCCTTCAAGTGTTTTTGTTTTATGCCCAAACAAAACGAATGGAAAAAAAATGTCTCGCAAATTTAACGGCCTTTCTTGTTTTACCGAATGTGGAACAGGTTTATATTTTATAGCAACTTAATTATCACACTTTCATTTTTTCTACACGGGAATGCCTTGGGTGATCATACAGAAGGTGTGGCTGTTCTGTTGGAAGTCCATCTTGCAATCAATGTCACACCATTACCCACCTGCTTCTGTTATATCAAACTTGTGTGTTATTATCTTACCCTTTTCTACAGAAATCAAACCATCCCTCCATTTTCCGACCACTTCTTGCAGTTTGTGGCCCTGGGGCAGCGGGAGTCTATCCTGGCAAGGGTATGCCCAGGACCTCAAGGATTGAACCCAAGGCCCAGTGCTGCGACGTTTTGTGTCAACCAAAAATAGGTGTTATCAGCACAGAAAGATAGGGTGATGCAGAACCTACAAAGAATCTGACTAATATATAGATATTTATATACTAGTATATAAATATATAGAACGATGGTATGATCAACAGCATCAAAGATAGCACTAAAGTCCAGCAAATCAGAAGTCACCAGTAAGTCATTAGTAACCCTGACAAGAGCTGTTCCTGTGCTGTGCTTCTGTCTGGACCCGGATTGAGATGGCTAAGGGATCTCACATGCAGAAAGAGCAGGAAGAAGAATCTAAATCTTGATTCCTTGGTCAAAAAACAGTACATCAGCTATTGAGCAATAATTCCTGAGCAAGTTCTGCTTTTTCGACAGAGGGATAGTAACTGTGAATTTAAGGCCCAAGAGAACTATTTCCAAACTTTATGATGCGGTGATGATGTACAACATGACAAGAGGACAGAGATAGCTAAAACTGAGACAAAAAGCTGCACTTAAAGTAATTTAAAGTGCAAGTACATAACTACTCTCAGAAGATACATTATGATTTCTTGTGTTATCAATGTTAGATTTATAAAACTTCAGAAAACTCAGAGCATTGCTAAATTGCTAGAATATATACACTATTCAAGATTGGTGTTCTAAAGATTTAAGAGGTGACGCATTCTTCAATTCTAGATTTACTCTTCTCTTCTTTTATCAGATTCTTCAAAATTGCTGATCTAGTGGCAGCCAGTGTAGTACAACAGCACTTTTGGTGTTGCTTGACAGCTGTATCTAGAGAGTATATAAATAATATTTAGGACTGCGGAAAGGCGGAGGAAAGAGAAAAAAGGTTAGTACAGTATATTAGGAAAGTACCTGTAATATGAAAAATATCCATTTTATCTCTTGATATTAGTTCTAGAAGATAATCTAAACAGCTAGCTGGATAGTAATTTCCTATGTCATTTCATTTCAGAGTCTTGTGCATGGGCAAAAGAGATATTGTTTTGCAGTCTTCAGGCGTAGAATGTTATTAAATCTATAAAAAATTGGAAATAACTTGAGGATAACGACAACAGCAACAGTCAGCCTGCAGCCATGTCACCCTACAGCTCTCAACTGGCTACCCCCTGAAGCTCAGCAGGGTTGAGCCTTGTCAGTACCTGGGTGGGAGACTTCCTGAGACGCTATGGTTACTGGAAGGGGTCTTTTATGGGGTTAAATCTATAGAGCCAATCTCCCAGAACAATTCTAACGAATTCTGTGGAATTCCATTTTATCACGGTATTTGATAAGGGTCTTTTCGTGGTCTCATCTGCGCTAAGCTTCCACACCTAAATTAGCATGCGTTATTTTGAAAGTCATTCGTGAAAGTCTTGAGCTTGTGTTTTGTTGGTTGATGAAACATTGATCCCTTTGGCATTATTAATCTTGAATAATTACAATATCGTATTTGTCATAAACGCCTGCCTCCACGACGATCCTAAAGTATAAAATCCAAGTGACGACATTTTCCAGATATGCGAAAATCGATCGTTTTCACTAGCTGCAGAACTTTAAAAAAATGTAGAAGACACGAAGGCGATTTTGTACTTAAATCGAGGCTCATCCTGAAAAGTTCTTATGTTAGAGAAGATTTTAAACCCTAAAGAATGTTTCCATATTATTATCGGCGATGCAATACAGTGCACTTTGAATGTCCTTGCTCCCCCAGAAGGCGTTCCTTAGCTACTGTGTTATTTAAACTTCTTGCAAAGTTTGCTTCTGCTAGAAATGGTATTAAACCCCCTATCTTCCATATTCTTACCCTCAATACAATGCACGCATCGTATTGTTTTTTTTTTAGAAATTCTTGCGCTTTAAGAAGGCGTTTCTTAGCGACGGCGTTGTTTGGCTGGAATTGGAAAGCAGCGCCCCCAAGCTCCCAGCGTTAAAAACTCGCCATCCCTCGACAGCCGCAGTATTACTGCGAGTAGGAAGGAGCGCTAGTGTCTCGGTCCGAGCAGCGGGGCAGAGAGGTTATTTATAGGTAAGGTTTGCCAATCAGCACAATGAGTGGAAGGGCCGGCGACCTTAGCTCGAAGCAAGCCGAAGCCTTAGCGCAGGTAAGACAATTCCCCGAAACGAAATGTTTTATTTCCTCTTTGAAAGGGGACCGCTATTTGGTTTGGAGAGGTTCCTCAGCAGATGTCGTGGTGCTTGCGCATGTTTTCAATGTTCAAGCACTGCGGAGGCTAGCCTGCGTGTGTCTTCCCTGTTTATACCCTCAGGAACCACAAATATGTCATGAGCAAGTACCCTGGTCTCCCCATTTAAGGAATGTGTCTGGAGCGCGATCCCGGTTGTATAACAAGTTTCACCTGCACGAACAAATGTGTTCGTGCAGGTGAAAAAGATGTTGTTGTTGTTTTTTTGTAGGAACGATGGGTGATTTTGAGTACAATAAAAATATACCATGTAAATAAACGGGGTGGGAGGGTATTTTGAAAGAGACCAGCGTATTCTGTAGCTCTTATGTTATAAAATGTCCTTACCGTCTTTTAATATGACGCAGTCTGTAATGACTGGAAAAAAATAGCAAACGACATTTCAACGTGACAAATCATTTTCATTCCGCTTCAAAAAATATCTAGAAGTTCAGTGGTTTTGTTGGCCCATCGCGGTTGGTATTTAGTATAGCTCCTCGGTCTTGGTTACATATCTGAAACATGATATAACATAATCATCCTTATTTCTGCGTGAAATACACGTGAATGATATTTAAAGAAATATCTCAATTATAACTAAGTGCCCTCTGATGATAAGCATCTTTTGCAAAGCTAAATAGGGCTAGGTACAAAAACGGCTCGATGTGTGCTTAAAGATTTTACAGTGCAATGTGAGTTTATTATGCAGGACAAGTTTCCAAGAATCACTGTTTTCCAACCAGCATGTTAAAGAAACCCTTATGAAATTCATTATGCATTAGAGCAGCAGATATGAGTCATGGTGAGGCTTCTGTTGAACTCAAGGATAGGGATTACTGTCCCCGAGGTCAAAATGGGAAAAAAAACCCTCTGTATACAGTATATACAATGTATGTTCCATTACGAAATGACTACGTACTTATTCAAAAGTGCTGAACGTGATTCATGATCAGAACCTTACCTAGTATGGTCACACCAATAAAAAGATGGTGTATTTTATTATTCAGATTTTTTTTATTTGGTGAAAATGTGCATTGCACCAGACTGTAGCAAACGGACCACCTGTTTGTAAGATCGCTACAGAATAATTCAGCTTCGACAAACGATTTATTTTTGTCGAATTGTGCAATTTACATATCATTCACCCTGTATCGCAACATTTCCTTTTGATACAGTGGAAATGACGCCTGTATTTGTTAAGCCAACGAGAAGATTTTTTCAATCGTATTTTCAGGTAGCGAATCTACAGCCGAACCTGCAATTTATGTTAAGCCCCTCGGAATAAGTTCTTGTCTGCATCCTATTATTTTTGTGCCACAGTAGTTATTAACATGCATTTAGCATTTAAATTACTGTATTCATGGGAGCACAAAGAAAAAAGGGAGTATATCGATTAACATACTATAAATTAATGCATTTTTGTGCAAAAATTAAATGTTATCTAATAGTATATCAACAAAGAATGTTGTGGGTTGCCTAGCAACCCATCAGCAAGTGTCATACTGTAGTGCCTTAAGGCCTGCTTCTAGCTTCTAGGAAACCTGTGATTCCTTATTGTTTTGTTTCCTGTCCTCAGCAAAGGTGTCCGAGCAGCTCCACACCTTTTGAGACCATTTAATGCTAATGTCCATCTTCCTGTTCTTGAGGAGATGTTAACACCTGCAGCTGCAGCCAGATTGCTGCCAAAAATCTGGACTATCATCTGTAATGCAGAAAATGCACTCTGAGGAATTTCACATGACTTTCAGAAAGTCCAGGTTTTTCTCAACTACTTCAGTTGGCAAGCATATCAGTTTCAGAAACAACACTGGGTATTGCAGTTTGTCAGTTGGAATATTCTTCTTTAGCACTTGTCATGTGAAATTGCCTTCCCAGGAGTTACAGTCTTCACAGCATATTTAAAATGCTGAAATAGCATCACTGTGTTTTTAGGACCAGAAGTGGTGTAGTACTTTCTGATGCATTGTTTGACCACAAATAACATTGTAGGTTATAAATATAATACAGTATTAGGTACCATTTTAATTTTACACATACATATTTATACAGCATCATTTACATTATGAATTTGTTCCTGTTTCCAAAAATTGACACCTTTATTTTTTCTGTTCTCTATAAGCTTATTATAACATGTTGCGTGTGATTCTTTGAGTCATATGCTAAATGACTCTTTCATGTGCACAGTATTCTGAGAGAAAAGGCACATGTTTTTAATTCTGTAATCATGGTCAGATTTAAAAGTGAATTTATTTCATTTGTGTTTTTTTTGTTTTCTCTTCCATTGTCAGTTTCGAGAGAACATTCAGGACATTCTGCCCAAACTTCCTGCTCAGCATGACCACTTCCTACTGCGCTGGCTTAGAGGTAAGCTGGTTGATTCCTTGGCCACTGTGTAAAAAAAAATCGTTTGCTTGTTTCATGTGGATCCATTGGATTTCAGTCTTTGGGCAGACTAGATCTGTTTGGGTCCGTGGTTGTAGTAGATCACTGTCTTAATTTTTCAAGGATCATCTTAGATGTCTGGAAATTACTTTCACGGCAAAAATCGCTATTGGCTTCTAACAAATGTCAACTGTTGTAGAAATAACGTGTATTTATAACCAGTGTCTGTGCCACTGATACACATTACAGATACTGAAAGTGTATTGTTTCTGCCTTTAGGGTACCCCACACTATAAGGAACCTTTGATGGATATATGGTGCATTTGCAGTATGGATTCTTTATATATGAATAAGCTGGTCAGTGGTGGCATGGTGGTTGAGGAGATTACCTGTGGTCTATTTGTGGGTTGACGTATATATCTTTCACATCCTTTGGGCAGAACTCTTTGATGGAACACCTTGTCTGTTGGTCACCATGTACAGAAAGCAGAGGTCTTTGGGCTATCAGAACTCTAGTAATTATAGCCAAGTGAATGGCTGTGTGCGTTTGGCAACAGTAGGTGACCGTGTTTTCAAAGCTGCTCATCATTCAGAGCTGGTGAGAAGCACTCATTGCTATGGGAACTGGAGTCCCTCATTGTCTGTGTGCATTGTGGGTCATTGTTGTTTGTGAGCTGATCACATTGCTTGCTCTGTGGTTAATGCTTATATCTAGTTACTTCACTTCCAGTCATGTGGCTGCTGTGCACCAAAACTGTAGTGCACTGCATAATGTGCTCACCTGCCCCCTATCCCCAGCTGAAAGCTGATGTATTCTCTCAGTTCCTCCTAATTTTTGTTACATATTAATAGTCAGCAGCAGCCCAATGGCATAACAACATATAGAAATGTAACAGTTAAGATTCGTTTTGCATCTAGGTTGCCATACAAAAGAGAGGGTACATGCATGCACATTAATGATGGTATGTCCAAATGATAACAGATTTGAAGTACGTATTAGGGCCTCATACTTATAAATGTCTAAAATGTGTGATGCTACGGCAGGTGAATTAAACATAAACACGATTTCCAGGGCATGCCGGCAAAGGCATTTAAAAATTGAACCATTTAAAAAATTGCTGCATTTCTTAGCTCCATAACCTTCATTTCTAGCTGTTTTATTTTGTTCAGTGTGATTTCAAATGACTAAAACGATGAGTGCTAATAACTGAAATTGTGAACAAAAAACACGATGGAAGTGAAAATAAAACAGTTGATCTGCTGTATACAGTATACTGTATACTTTATATAGATAGAAAACAGTGCGCTTTTCAAAAATGATGGCACTTAAGAGTGCCCAGAACTGCTCCTTTCTTCCCATGGCTATTTTTATGACTGAGTGGCCACAGTCGGTCAGCTGGCCTGCAGTGATAGGCTTGGCTTCAGAGGAGTGGTGCTGTGGTCAGAAAGTGGAGTTCAGTTCGCTCTTGGTTTCTGAATCAGTGCTGCAGAGGAAATGGACAGCTGAAGTGTGTCTAGTGGAGCTCTGGGATGTCATTCGCTTGCCAAATCACTGGTGAGAGGGCCTGAGTGCCTCCAGAACGGAGACCGCCTTCACTGGTGTTGAAGGAATGGAGGAGGGAGGCAGGAGAGAGATGTTTTGAAAGGAACAAACTTGTTTATAAAACTTCACATTTCCAGTGTAAGGATCTGCACATGCACCCATATTGTATATCGCCGACACAGCTGGTTTTGGAAGATGATCTGCCAGAGTTTTAGCCTATGTTATATCTGGCCTATTACAATTCTGCAACAAAAAAGGATCCTTTTATCCTTTGTCTCTTTTCACCTTTGCCCTCTCTTAACCGTTGGGTTTTTTAGTACTGATAACACAGAGTGCTTCATGTGGGTAAAAGTTAAAAATTAGAGTTCAGTCTCGGAACAGTATAAAGTGGGTATCTGGATAATCTGTTTTCTGTAAGAGGTCAGGAATAACATTTCAAACTGAAGGATAGCAGTTTATTTAACTCAGTCAGTATTCTGCTGTAAGAAATGTTTCTTTTAAATTTGGTAATCTATTGATTCAATCATGTGTAGAATTCTTTTAATTAATAACTTCATATCTGATGCACAGAGAAATCAATATACTCAGACCCCAGGCAACTGACTCTACACAGATTAATGCTCCTTTGGCCAACTGGTCGTTTTCATCAGTCCATTTTTTCTGCAGTTTGTTTCATGGGTTCCCCAAAAAGGAAAACTAGAGAACGATATGAGAGTAAGACCTCTGATTGTTCATTTACTGTTCCCTTCGTTTTTAAAATGTTATCCGTATCTTGGATGAAGGGAGGAGGTGTGGAGGGTCTCCAGAGCTGTGGCAGGATCATGCAAGATCCACAGATCTCCAAAGTGATTTCAGAACTGCCTCCCGAACTCTGACCTTCCAAAGTCAGTGAATCATGGCCTGGTTGCCTTCATGTTCATCTGGTTTCACCCAAAGGCTCGTTCACTTGATGCTTCAGTCCTGCCTTTGCCATTTAAGAATCTTAAGGAAAATACAAATGAGAGAAGGCAATGTGACCCATCACGCTCATATGGTAGCTAGCTTTTTAATAATCCAAGAATGTCAAATATCCCACAGAATTAGACGTAATCACATGGCTAGAGAGCTGGTTTGGGATTGGGGTTCCCATAATCCTCTGTATAAAGAAATGTCTCCTGTTTCCTGTTTTGATTGCTCTACACCTAATTTCAAGTGTTGTCCCTGGTATCTTGTAGTTGGTACTGTACAGTATGTGAGCTACTTCAATGTATCCCATCTCATTTCAGCTGTATTTTACCTCACTGTATAACTTTGTCCTCCAAAACCCTGAGGCTGGATATGGTTCTGTAAATTGACCCCTGTCACCACTTTACCCTCCAGAGTTTCTAAACAGCAAAGTAATTATTCATGCTTACCAGATGAAGGGCCCTCTGTCATGAGCTGAAGTTGTGTGTGTGTGTGGTGGAGGAGAGGAACTGTATGATGAAGTCTATAATCTTATTAAATACGCACTACAACATGATTAACTACAGACTGCAGGTTCCAGTATAAAATGAAGCTTTTGATATAGGTGCAGCAACAAAGATGTGCTTCTCCTCTGTAAAACATTATTGTTTTGTTGGTGGTTAAGTGTCGGATTTGCTGCTTTGTAAAAATGCTATTGTACCGCTCTGCCACACATTTAGCTGGGGTAACTTCTTGATATAAAATCTGATGCATAGATTAACCTGTAGCCTATACCTTTAACTCAAATGACATGAATGATAGTGTTTTTCAATGTCCCAAAAAAGGGTAAGTAACAGAAGTTACTTTCTTATTCTGAAATGTTTCTCTGACATCCAGAAGGAAAGTAAACTGCGGAAACTCAAGACAACTCTCAGGGGAAGGAGTTGCTTTTAAAACTTTAATGCGCAGTCATAGATCATTCCATTTAGGAACTGAAAGTTGCCACAGCCATTACTACAGCTAAACCTGGCAGCAACCATAAAATATGGATTATATATTTCTACCATTTTTTGTTTTTGTTGCCCTGCAAGCAGAAATGAGAACTACAGATAAATGATTACGTTTAAATCAGGCCAGGGGAATTATGTGGTCACAACTAATGGATTACCTTGTGTTGTGCATGAACCAGTGGCAGCATTCCCATGAAAACAGTGAATATTTGTTATTCAGATCTTTTCTTCCATGCCCATGGTATATTCTGCCCTTCATGGCCATTGGTGTCCTAAAGCGTGAAAGCTGAGACGCCTAAAACATTTAAACAGGCAAAACCTTGTGCAATGGAATAAAATGCAGTGGACTTTGGAAAAGGTCAGCTGATCCCTTGCTAGCGTGGCCTTTGTTAGGATAGCGGCTTTGTTCTCTTGAAATGTCTTCCAGAAACAAAGAATATCCATTTAGGCAGTAACCTGTGAAGATTCTGTTTTTTGTTTCAGTTGGATGAATATTTATGGGTGACACGGTGGCGCAGTGTTTAGCATGGCTGCCTTGCAGGTCTGGGGCGCTGGGTTCTGTTTCAGACTGTTTTAGAGTGCTGTCTGTGTGGAGTTTGCATGTTCTTTGTGCTGCAGACTTGCTTCTGTTCCTTGCTGGGGTAGGCTCGAGCTCCCCCAGGACCCTGAATCGGGAGAAAAGCGATTAGAAAATGAATCGCCGGTGTGTTAAATACCTGTGGAAAACTAGAGCTTGCATTTTTGTCAGTATTCTATTTAATTGTACCTTAGATCCAAAAGCAGTTTATTGCTGTGTTTTGCAGAGCTCCTTTATGAATTCAGTAGTGCCCTGACAGGCAGTTCTGCTAGCAGCCTTTGTAATATTACAGCGATAACTTCAGAGGTGTGTGCCTGTCTTATTTCTTGTGGAAATTCAGAATCATCTTTAATGCGGGACCATGGAAAAATATCAAAATACCTGTGGCAGTTTGATATTCAGAGATGGCATAATTCAAGTAAAAGACATATAGAGGAACACAGAGCACCAGGGCGTGGTACAATAAGCATGTTGGCTAATAATAAAGTCCTTAAATTATCGTTTATCAGTTTTCAAATCATCCGAGGTTCCAAGAGGTCAGCAGTAGCTTTTGGGGTTTTTCCTCTTCTCTTTTGGCTGTCTGGTCTGCTGACTTGCTCTTTGTCCCTCTGGTCATGAAAACACAGGTTATTGCCCCCCCAGCCTGTGAGATAAGATTAACCAAAGTAAATCTTGGATCAAAAGGCAGCTCACTTCACCATAGCCATTGGAACATCACCTTTTATCTACATACGATCACGTCGCGTACAATCAATTCTGTAGCCTGCAGAGTTGGAAAGGTTGAAGATATTCACTAAAAAGTGATAAAGTTAATAATGTTTGTTTACTGAAATGCAGGATTACAGAACTGTTAAGCAGTATGGATTTCTAATGGTCATTCAGCTAGGTGCTGCCACATGCACTGGATAATATATTTCACAGCACTCTAAGGTTGCAGATTTTTCATAAATGCCCAATAGTGCCCCTGTAAACTTCTCATGCTGCAGAAATCTTGGTGGGCCTTTATGGAGCAGTGTTTTTTCTCTCTGGTAGATAAGAGGGAAATTGTTCTTTGTACAGCTATTGTATGGTACTCACTGGAAGTATTATAAAAGACAGCAATAAAAAGGAACAGCTACGAAAGTCCACAACAAGCCTGTTATCCAAGATCTGTTTAGAATTCTGTTGTGGTGTGTTGTGCTGTTTGTTGATATGGCAGGAAGCTGTGGGAGGCAACAGTCCCAGCAGAAAATGCTTGTTTCTTAAAACGACGCCAGCCACCCTAGATATAACCCACAAAATTCTACCCCAAGATATCAAACCTGTGCAAAAAGCAATAATCTGACAAGATCTTGTGGGCTGCACCAATTCAGAGTTCAGAGTCTCTGTCAGTGGTAAGCTTAAGATTTTTCTGTTTGTCAGTCACACTGTGCAGTGCATATTAGAATAACATGAAAGGTATTGCTGAATAGCAGAAAAGCATCGTTTATATCCAGCGACTTCGGAGGCTAATAATCAGCCACCCCGTCTTTGGTATTGTAACAGTCTTTTTGTAGGGAATATTTCCTGTTGGGGAATGGGGGTTGATCATACTAATGATATATTTCTAAAATGGCACCATTAAAAATCCATCTTGCTTTTATGATTGCTGTTAGGTCTGTTTGTAAGTGTGAGCACCATGCATCTGAAAATCAGAAAATAAATTCAGTGTAACAGATGCTGTTTATTGTTAGACTATACTTCGTTGTCAAAGATGCCTCTGCTCATTCATCCTACCAAAAGTGTTATAATGGAAATCATTTAGAAAATATACTACTACTCATTTTAATACTTTCAGAGTGTCTGTTTTGTGTCTGTAACAAAATCATTTGAAAAACAGATTGATTTTAGATTTTAAGTGTGAACACAGACAGACTTGGTGTCTCCCAGCAAATCAGCAGTGAGCTATTTGGGGTAAATGGTACTACCTGAAAATGCAAGAACGCACATGTTCTTGCAAACGGTCAAACAAGTTCTTCGGTCAAATGAAAGAAATGGTGTCTTATTCTGTTGGCCTCCTACGTTGATCCTTTGGGAAAACGGGAAGACAAGCACATCTGCCCGTGCTAAGGAAATACAGAAGAATGTGCCTGCAGCAAAGTCACATCTACAACAGTCTGTCTGCCTCATGGATGGGCACCTCTGCGGTGCAGAAGCTGAATGGAATCTTCAGCTTTCTCCAGGCATTGCACTTGCAGTCTGGTGACTACTAGTGTAAGCTAATAATCCCCTTGAGAGTATAAGGTGCTTAGTTTCATGCTGATTCTAGGTCAAGTCTGACTGTGGGGGGGTAGGGGTGGAGGTAGGCTAACCATCACTATCCTTGTTCTCTAGCTTTCACCTAAGTTTATATAGCAAGAGGACCCTGACATATGCTGCCCCTCCGCTGGTCCTTAAAACATGAAGCTTCGCTGATCAAGAGTAGAACCCTGTGGGCATTACACAGCAGCCATTCAAGGCTGGCTCTCTCACAGCATGCTGGAAAGTGTAGTCTGAGCCCATTCTTCTTCACCTGGGTTTGTTAGCAATGTTTTATTTTGCCATTTATGTTTGCAAGGGGGTATTTTCTACCTCCCGTGTAACAGTTTTCATCTAGCTTTGATCTTCAGATCAATACAGATTCGTGGAGACTTGTAAAGGTTTGGGTGATAAGTAACAAAGCAAAACAGTGCAGACTCTCCTTGTTTGCAGAGGCATTGAATTTACCAGTATGCAGTCTATAGAACTAGATAAAAACACACTTGATCCTACCTACATTTTGTTATTGACAATGCACCAGATCCAAAAATGAACGCCAAGTGATACGGGCTCAGGTTCTTCTGAGATGGTTATACCTTTAATTTTTTGTTGTTGTTCAAAGCCTTCAGTGTGCTCAACAGAGGCCATCTGTTTTTAATTTTTAGTGAATGTGACTTTAAAAATCCCTGTGTTGCTTTGTAGTTTTGTAACTTTATCTGCTGTTATCTTTAGGTCAATTTGAATTTCTATTGATAACTATCAGTTTTATATATGTCGATTACTTTAAATAACCACTAATCTAATTCAGGGTCACAGTGGCCCAGAGTCTCCCAGGAAGCACTGGACACAGGGCAGAAGACATCCTGGACAGGACGCCAGTCCAACACAGGGTCCAGACGGACACAAACACAGACACGCACCAATTTTCCCAGAGGCCAGTTAACCTACTAGTATGTCTTTGGACTTTGGGAGGAAACCAGAGCAGAAACCTGGAAAAAACGCATGCAAACTAGGGGAGAACATGCACACTCCTCACAGACAGCACCCCAGGTCTGGAATTGAGCCCAGAGCCCCAACGCTGTGAGGCAACAATTCTAACCACTGCAGCAGAAGGCTGTGCAGTGTGTTAATTCCAATGTATTCATTTTTAATGATTGCCATTTATTTCTTCTACTTACAGCTAGAAACTTCAATGTGCAGAAAGCAGAAGCGATGCTCAGAAAGGTAAGGCATGTTTTTGTTTGACATCTTTGGGTTTCTTGAAAAGCGCTCACAAACAGAAGTGTCTCGTGCAGAGCTGAGGTTTCTTCAAAGTGGAGCGCTAGGCAAGTCCACACTGGAGAAATGTGACATCTTGTGTAATGAATATGTGATATGGGATATGTGAATGCAGCCATCAAAGCCACCAGTTGGTACCTACATACCTATATTATTACACCCAAATGAATGGCCTTATCTGTACAGAACCTGCGTATGAAATGAGAATGTGATAAAAAGTAATATTGTATAATAAAAGCATAAACCTAAACATTTGTGGCATTTACATATAGTACATACGTTTTAAAAATGTATCTTTCTTCTATCTTATCTAAATGGTGATTGTGAAGAGTATCAATGTGATGCACTTGGATGCCGGAGACCATCTGACATTTTCCCACCAATGTCATAATCTTACGAGTTTCCTTCTCTGTGCTGCCTCTCGCAGGCTCACCTTGACACGACACTGCTTTGTGAGGATATTACCCAAAAGCACAGAAATGGTCAAACAAGGCAGTGCTGTCTGCACTGAACTCCACAGGGTGTAGTGCATACATACAGGGTGTGGGGGGGGGTGGGAGTATTGGATAGGGTAGGAAGCGTGCATTAACATGGATTTTGGTAGACTACATATAGTAATATTTTTTATGTTCCTATAGATTGGTTCCCATTGATTTTTATCATGTTTAAACTGTATAATACTATTTATATAATATTGTTGTTATTACCTCTGGCTTTTATTACACAAAATATTATTTTATTGTGAAGTATTTCCACTTCACCAGTGAAATTATGGAAAGGCCACAATTTACAAAACCCCATTTGTAAGATGCCAAATGCAAAGGAAAACAAATGTGCAAATATGCCTTATTGGGACATCTTAAAAATAATGGACTCCTAAATCCTATAAACCTGGTTGGGTCTGCAACAGATTCCCTCCAAATCCCTTATTCCATGAGATTTCCGGATCTATAAAACTTGAAACTCTGAAGCCACATAACAGGGCTTTATTATTTTCTGGTGGGCATAAACGTGACATGAAAGAGCTTGAATCTAAATGTCAGACTAATTAAAAGTTCCAATCCCCTAGCTTTTATGTAGAAACCTTGTGTAGTGTCATATTAAGCTTCAGCTTTATAAGAACCAGCTTTGTAAATCTCCCTTAATCTGAATTAAATCGATTCATTTGTGATCAGCATACCTTAGCAAACCTTCTCTGATGACGTATGGCTTGATATAGGCACGTGTGCCCCTGATGTTGGGATCATTAGCAGATACAATAATTTATTAGTCGAACAGGAGTAGCTAGACTGCTAAAAAGGTACTGTTTAAATCTTAACAAGTCGTTGGATAAAAATCATATTAATATAATATTTCAAAA